CTGGTACAGTAGAGAACTGGTACAGTAGAGAACTGGTACAGTAGAGAACTGGTACAGTAGAGAACTGGTACAGTAGAGAACTGGTACAGTAGAGAACTGGTACAGTAGAGTAAAGTAAGACTGTGGCGGTGAAGTTGGGATGAAGAGGAATGAGAATGATTCCGAGGTGTAGTACACTACAGTAGACTAGACTGTGCCAGCGCCATTTGTGAACGGTCCTTCGCCCACACTGCCATGTGAAGAGATGCAAGATGCCCCTGGGGACAGAGTACAGAGTACACAGGGTTTGTGTATAGGGGAATTTCATCTTCGTGTTGGGATTCGCATGACTAGTATGAATCCGCTGCAACATGGCGCTCAATGACTAGGTAAGTAAGAGGACCCAGTACTGGAACTACATAGCGGCATGGTGGCTCTGTCTGTGTGATGCCCTTTACAGTATCTCAGTCGTCACTCGGAATCATGGAGTTTGATTCGAGAACGTGGCCAGAAACGTCTTGCGACTTTTAGCAGCGGCTTGTGGCCAGAGTAGACCGCCAATCATTCGTCAGGCCGATAAGTTCAAGGCACAGATGTACAACGTACCCAGTATATGCACGGAGAGGGCTCAGTTGGTCGGTGGTTCAGACCGAGGCGGAACAGCCAAGGCACTCGAGGCGTGTCGCGCTCGCCAAGACATCTCTGCTAGTCCAGGTTCAAGATTGTCGACGACGCGCCTCGCCTGGATGAGAAGTCCACGGCGACAGCGCTCTGGATTCTGGCGACTCGAGACCGCTAGCAGCCTGCCTCGGGGTCTGACTGCAGGCAATAATCTCCTTATAAAATCCGTGAGATATTACGTCCTCCGTCTTGATCTTACTCATGGTCTGACTTCCTCAAGGCGTGTCTTCAACATGACTCGCTCATCGGTCCCGGACCCTGCTGTGCTGACGACTTCATCATTTCAAAAGGCCCTGGCACTTTACCCATCGCTAGTGGAGAACGTGTACAGAACGAAGTTGAAGAACGATCGCAATAAAGTCGCAGCCGCACTGGAGCGTGACAAATGGAGGTTCGAGGAGTTACCTGCTGCTGTTTCCCAGAGGAAGGCGAACGTCAACCAGGCTCAGAATGTGCGAGACGAGAAGGCGACGGGCAAGCCTAGAGCCGGAGCTCGTGGCACCGCGCTGGAGCTCAGCAAGGACGAGGTTGAGCGGCTGGTGCAATGGAAGATGTAAGTTGTTTCCTGGCGTGCTTTCTTTCGCGTGAGGCCACGGTCGTCTCCAGTGTCAGGGTTGAGGGAGGGAGAAAACTCCCAATTGCACTGGTATGATGGTACTGCATCAGCTGTTTAGAGGTGCTGAGGGGACGTCTTGGCCCAGGGTTGAGCACTTCTACAAGAGCCAAAGGCTTGTCAATTGCATGAAAGCGAGAGTTCGAGCGTGGCTTCTGGTCAACGTGACGATGCCACCAGCTGACTTTTATCATATCTATCTAGCACTCACGGCCACTCACGCCCTTTCCTCCCCGCGATGGTGCGCAAGAACGAGTCTTCGGCGATCCAGACCCAGACGTCCCTCGCTTTCAAAGAACTAAACCTCACCGCCACGGTGGATCGAACCAAGGTGGAGAAAGCTCTGGACCATGTCTGCAAACTCACCGGCATCGGACCGGCCACTGGCACATTGATCCTCAGCGTGTTCAATCCGGCGCTTGTTCCGTTCTTCCAGGATGAGATGTTTGCCTGGTTCTTTCCTGACGCGGGGAAACTCAAGTACAGCTCGAAGGAGTACCAGCTGCTGTTTGAAGCGGTGACGCCCGTGCTGACGAGGTTGAATGTCAAGGCCGTAGAGCTGGAGCAGGTTGCCTACGTGCTTGGACATATGGACCTGCTTGGTGATGAGGACAGGAAGATATTGGAGAAGTCGTTCGAGGAGAAGGCGGGTCCCGCCGCCGAACGCAAGAAATCTAAATCTAGCAGTGGCGACGTACTGGAAGATGAAGAGGAACTTCACCAGGAGCAGTCCGTGGCAAACCAGAGAGGAAAACGGACGGCCAAGGTCAAGGACGATCAGAACGCAGCCGAGTCGGCGCCAGCACCGGCGTCGGCACCAAGAGGGGAAAAAAGGAGCCCGAAAGACGACGACGACACGAACACCGAAACCCACACGGCAAAAAGACGATCACAGCGCAACAGATGAAGAGGTGTCCTTCGCAAGTGTTCGAAATGTGGTATTAGTATTGCCTGTTCCAGCTCCAGGCGCTATGCAAGCTGCTGGAAACTGTACCCCATGCTTTTGTCCTATCCAACGCGAATGCCACGCAATATATTTGACTCAAGCCGGTATGTATTACTCCACCATCCACCTCCTTACAAGATGTATCCCAATCCGGCGAGAGCCACAGCGACAAGGCTTCCTCCAACTGAAAGACCGGAAGCACCGCTGCCCGAGTCCGAGCCCTCAGTAGCACTGGCGCTGGCCGAGGAATCAGTGCCGGAGCCTGTTCCAAAGCCAGTCTGGACGGCAGTCTCGGAAGACGTAGTTGCAGTTGGGTTGGTCAAAGGCACGGACGAGGTGGCCGAACCGGTCGTGGCAGGAGTGCTGGTGGTCGAAGGGTACGCGGACGCCGCAGCGCAATATTGTTGACGCTGTTGCTGGACGGTCGAGACGCCAGGATCGGCGGGGCAGTTGTTGTAGCAGGTGAGCAGGTTTTCGTATTGGGTGCACAGGCAGCCGTAGTCGGTCGACAGGCACGAGTTCACCTGACCTTGGATGGTGCCCAAGCAGGCGTCGAGGATGCTGGTGGAATTGGATCAGTACTGGATGCTCTGGTGAATGGGACCGGAAGAATATTCTCACTTTTGAGCAGCACAGCTTGAGCTGGTGGTGGATGAGCCAGAGGACGACGTGGCTGTCTGAGCCGCTGCCAAAGAGGCAACGGATGCCAGGAGGAGAGTTGTCAACTGCATATTTGTCGGAAGTAGACGATTATAGACTATACTGTAGTATGCTCAAAGGCAGGTAACGAGAGACTGGAATAGAAATCAACGAATGTAATGTTGAACAACGCACCCAACACAATAAATGACCTTGCGGATATAGAGATTCGAGGGATGGCGAGAAGGTAATGTACGGAGAGGGTGAAAATAAATAGAACAATGTCCACCACCGCGATGACATGGGACATGGTGCTCGGGGGCTAGACTCAATCTCGTTAAAAAGGTCATGGTCGATGGAGCCCGCAGACGACAAGGTCCAGTCGGATCAATTTCAGGAGTCCGGAGACTGTGGAGAGACCGGCATGACCCTTGGTGATCTCGTTGAGAGAGCGCAACAGCGTCCATTTCCGTCCATGTTGGAGGTGCTGGGGCAAACACAAGTGGCCGCCACCAACCTAAGACATGCTTTGACAGGTGTGTGTCTACGCGCTGCAGTGGTCCGCCAAACGTCGATTCTGGCCTTGGAGTGGACGCGTGGCGTTGACATGCTGTGGTCATGGCCGAAGCAGAGAAGCCAACCGTCCAGGGACCGGGCGAACTAGAGGTACCCAGTACGTCAAATGCAGTGCAGCGGACAGCACAGAAGATGGGAAGATGAGAAGATGAGAAGATGAGAAGAACGGCAGGTGATGTCGACGAAACTCTCTTGATTTCCGACGCGAGATCGAAGCCTCGCCTGGTGTACGGGGCTAGCCGCAAACACGCTAGCGTTGCCTTGTTTTGTCTAGCGGCATCACGTAATCCCCGCATTCATGGAAAGCCGCGCCGGACCTAATGACCCCTTTTCTTCCGATGTGGACGCTACTGATCTTTAGAGCTTCGGTTGTTGCTGGACGGAGTACACGGTACTGAGTAGTTAGTTGCTTTCATCGTTCGAAACCCACACGGACCGGACGTTCCTGACCCAAACCTTGATTTCACCTTACTTAGCAGATACCGGAGTCTATGATCTCTACACGTGCCAGTGCCGTTTCTATACCCTCATCCCTCGATTATTGAGGCATGCCACCTGTGTCGAAGAGCTCCATATTGATCCGATTCGCATCTACTCCTTTCTCCCTCAGAGCCTGCTCCAGCTCGACCATGAATTGTTCAGGCCCGCAAATTTAATAAGTGCCATTCTTGTCGTTCAGCTTCAATTCTTTCTCCGCGTCCAGCTTCGACAAATCCAAGCGGCCCCTATGGTCATAATGGACACCTTGTTCCTCGCCATGGACGGGATTGCTGTGGAAGACCCGCTTGTTGATCCATGGATGTAATTCGGCCATGGTGTTGACGTGGTCGTTGAATGCGTGGGTCTTGTGGTTTCTGCTGACGTGCACCCACGAGATCTGGCGTCGTCCACGCTTGGCAATGGAGGTATTGAGGATGGATGTGAGAGGAGTCAAGCCCACACCAGCGGAGAGAAGGACGATAGGAGAACGGTCGTCGTCGTCGTCGTCGTCTGGTCGCACGTCGAGAAAGAAATCGCCTGCTGGGTGAGACAGTTGAACAACATCTCCGACCTTCTTCTGGTCGTGGAGGATGTTCGAGACATATCCTGGATGAGCCAGAGCGTTGGGGTCTTGCTTGATGTTGAGCCCGTTATCTCGCTTCACGCTAATGCGGTAGTAGTCGGGCGAGTATCTGTCGCTGAGAGAGTACTGTCTCGCTTGCTTGTGATGCAAGTCGGGCACCTCGACTCGTATGGAGATGTACTGACCCGGCAGGAACTCGGGCAACGGCTTGCCATCGACAGGCTTCAGGTACAACGAAGTCACTTCTTCAGACTCGACTGATTTTGCATCGATCCAGAAATCTTTCCAGTCGGTCCAGCCTTGCTTTTGTGTCATGAGCTCGTCTTCCCGCTTGATCATGAGGTTGGCGATTTGGCGGTACGCCGCAGTCCAGGCATCAAGGATGGCTGGCGTCAGGGCGTCGCCCAGGACTTCCTTCATGGCTTCCAATAGGTACTTGCCGACAATGTCATACTGTTCCGGTCGAATGTACAGGCTGACATGCTTTTGGCTTATGCGCTCAAGCGCTGGCTTCAGCAGTTCTAGGTTGTCAATATTGGCGGCGTAGACGTAGAGCGCTCCGGCAAGTGCTTGTTGTTGACGGCCGTTTCGCTGGTTTGACGTGTTGAAGATGTTTTTGAGCTCGGGCACGTCGCGAATCATGTTCGCGTAGAAGACGGTCGTTATCTGAGCGCCATGCTGGGCCAGCACTGGTACGGTGGAGGTGGTGATGATGTGCGCTTGCTCCCTGGTTAAAGACATGTTACTCTGTGAAGTCTCTGATCAACTGTATCTTGGTGTTGCGGTCGCTGATTTGGCTGTCGTGCCGTCCTTCGCAGACAGGTTGGTCAATTGGCTATGCTTATATACAGCAGCTATTATAATCATGCTGTAGGACTATCCTCGACCCTCACTACACACTGCCACGAATATACGGGCGGAGGCGCGGCAGGAGTGTGACATATCGGCCGGCTGTGTACAGCTGAACTTGTGTTCATGCCTCATTTTGGTAGAATGAGAACTTACGTACGGAGTTGCGTGCTTAGACTGTCCATGAAGCGGCTGTACTGGGCTGCTCAATTGAACAGAGTGCACAGTACAAGTTACAGGCTTGTGCTGTATCAGGTAATCTCCTCGAGCTCGAAGGCTATTCACTAGTGCCGCCCACCATTCTCCACGGTATTCGTCCTGTCTGACGGGACACCTTCGACGGTGCTCCTCGAAGTTGCTGTGAGATCCAACACCAATCCTGTGAAGAAAGCAGCACTCCGAGGAGACTGTCTTTATTTACTTGACGCCCTTACTATATCCTTTGTGGCCGCGTTCGATGGTAAAGGTCCAAAAATTATTTGCCCGGTCTCCGAGGCATGCGCAATGCCGTACGGCCGACCCCTTCATACGCGCGTAGTCGGCTTTTCGACCATTACCACAATGGCGGATTCGATATGAGTCCATAGCAATGACTCCACGTCAGTCGGAGCCGAAACCATGTCAATTCACTTGAGCCGGCCATGGTATCTGCGTCGGTCCAAAGCCAATCCTCTCCAGGCTTTGCAGCCTTGACCACGTTGATGACATGATGTGTCCAGCAAGGGCCACGCAGGTGCATCGCAAGTCTAGTCCACGGCACGTCGAGTTGCATTGACATCGTTTAAGCAGTTTTTTGCTCGATGTGGTATCCAGTGTTGTCGTTTGGGCTGCCACTGCTATCGAGACTCCCCAGTGGCGGATCGCACTTGTCTTAACTCTCGCTGTGGGTGGCGCACTGGCCATGATTGACACTGGGTAGGCAGGCGACGGAGCGCAGATCGAACGTCACATCTGTGAACGGACTCTTATGGTGCAGTGGTGCTGCAGAGGATCATGGTGTTGCGGGCAAGGCGGCGCCAACAGCGAGCACCGTGCCTTGCGGCTGTCATTTGGGGGACCTTTGCATCCGATATTCCATGGCATGGCAGGGAATCTCGAAAGTAGTTCGGGATTTTCACTACCAGAGCGACGCAAGATCCCGCTACCTTTACTAATGAGACACGACTCTATGGCGCAACACAAAGTTGATAAGGCAGAGGATGGGCATCGTCGACGACCTGCCACCTACTGCTATGGGTGTTCGGGTCCTATGAAGAAAAGATGCATCAGGCAGTCCCCTAGATTGGCTAGTGGGGTCGTGCCTAAGTACAGCAGCTACCTTAGGAAACAAGGCAAGTATCAAGGATTGCAGCGCAGCGTACTTTTGCAGGTCAGTCGTAACACAATATACCAGGGGCCTTAAGTTTAGGGGGTAGCATGAGGCCTGTTCAGTCTCCGCGTTGGAAGGAGAAGGTCATGCAGGCTTATTGAGCCCCAATCCACCCACCACTGCCTTGGCCTGAGCCGCCTCAATACATCTGCCGTCCTTGTACAGGGATGCCTCTGTGGGTGGATTTTGCGAGGCTTCCTCTAGCTTGCCGGTCAGTAAACTTATGCTGTCAATGACATGCCGATAGGGGTTCCTACCTGGCGACGCGACCACGGCTTGCCCGTCTCATTGGAAGTCATGGTTGCCTAATGTGCTGAACAGCAGAAGCTTTCAGCGGAGACGCCACGCACTCAAGGGTGGGCGAGTTGCTGTTGCAACAAGTCAGAAGGGGGACCGTCTCGCATTGGCTGCCACTCCGTGGACATGCCCTGTATTGCTTTTCTCGAAGGCTCACTGGCCTTGAACTCATATCCTCAATTCCATTCGCGTTCAGATTTTCGTCCATCCACTTGTTGTTTGTTGAGAGCTTATATTCATGGTAAAGATCCCCACATCCCAATACTAACACCGCCGTGTTCTTCGAAGTATCTCCGGTCCAGGTTTCTGGTGGAAAGCCCAACATTCAAGCGCACATGCTGGACTTTCGAGTGCGTTAGGATCAATCAACGCTCCACCGACCAAACCACAGACCCAAGCCACCCTACAACTGCCGAAAGGTCACTTACTCACACGGAGTTGTTGCCAGGCCCGATCCGTGTCCCTTGCTCCTATTATCTCGGCCAGGTCGCATATCAAACCCTCCCTTCTCCACTTAAGGTTCACACTCTTTCATGCGATGCCAAATCAAACTGCAGGCTAGCCGATAGGATATGGTTAAGGTAATCAGTCGCCGCTGAATTGCCGCGAACGCAGCGAAGCGCCGAGATGGACATTGATCTGGCTGATGCAACAAACGCTTTCCTTCCCTTGGATGGCTCATTGCCTCGTTTCGCGCGACTGCTCGTACGGCGAATGCCCAGCCCATGGACACGCGACAGAGCTGGCACCCACTGGTTGGAATGCCTCCATCCGGGAGAGTCTGTCCGAGACTAGGCTACGCTTCTGGCTTCTGTATCCTTGTCAGCACCCTTCGCTCCGTGGCATGTCCCACAGGTCATTCTGAGATTTGTAGATGGAGGTTGCGTGTCAAGGAGACAGGCAACATCCGAGCATTGACAACTTCCGGTGGATGATATGGTCCGATGCGGCGTGTGAAGTCTGAGGCGTTACAAACATGCGATGATCCTCCGCAACGACCGCAGGAGCGAGCTGGACGTAGCAGCGTGCTTGCATTTGACGGGCGCCGCTCAAGCTGGAACACTCGCAAGTGGCAATCGGCGTCGTCAACGAGCGGCACAGTAACCCCGAATACTGCCTTCCCTCGCCCATTGCTTTACATTGGGTCTTCGGGGTCGTCGGTGCTGTCCATCAAGAATGTGTGTCACCATGCTGGCTTCGGATCTGCGGAGGGAATCTTAGGGACTTTGACGGCGACATTCCAGACGAATCCAGCGCTGGGAGAACGATACTTTTTGGTTCCAATTGTCCAGGTTCCTGTTGATCATTCCATTGGCGTGCGGAGCCGCGCAGGAGACGAAAATGAGGTTCCTTCCGAGACTCCCAACGGCCCCACTTACTACCATTTCCACCAATAAGGCTTCGTCATCTGGGCTGCCTTGGCGGTGCTGAGTAATCTCGTCGCCCGAGTATGACTTTACCTTGTAATCGCTTTGCTCTCACTGTCTCGCGCGACAGTGGAGAAGAGGTGGCGGCTTTATGTAAAGCCAGCGCCCGCAGGTCTCGGATTTCGAGACCTCAACCCATTATCTAGCGGCGTCTGTTCCCGGGTATCTGTCGATGAGATGGAAAGCCGACCGTACTCCGCCGAGGCCTCGGGCGAGCAGATGCGGAAGAAACGAATGCGCATCACGTTCAGTTGCACGAATTGTCGCCATAGCAAACAGAAGGTATCGTCGCCCTTGTCACTCATCGTCTGCATTGGCTCTGACGCGAACAAGTGCAACAGGGAATCGCCATGTATGACCTGCGTGCTCCGCGGAAAGCAGGATAGTTGCACCTACGGCGATGCGATCTCCGGGTAAGGAAGTGGTGATCGTTCGATGCTATACGATTCTGAGTGATCGGTTACCAGGGTCAAGCGCTCACATCTCTCTGCGAAAGGCCCCAATACCAGCGGCTTCTCCAAGCAACCCGAGGTCGAAGCGCATGAATACAGCCCTACGAATGGAGGAGAGTCACGGAGCCCAGATCTCGCGGCGTACGGGTATTCCAGTGTCAATGTGCACAATTCGCTTGGCATCCTGCAGAAACTAGAGAACCTTGAAGTCGGTGGGACGCGCAGACCACCACCACGCAAGCAGAGGAAGATCACGCTCTGTCGACCGGCCCTTGACATCTACAGGGCCGTCCTCAAACAGTTGCCCTGTCCGTCTTGCGTCAGGCACCTAGTCGCCGTCTTCTTCAACGAGGTGAATTGGCAGTACACTATTCTGGACAGGAACTACTTCATCCCCAAACTGGAGCAATACTATCAGCATTACCCCCTGCAGCCTCCGAGTCCTCCGGCCGACACGACCGTCTCGTCCGAGAAACTCATATTTTCAGCTCTCATTTTCCAGGTCCTAGCGTACGCATTACAGTTCATTCCAGCCAGATATTCTGAAAACTTGCATCCTCCGTGTCTGAAGGACATTGACGAGGACGGCGATGGTGTATCGGAAGATGCGACGATGCGTCTATTGAGCCTGTTGCCCAAGGACGTCATCAACTTGGATTACATCGCAGCGCAGATCTTGCGCACAGCTTGGCTCAAGAACCGCGGCTTGATAGCCGAGGCATGGCTCGTCGTTGCCCAAGCCGCAATCAATGCACAGGAGATAGGCCTCCATCGCGATGACGGCAAACTGTACGCCAGTGACGCCGAGAGTGCCATTGAAGAACTGTGGGAGGTAGTATTGCGCCGGCGACTAATGTTGAATCTTTATCTTTGGGACAGGTCAGTCGCTCAAAAGGACGATCCGCATCTTTTACTGACGGCTGTTACAACAGCCAAATGGGCATGGTGCTGGGCAAGCCCCTGAATTTCAAACCCAACGACTACACGATCATCGTGCCTACGGACTGTGAGATCCCAAGAAACCGCACATCGATGGCTCCGTTTCAAAGGACTGAATATGACAAGCCGAATACATTCACGGTGCGATTGCTCGAGTACCACATCCACAAATATCTCCCGCAAGTCAGAGAGCTGGAAGCGCAAGGCCCCTATCCACGCGATTACGGCAAGGTGGAGCGCTTACATCAGATAGCCCTCGACTACATCGCCTCCATTCCCCCGATCTACCGTTTCGAGAATCCGGACAGATCCTACGATGTAGAGTGTCCACATCTGGCATCGCAACGCGAATTCCTATGTGCAACTGTGTGGCTGTTTGTCCTGATGCTTCACAGGCCTTACATCTTCTCCATCGCCAAAAGTCGTACCGAGATCCTGAAGGCTGGAATCGAAATGTTGAAGGCCCAGCAAAGATTTTTCCTTACCCTAGAACCACACCACTACAGGATGTTCACGCTCGCTTACCTGACTGTCGAACCCTGTGTGTCGATGCTGGCGGTTCTGATTGCATTTCCGAGTGAAAATGCCGATCTCGTGGCCGAAGCATTCCGCTGTATCAAGGAATCCCTCTCCAGAGTGAACACGATTAGACGCACAAATCGAGTCGCGGGACAAGGGGCCGACGTCATCCACAACCTCCTCTTGCGGGCAGAGAAGAATCGTCCATCACCATCGCTGAGTTCCAAACCTAGCACCTCTTCCTCAGAGGGACGGTCCTCCGAATTGCTCATGACGCCCAGTTCCCGCGGTGCAGGGCCGTTTTACCCAATGGCAGAGCAACCGCCCATGTTCGCCAACAACACCACGTTCGCGGAAATGCCTGATTGGAACATGCAGTTCCAGCAGGCCTCTTCGATGGCTCCCGCGCCCGTCAGCTCGGGATACACATTCAACGACACCCCTTTCCGACCCGTTGCTGACCTGACGTATAACGATGTAGCTCTTGCAATGTCCGAAGAAGGGTTCAGCGCGGAGAGCGGATCCGAGCGCATGTCTACCGAGATGCCGCAACAGTTCCGTGGGGAGTTTGGCGAGGGTTCGTTTTGGAGTTTCGTCAACAGAGGGTCTGGGGTATGAGCTCGCTGGACTGTCGTTGAGGAATCACCGCGTCGACCTCGTCCTGAGGTACGAGATTCAGAACGGAAAGAAACAGGCGACGACTGCTGGTTCGCATCCATCGAAGCAGTCAAGCGCACCATATTAAGCACGCTCATCCGGTCGTGCAAGGTCCCCAGCCAGCTCCTTGTCTAGGAACCCATGTGTCTGTTATTGGACATTTACGTCGCCATCTTGCTCGGCATTGTCTACCTCTTCTTTAGCGCCATTCCCCTTGTGTTCGAAAGGAACCACGGCTTCCAGCTGTATCAGGTCGGGCTGTCCTTTCTCGGTCCCAGGCATCGGAATGATTCTGGGCGTCCTGACCGACCCTTTCTGGCACAACAACTACCTTCAAACGCGTGCAGAAGTTGGTCGAAAAGACTGGTGACCCCAACGTCAAGCCCCGAGCCCGAAGAACCGCTTCCCACCCCGCCGAGTTCGACGGCGTCATCTTCCGCATCGGCTTGTTCTGGTTCGGCCCGGCCACATATTCGAGCATTCATTGAACTGTGTCGGTCATTAGAAGCGCCGTCTTCAGCATCGGTCTGTTTTCTCGCTTTCAGTGGCATTCCGAACTTTCCTGGTCGACGCATACGCAAACTACGCTGCCAGCGCCGTGGGCGGGGAATTGTCTCGTCCGACTGTCTTTCGCGGCTGCATTATCCATTGTTCGGGACTCGGAGTGAGTGTCTGAGTCGATCTCCACATGCATTCATAAGGCTAATTTGGGTTCCATAGTGTATGAAAACCTTGGGCTTCCCGTGTTCTTCCCTCGCCATTGCCTGTGTGCCGACTGCAATACGTCTAGATCCAATCCGTCCCCCTTGATGCCGTGGATAACGCTGGTCAATGCGGGACAATTTTTCTTCTTTGACAGATTATTGGCGGAAAATCCGTGCGCGGAGCAGGTCTCAACAGTAAGGTTGAGTTGAGTGGCTCTGGCGTGCTTCTGAGGATTTCCTAGCATGAACCGCGTTTCGTCTGCTTTTGGCTCTCCGGGTCATGGCAACGTGGCTTACCTGAAGTAATTCGACAGTGTCGAGGGCCTCGAACGGGCGCGCGCACACTCGCTGAAACGCTACTCGGGACGTCTCCGAGAGCGCCCATGTGATTCATAGTTGAAAAAGGGGGTTACTCGAACTGCGTGCCAATGACGCGGCCGTGGTCACCGACACGGTACAGTTACGGTTACCGCAACAGCGTGTGGTCGACATGCACACCTGACCGTGGCAAGCCATACATACCGAGGAGCAGCGTTTGCTCGGCATTACTGACCAACGTACATTGGCCGTGCTATGTACAAGGCATAATCAGAGCGCCTGGCAATGGCATTCATCGCAAGCGGTCATCGTTCATGAACCTCCTAGGTACTGTAGTTGCAATGGAAAACTCGTATGCGGCGTACGAGCATTGATACAAATGGGCACTCTACCTCGCCGCAGCCAGAGGAGCTCTTCCAATACATGCACATGTGCAGCCGTCTACCATGAACCCGCTTTCTCTATTTCCGAGCACCCAGGTCGGGCACTGTGTGTTCTTCCCCGAGTCGCAGTCCCACTTGAGGGGGGAATAAAAGATAACATGCATTGCACACAACATGCGCATCTCCAAACCTGCCCGGCGCTCAGGAAGACCTCACCTTGGCACTATCGCTTGCCCGAGTCCTGCCCAGATGTCCTGTATTTGCGTCTGATGCATATATGCAAAATGCCACGCCCACATCATCCACAGGTGTCAGGAGGACTCAGTTCTTTCCCTTGGCCTGCTGCACCTCGGCCAGACCCTCCTTCAACGCATCGAGTGCCTTGTCAACTTCTCCCCTCGACTCATCCGTGACCGACACGCCCATGTGGCCAAAACGGATGTATCTCGCCGCAATCTCCCGGTGCAGACCGCCGGCGAAAATGACACCCCTGCTCATCAGCTTGGGCAAGATCTCGGGCGGAGTCAGGCCCTCGGGTAAATAAATTGCCGTCATTGTGTGGGCTGCATTTGCAGGGTCCAGGGCGAGCTCCTTCAGACCCATTTCCTTGACTTTGGCTTTGACGTAGTCGCTCACTTTCTTGTGCTGAGCAAAGCGATCGGCCACCGGTCTCGAAAGGATTTGCTTCAAGGAGGTGTTCAGGGCCTGAACCAACTGAGTGGGAGGAGTTGCAAAATAGGACGGCTTCTTGGCCTCGTAGTTCTGCATAATGGGCAACCAGTTCTTGAAGCTCGCGTAGTAGCTCCCGGGCGGGGATTTGCGCGACTTGAAGACGTTCATCGCCTTCTCCGAAACCATCGTGATGGATAGACCGGGCGGACATCCGATGGCTTTCTGAGACGCCGTCAGGCACACATCGATTGACATGTTGTCAAAGTGGATCTCCTCTCCTCCTACGGAGCAGACGCCGTCGACGACCAACAGTGTATCTGGAGAGACACGGCGCAACAGGTCTGAAAGAGCCTGGATCTGGGAGAGCACGCCGGTGGAGGTGTCGACATGCGTGACCGTGAGAGCCTTGTACTTCTTCTCTTTCAGCGCTGCTTCGATCTCAGGAAGCTGTGGTCTGTCGCCGATGGGAGCCTTGAGCTGTGTAGGCTTTGCGCCGTACGTCGACAGGCAGTCGGCAAAGGAATCGGCGAAGTATCCAGTGTGCAATACCAGAACATCTTCGCCAGGCTCGACGAGGTTGGCCGCCACAAGGTCCCAGCCCAGCGTACCGCTGCCCGCCAGCACAAACGGCTGCGAGTTGGGGTTGGTCGTCTGGAACAGTTGGCGCAGCTGAGTGAGAGTCTCGCCAAAGGCATTGACGAATGGCTGGCCGACGTGGGACTGGGCATAGTGCCCCATAGCCTGCGAGACTTCATCGGTGATCTCGATGGGCCCGGGAATCAGGAGAGAAGCGTGAGGAGGTTGCGAAGACATCTTGGCCGACGACGACGTGGACAATTGTCTCTTCTGCACTTGCGAGGGCGATTTCGGACGCGGGGCAGGTGGTGACGGAGGGTTCCAGGGCACGTCGTCCGAGGGCAACGAAGTCCTCTCGGTCGTGTATGGGGTGTTGATGGGAGGATAGGAGGACTGCTGGTGTTCTTCCAGGTGTCGTGAGATCAAACTCAAGCGACTGTTGGCTTGGGAATATGGACGTGAGCGTGAGGAAGCCAGTTTGAAAAAGTGCCGGGTCGTCACGGCGTAATGGACTCGTGGGGAGGCGGATTGGGACTTGGGGAGCGACTGGACGTGCAATGGCCGATGCAGGAGACGTGCGGGGGAGCGACCGACAGAGGCACGAAATGTCGAGAAAGGACTGTGATGCGACAACGGAGAACAGAGCGAGGAGCACAGGGACCGATGAGAGAGAGACGGAGTCACGGCCGCCATGGCAGCCATGTGTCTGCGGCGCGACCAAAGAAAAAAGGCTTGCTCCGGTCCACGCGTTGTGGGTTTGACAAGGCAATAATAATTTTTCTCTTTCTCTGGCATTGGGGAGCGCCAGGGGCACAGGGCCACAGAAATAGGCTTCCCTAAGCTCACACTTGGCTGCATCTGGCCGGACATCTGAGCGGCGGTGCGAACTGCATCACCGGCTAGAGCTGATTGGGTAGAACATCGCGACCAACCAGAGTCGATCTCGCACGTGATCGGCGTGGAATGTGTCCGGCCTACTCGACGAGATCTTGACACCCCAACACGGGTTGCTTCCGACATGTCTTCACCAATGTTTACAGGCGCCAGTTCTCTTCATCTATACATTGGTCATCTCGTTTCCAAACACACGTTCTTCGGTCTCTCGACATAATAGCTCCAGTCAGTTCGAGGGATGCCCCACGACACTGCCAAGTAATTGCAGGCGGGCCACGTGCACGGTTTGTTCAAATGTCTTCACGTCCATCTCAGGCCCCTTCAGCGACAAAAATGCGTCTTCTAATGCTGCCCATCCATCGTAGCGTCTCCGACCCCAGGGATCGCTTTTGCTCTCTTCTTCATCTTGCGAGACTGTCTTGACATGCCAGCCTCGAATGTCATCGCAGACGGCCATCCTCGCGTCGCCAATTTCTGACTGCTGACGCACCACATACTCGTCCCACGGCTCTTTCCCGTTGGCGAACACGATCCATCGCTTTGCAGTTTCCTTGGCCTGCTTCTCGAGCCAGCTATCTCGGTGTCGCGGGTACCGGTCCAGCAATGTCAGGAACAGGAATAAGATTTCCACAAAATGGTGGCCCGTCACGAAGCTGTGGTCTGAGCCAGGGAACGGATTCGTCAAGCCGAATGAATAGCGGTAGATCTTTTGTTTCTTGGCAGGGCCTGCTGCGGGCGCACTGTGGAGAGCGAGTTCGTTAGCCATATTATGAATGGGCTGTGAAAACAGCAGGTCCCCAACGAAGTACATGACGTTTCCCCAGAAGCGGTTGTCATCTACCTTCACGGCGAGCTCGCGTGTACCAGGTAAGTCGTACGCATCAAGCAGGCGGTCGGCCACCTGATCCGGGAAAATCGATCTGATAGTATCGAGAAAGCGTATTGGTGAAGCCCCTCGGATGAAGTCCCTGAAGACGTACCCCTCCCAGAAATCATCGCCAATAATAATGTCTTCAAGCCACGGACACGATGATATTAGTGGTGTTTGTTCCGAGAAAGAAGGACTTCCTCTTGGGAATAGCGGCTTCTTGACGCTCATCCCGGGCACATCTTCGACAAAAGGTAAGGTGTGTTGACCAGGATACTTTGCAAGCAGTTCCGCAGGCACCTGCCGAAGCTTTTCCAGCCTTTCACTAGCACTTGTGCCTTCAATCCCAAAGTGTTTCAGTAGACCCTGGTATTCTGCATTCTTCTGGTCAAATGTGCCGTGTCCAAAGACGACTCCGGACTGAAGGATCACCCTGTTGAACAGCCTTTCAGGAGAACCGCATATATGGTATACCAGGAAAATACTTCCGGCTGACTCGCCAAAGGCAGTGATGTTGTCGGGATCACCACCGAACCCACTGATGTACTTGTGAATCCATGCGAAAGCTGCACGCTGGTCTTGGATGGTCAAATTGAACGGACCATGAGGTGAAATTGACGGGTCAGCATTATACTCTTCGAGAACATCTTGACAGACGAGGCTACCGAGCCAATTGAGGCGGTACCCGATGTTGACCGTGATGGCGTGCAATGATAGCTCTGATGAGTAGGCTGCTAGCGCAGCGTTGGAGTGGAGGCCGTCAACGTGGCCAATGCCCTCTTGTGCGCCGCCACCATGTACGTAGACCATGACGGGCCGTCGTTCCAGCTCTTGCCCGTCTGCATTGACAGAGAGACAAGTCTCGGGCACGGAGATGCTGACGGTAAGACATGTGAATTCGTCAAATCTTACGCCGGCATCATCATCGAGCGCTCCACCATAGGCCGCAAACCAGCTAGGCTTGGTGGCACCAACTTGAGGACAGGCAGCACCGAACTGTGTAAAGTCCCTGTGCGGCCTGCCATCAAAATGGTCTGGTATATTGTCCCGAGGGATACAAGGCGCAAAGCGCTTGGGCACTTCCGCAAATGGTATGGAACAGAACTGCACGACTGGAGAGCCCGGGAAATGAGGTGACTTGATGAGGCGACCAGTGAGGGAGCCGAGTTGCGCGTGTTGATGTGTATATCGTGGCCCAGTGTAGGGTCTTCTTCCCATGATGTGGTTGGCGTCCAAGTCCGCCATTCTGGGTCCGCAGTACGTGGTATGAGACACCACAGTGAATGGATGCTACAGGAGGAGGATTGATGGGTATTATGAAGCACGTCCTTTGAAAATGTTCATGCCTTCGGCAGTGTAGTGAGTGCCAAAGTGGTGTCGAACGACACTTCATGCATCATACTTCAGCAGCTAGAGCTTTTGCAGCCACCGTCGCGATCGCTCTTGCATGATACCGGACTCGTGAGCCTATCACGAGCGAGCTACTTACCGTTCTAGCCTTTAATCATCTACCGCCTCCAAGGGGAGAACAATGGCCTCGCACTTTGGGACCCCTGGTCGACTGCAACCCGATCAAGTTCGCAGACAGCCAAGCTCACGCCCTTCTCGTGCGCAGTCTGCAGTCTGTCCAGGGGAGATATGCACACCAGGGTTCTCCGAAGCCGATTGGGACGCTCGGGTTGATCACCACAACTGACTAAGGGAAGCAAATCAAGAGGCTTCTCAACCTCGTATCTCGTCACTCGTCACTGCTCGTACAGGAAAATTCCGAATATCAACCGGCCGGAGCAACTTGTTGCCGCTGCAAGACCTTCCCAGAAAGGAATAAACCCCACGTGACGGCACGTGGGATTTTGAGCGTTGCAATCGCCAAGACATCGGAGTTCGCCGATACTGCCACTATTCCTAATTCTCTCTTGGTCTTATTCCTCCAACGATAGATGGGCTCACAAGAAGGAAATACTCTGGCGCATTGAGCTGTCAGCCTGCGGTTGATTTCGGCTCAGACTGTTTGCGAAGTCACCCAAAGCATCGTGTGGTCTGCCTGCAAAAATTGTCTGAGCTGGGGCAGAACAAATCACAAGGCTCGTGCAACGTCCGCCTGACGACTAACATCTTCCGCTCCTGGTAGTGCTTCGGCTTCAAATTCAGCGCGATATCCCTTGATCACTTGATTGACTACAAGCGTCAAATCCACTATGGGACCGAAAAACCGCATCATCATCGACACGGACCCCGGGGTCGACGATGTCCTCGCCATCCTCCTGGCCCTCAGCGCCAAGGCCGAGGACCTAGAAGTGCTGCTCATCTCGTTGACGTTCGGCAACGTGGACGTGCGCTCATGCCTCCGCAACGTCGTGGCGATCTTCCACATCCTGGAGAAAGAGCTCCTCTGGCGTAAGTCGCAGGGCAAGCCCCTCGGCTTTGATGGCATCACGAAGTTCAAGCCCGTCGTTGCCATCGGCGCGGACGAGCCCCTGCAAGACCGCATCGAAAGCGCCGATTATTTCCACGGTGTCGATGGCCTGGCAGGCACGCATACGAGTCATCCGCACTTCTCTCCCGAGGAGAGTTGGAAGCGCTTGTTCGAGCAGCCGCCGCCGGACGACGATCTGACGAAGAAGGCCAAGCCGGAAGTCGACATCGAGGAGCCGAGCAATGCGTTCGTCCCGTCCCTCGAGCCCGCCCACAAGGAAATTCTGCGCCTGTTGCGGGACAACGAGCCCGGGACCGTCACTCTCATTGCAATTGGCCCGTTGACGAATTTTGCACTCGCCGCGGCCGAGGACCCGGAGACCTTCCTGCGATGCAAAGAGGTGGTCACCATGGGAGGGACGGTCGACGGGATCGGCAACGTCACCCCCGTGGCGGAGTTCAACGTCTACGCGGACCCCTACGCGGCCGCGAGGGTGTACGCGCTGTCGTCGCCCATTCCGGCGAGCACGATGCCGATCGCCACAGAAGGGGAAAGAAGCGTCGACATGCCGCAGTATCCGCCACGCCTGTCAAAGCAGTTGAAACTGACACTGATGAGCCTCGACATCACGGAATACCACATGCTGTCACGCGGCGAGTTTACCGCCTTTGCGAAACCGTTCCTCGACCAAGGCTCCCCTCTCGCTGCCTGGATGTCGGCCTTCATGACGCCTATGCTCGACAAGATGGAGCGGCTGCACATCGGCCACGAGGGCGAGGGCGCCGCGCTTGCACTCCACGACCCACTCTGTATCTGGTACGTGCTTACGCAGGATGATGTGCGGTGGAAAGCGAGCGAACGAAGCCCCGAGGACATCAGAATTGAAACGTCCGGCCAATGGACCAGAGGTATGACGGTGGGGGACAAGCGGGCGAGACGGAGGAGGAATTCGGATGGCGAAGTGCCCCACGATAGGGGCAACTGGTTAGGAAATCGCAGTGGCAACAGGGTGGATCGGATGCTGGAGAGTCCTGGCCGCGACGAGGCGAGCAAGTATCTGTTGAAGTCGATTTTTGACGGTTGACGACGGTTATGGAGACGGTGGCCAACCGCATCCTTGGAACCTGCCTCTTGATACGCGATGGAGCTAATGCTAGGAATAGAGAGTGCTAAAGAATAGAGCATCCATGGACACTAGAACAGAACGAAGACGATATTTACGCGTTCGTCGTCCTAAATTCTGTAAGTGGAGTCGGATTGATGCTTTCACAGCGACACCAGGAAGAGCGACGGTCAGTCATATACACATATACACGCACGCACGCACGCACACAAGCATGCATGTATACTCCGCCCACACTTCCTCCCCAGCATGCTTCCATTGAATCTGCACCTCTTCCAGATACGAAGTAGACTCGGTCTTCCATGTTCCAGTCAGTCTATAGACCTGGGCCCTGGACCTTAGCCTTGGCCTTTGCCTTTGTCAACATCGACCCCCATCTTCACGAGCATGTCCCTATACGGGCCGAACAGGTCCGGCCCTTCGGCCGTGATGCCTCTCCGCCAATCCAGGCCCGGCTCCGCCTTGGCAATCGCCCTCTGATAGCCGTCCCTCTGCGCCACGCGGTCCAAGTAGGCCAACACGGCCGGATGGGCCGACAAGTCGACCTGATACCACTGCCTGCCCGTGGTGAGCGACCACACGATCATGACGTCGGCGAGCGTAAACTCGTCGCCGGCGAGATAGGTGGCCTCGGCGAGCCGCGCCTCCACCGCGGCCAAGTGCTTGTGGATGCCGGCCATGACGACAGACCGGGAATACTGGCTCGAACCCGCAGGGTCGGTCGCCAGGGCCATCATCTTGCGGAAGAAGGACGGGCCCAGGCTCGCGGTCGCGTAGTGGAACCAGAAGACGTAGTCCGGGTAGTTTGCCTGGTGGGGCTTCACGGCCAGCTTGCCCCCGCCGTAGACGGTGTTGATGTACTCTGCAATGGCGCCGGACTCGGACATGTTGAACTCGACGCCCGTGACCGGGTTGGTCGTCGTGATGACGGGGGCGGACCGCTGCGGTGTCAGGGCCGCGAGGTCCGGTGGTGCGAATATCGGCGCCCGCGTGTACGTCTTGAGCGTGTAGGGGATTTGCAGCTCCTCGCACAGAAAGACGATACGTTCGGATTGGGAGATGTGGAGGTGATGCACTGTCAGAGGAGGAGAGGGTTGCGACATTGTGATTATTTGTGGTGGAGGTGGTGTGAACCGAACACGAGTAGGAAAAGTGCAGGGGAGGGTGAAGGGGAGGGTGAAGGGAGGATTGCTCGTGACGGACTGAAGCAATATATATACGCACGTTGATCAAGGGAATAGACGGTCTTGAGGCCGCTACAGCTCTTGCAGTGATTTACCAATGATGGCCTGCCGACTTCAGGAGATGGTGTTCATCCGATGGACCGATCACCGTCAGAAGAGAAGCCTAGTTTAGCAAGCCCACTTCGGCGACGAGTCCTTCCAGACCTCGGCTACAGCGCGTGGAAGAGACAAGATAGAGTTGCAGAGACATCGACTGTGGTCTACAGTACAGCAGTCTTGCACTGTCAAGTAGGACGCCTGAATACTCTGAAGGCAGAACAGGAACGGTGGATGTAGAAGATTTGCTCCCTGATCATAAGGGGATATATTCCGCGCAGGCTACTCCTCGAATTCGTGCCATTCACCTGCATCACCATTGGCGAGAAACGCGACAGGCTCCTCGGAGTCGGCCACGGCTCCCCTATGTCCATCTCATCCGAGCGGTGATACAGTACTGGATCTTCCAGCACGGCTTGAATGGCACGAATGTGTGACACAGAATGACCAGTGCACATCTTTTCTGTCTATGTGCAATATCGACCGAATCAGCCGGACCTGCTCACTACGCAACAGCTTGCAGCTAGCTACTGAGGAAAGGCGTTCATTACGTTTCAGCAGAGTCGAGAGACGCAAAGCAAGACCGCGATTTCGTTGACATGGGCGTGGACAGGCTCGATTACGCCATAAATCACCGTTGGTGGATGCGGCCGCATACTGTACCGATTAGTCGGCTCAGCCTCGTGGTCTCTTCACGGGAGAAGTCACACTGCCTATGTGTCTTTGTCTCCTCTACTTTGCAGAGACGCGGGCAAACCTTGCATGTGTATCCACATGACGAAACCATCGATATCCCGTCATATCACACCCTGGCAAGGCAGGACAGCTTTGGCCAAGTTCGCCCTGAGAGCAGTGATGCTTGACCGTTGAGAAATACGAGGAGCAATGGGAGTGAACCCTGGTGAGTTCTTGGACAATGGCTTTGTCTATCACTGTGCTGGCCAAAGTACGCTCAATCCGTGGTTGTTCCGCTTATGCAAGTTCAAATAACAGAAGGCCGTTCTGGTACATCACGGTCCTGTGGAACGCAGAGGTCAAATAAACCAGCCGTAGACCCAGGGACTCGCAGGCGCTCAAATCTCGCTCCTTGTCATCCTCGGCTTGACTCGTTATCCTGCATGGTCTCATGCACATCGTTATACCCTTTCACCTGCTGGAGCCAGCGAGCTCACCGTGCCAGAAGAAGTCGCTTTGGAATTGCCCGCGCCAATGGGTTGCCGTCTCCCAGAAGCGTCAACGACGTGCTCAGCAGCCAGCGCAATTGGTAATCTCTTCTGGCTCACGCGATCGTGTCGTAAGCTCCTGTTCGGACCGGCACATTTCCAACATGTGGAAGATCAGAGGCTCGCCCAGGGAGCACGTTTTACCGGTGTGCTCAGAGGAGCCTAGTAAACCTTCTTTTTCTCATCCACGCTGAGCTGGCCAGGTCCCATGTTAACCAGCAATAAGAGACCGCCCATGATGGAGAGAATCTGGAAGAAATCGTACTTGGCGAAGTCCTTATGGGGGTGGTTCTGGTGAAGCTGGCCACCTCGTTAGCGGCTTAGTCCCCGAAACCTAGCGATGTACTTACTGTCCAGAAGTTGTTGACCAGGATGTTGAAGACGCTGAGCAGCAATACCAAGATGATGGCACTAAGTTTGGCCTTGAATCCCACCACGACCATGACACAAGCCACGAACCCGATCAGGCTGACAAGGACTCTCCAGATGCTCCATTCGCCGGCAAAGACGAATCCAACGAACAAGAAAATAAGCAGCACTCGGCCACCAAGCTGGATGTACATCTTCTTGTCCTTTTCGTCGATGGTAGGCAGACCTGCAAATACCCTTTTCTTGACAAAGCTGTCACCGAGAACCATAAGGAGGCCACCAATGACTGAGAGATTGCGAAGGAAAAAGTTGAGATCGAAGATGAGGCCGTATCCGAGCGCTTGGACTACCACGACCGAGAGGAGACCAGCAACGGCATACTCGCCGTAGCGGCGCGCGATGACGAGTGTAGAAGCGACGCACATGACGACCACGTTATAGATGAGGAAGAGGTGTGTGATGCCCCACGGGACTGAGGGCAGAAGATCAGCATCCGGCATTTCTTGAATCCGCCATGGTCTTTGGAAGCTGACTTACTGTGTCGGAAGTCTCTCAGGTATGTAAGCTGGTCACTCCACTGGGTGATGATTCGTAGTGCATCTTCGAAGAATGTAACGACGATCAGGAAGCGACCGATCGCAGGGAGGTACCTGCGAATACAACAATCAGCTTGTTGGCTCCTCGTTGACGCGCCACATATCTTTCTCAGCCAAGGGGGCCTCCCGTCGCGGAGAAATGTAATGTTGGCCACGAAAGCTCCGCGGCGACGGCTGTGGTCAGGAGAACCCCAAGCCTCCAGTTTCTATTGCACGAGGGAGAGGCGATGCTCACGGTTTCAGTGGCTCCCCCATGGTATTCAACCAATCCTCAATCTTGCTCGTCTGCTCCCGGATCTGATCAAGCGGACTCGGGTCATTGGTAGCATCTATATTCTTCTGAGATCCAAACTGGTTATTGAGGCCCAGGTTGTAGCCCGCTGTCCCGCGTATTTGCGCCATTTGCATTGGCTGCACTCGATCGTGAAGCCGGTCGGTCTGCGTAGAGGTGTAGCTCGGCGTCGGGAATGGAGAGGACCAGAGAATCAATATGGACTGGAAAGAGTAGCTCCTCACGTGGCGATATACGAGGTGGTAAGGGACACAGTGGGACGTGGATGTGCAGAGCTGAGAGGTGAGATCTCCCGAGAGCAAATAAGCACGCAGTGAATTGTTGATGGCAGGAGGAGGTGATCGAGGGATCCGCGAGGAGAGCCAATACCGCCGGGTTTGTAGTTGGCGACGTGAGCCGGCGTGGAAACGTTGGTAAGATTATATCTCGCAAAGGAAACCCAGAACGAAACACACAAAATGCACACTCTATTCTTAACACGCTGGCCGGACCAACCGAGCAAAGCAATGAGGGGAGATATACTCCGCAGTGGTCGATCCCGCCAATAGGATGCTAAGCCACCCCTGAGTTTCGGTCAGACGAAGGCCACAATCCTTTTCACCACTTTCACCATTTCCTCACGGCATCTTCACGGTTACATATATTCGTACCAGCCGAGGATTGTGTCTTTTACACGGTAGCGTGTCACTCAATACCCGCAACCGGCCACTTGCAGCAGATCTATGTTAGGAAGCACGCCCAGCGGTGCAATCATCCGTCTTAGTCACTTTCGCCTTGCTGCTGTGAAAGATGCATACTGTATTCAGTAGGCCTGAAGTTGACCTCCAATCTTCGTGGGTATAATCTGGTAGCATGATCCCAAAGATTTGAGCTGGCTGCTCCCCACTGTACCCGTAACTAGCCGTTGCAATGCTGATGACACCTGGATAATGCTGCATGCGACCACTAATTGAATAAAGGAAGAAAGTATTAGAATCGATAATCCTTCCGCCGCTGAGTTCCGAACCGTCATGCTGGTGACATATTCCGACACCTCGCTCAAGAAATTGCTTTGCTGTGTGAGTATTCTCCACAGCTCAAATCAAGCCTCCCACTCGGCGTCCTTGAAAGCCGGATCTGTGATTGCCTCAATGGACTGGAATCGGTTCGAGGACTCTGCCGACGGCTTTTTCACACCGTTCGTCTGGTGACCATTGACAGCTGATCTGCCATTGACCAACGGCCTGCTAAAGGAAAGACTGGCCTCACTGCTTGTGTCGCCATTTTCTTTCTTGCCCTTCTTTCCTTTCTTGGTGGTGACGGATTCCCACTTCTCCTCTTGTGCAAGCTCATTCGCCCAATTGTCCTGTTCCTCCTCGTTCACTTCGTCCGCCCAACTAGACTGACTTCCTAAGGTAGGTCTGGAAACCTTCTCGCGGTCTGAGGGTGCAAGTGCATTTGTCTGGTTCCCGCCGACCTCCTTTCTCACCATATTGACATTGGCTGTATCTGGCACAGCGTTTGTAACATCCGACAGTGGTTCTGACGTGACAGCACCATGCACTGTAAAGGTCGGTGCTACTGGCTTCTCGAAGGTGTCTAGCAATGGTCCTACCTCCTCGTGGCGAGAGGTTTGAGTCAGCTTCTCGGCCGCCGGCTTGCTCGACTGCCACGCATTCTGCTTCGACGTGAAGGCATCTGCCTTGATCTGGTTCGAGCTGCCTTCTGCTATCCTCGCGGCCCGTAATTGCGCTTGCTTCTTCTGCTCATGCAAACGATCGGATTCCTCTCTTATACTCTTCTGCTCGGCCGCTTTCGCTTGCCTTTGTCTTTGCTTCTTAGTCAAGGCAGGTTGGAAGGACTGGGACGACCTGGCTGGTTGTTTTGAGCCGCTGTCCTTGACATCGGTCAATCTCAAAACGCCAGGTTTGGCGGCGGGCGCTTCCAGCATATCCGACACGTCACCCGCGCGAGAAGTAGGTGCAGTAGACACTGCGCCGGTCGAGGGAGATCCGATAGGGGAGACATCGTCATCTCCATCACGGCCAGTGGTGGAGGAGGTGTCTGTGGACCGTCCTGAAGCTACTGGGCCGTTTTGCTTGCCCTGATTCGCCATTCCAGCAGCACGACGCTCTTTCTTGGTCGGGCCCTGAGTGTTGGCGGGTTCAAGTTTCGTCCCAGCTTGCGCTCTGGCGAGCTGCTGAGCGAACTCCTTGTTGCTCATTTCGTCATCCTCATCTCTTGGCAAGGTCACTGATCGGCCTTCGTTGGTTCTAGCGACAACCTGGTTTTCGACCGGCGGGGAAATGAGCTTCCTCTTCTTGTTGGCTTTGCCCTCAGTGGCACTTAGAGTGGGGGTGGAGATGCCACTATTGCTCGCCTCGAGTCGACTTGCCAGTGTCCGCTTCGCCTTCTGGCGTTTGGCAGGTGGCTCTGCGACAACCAGTGGTGATTGTGCGCGTTCGAATATGTGCCCAGTCAATTTGTTGAAGAGTTCGGGGCTGTAGAATCTGATTACAAACGCTGTCCCGGCAAGCACCGCGAGCCAGGAAGTGGCCACCTTCCACCACATCTTGGATCTTGCTTTTCACTGTTCAATGCTCGATGAAGTATTGACTACCGGTGGCAAAGTTGACAGAGCCGGATGCCGAGTGAGCCAAACTTATGTACGCGGCGGGCGGTAGGGAGGTAGGTCACGTCTGGGACTCGTAGGGAAGCGTAGGGGTACGCGGCCAAGCGAGGGATGGGTGCTGAGTGGTTTCGAGTCGCAGGCCAAGCAGCTTGTCAATTTCGACAGTGATCTGGGCAAACTCTGCGGCAACCAAGTTCCGTCGTAGCTGCGAGGTACAGTGTGGAGGAAGTCGGAGGATGTCGAAGACTAGAAATGCTCGTGTTGTTGTAGTCCCGGCCGGATGCAGAAAGGGCAGGTGATCTTGGAGGTGTCTCAGGAGTGATGATCGGGGTCGAGGAACCAATACAGCGAAATTTAGAACAAGACCCTCCAACATGCCCGGTCTCCGTGGCGCAGGATTGTGAGTGGGCCACAGCCTCTTGGGAAGGAACAGAATGCTGAGAAAGGGTGGACTTTTGCCGTAAGTACTCGTACGAGGTACGAGTCCTGTAATGATGCAGTGACGGTTCTCGTTAGAGGGCGAGGATGGGGAGGGTGGAGAAGAGCGCGCAGTGGTGGACGGCTCAACGGCTGGAACGTAGGCACAGTTTCCGTCGAAGCAAGGGGATACGAAGTTCCCTCTGAGACAATGGATGCGAGTCCCCGGTGAGATCTTGACAGGCCACGCAGACTTGCTACTGTCCTCAACTCCTTCACTTGGCAGTCACTTGCTCTGACCGTCGTACGAGTTACGGCCACCTCGTCACAGCGCTTCACGTTCGTGCCCGTTGGAAATCCGCCTGCTGGACTGTTTCGTGAAATTGCAGCGTCACCTGAGATGAGATTGAATCCACGTTTAGATGAGCGTTCTGTCTCCACCTCCGCACTGTTTCTAGTCTAGGATCTCAGTTGAACCTCCAATCAGGGTGGCAAGCTGTGCAGCTGATGGCGTACCTCATCTCGATTCACGAATTTCTAGATGGCAGGCAGGAAGGACGGCCGTAGTGTCTGTCGCAGCTCCACTCCATGCATAGAAAACCATCCCTGCAGCAGCCATGCGTGCTTACTGGGTACCCCCTCAAGGCTGCCTGCACGCCGTTTCCTGTGAAAAAGAGACCGAGAGACTTTTTAGCACAAAAGATCTTGCAATATGTGCCAATTGCACGGCATTTACTTCTTGTCTCGCCTTTTCAGATGTTACTCCAAGACCGCGGGTCACACTCGTAACGCATAACGCATCCCAGCAGCGCCTCTGCCCTTGCTAGAAAAAACCTTCAATGAACGCTCAGATAGGTGGATCAAGAATTCCAAGCTTGATGGAGGGGCATCCAGACCTCCTCATCGTTTCAAGCCGTAAAACAACCAGATAGATGGGCTCCCTATTCAACGTCACCACTCCACCGGCTGGTTCGATGGCACAACATAATGGAATTGCCATGAATCTCGTCTCTTGGGGACAAAGAGATCTCCAGCAATCCGTGATACGGGGTGTATAGGAGGGGGTCTGATGATAGGATCTGATAGATGTTTGATGCGCGAAGGATTCTGGTTCTCCCTTCGGATGTCGCTGCCTTGGACACTTTCATCCTCGCTTGGGTCGTCTATGCTGTCCAAGGAGTGTTTTTCATCCTCAGCGTCAGTAAAGTGGCCGATGCCCCGGGAGTGGACTTGTTCTGTAGATCGCGTCTTAGCCAACGATGGCTTGGGCTCCGTATCTCTCAGCGGTCGCCCTATGACGCATAGCGGCCAGCGCATCTCCGGTTCTGCAGCAGGTCTTGTTCGTGCTTCCATCACCGCCGCACTCGGAGGTGGAAGCAGCATCCAGGCCGCTTCTGCCCTCGTCGCCGGTAGTTGAGACACAATTGGCGGGTGCATATCATTCACTTCCGGGTGTCTTGCCCGGTAATAGTCGTAACGCTCGCTCTCGTTCGTGAGCGTTCGCTTCCGCTTGTGTGCTGGGGCTTCGTCTTGTTCCTCTTGATCTCCTGCATCTTCACGATGCATCCCAGACGTGGCGCGATTCCACATTCTTGTGACTCTCTCAGTAAAGCCGGCAAGTATCTCATCTTCCCGATCATATCTTTTCCAGTTCCACTTGGGCGGATGTAATGATGTACGCAGGGATTCTTTGATGTTATCCACAGCATTGGATAGTCTCCTCTCCCTAAGTGGTCTTGTTGGGCTTGGAGCAGATTTCACTCTGTTGGTGTTGTCTTCTTCAGCCCCACTGGTGCTCGATGTTTCCGTAGTCGAGTCCGCAAAGGGCCTTGCAGAGGCTTCCGTGGGCTGCGGTTGCAAAGCAAGCAGCTCAGGGTCAGGTGTGAAGGACTCCGGTGACTCTTTGTGTACCTTGCTCTGCAGTTTCGCTAGGAGAGAATCCTTCTTCCACCCTTTCGGTGGACCAGGGCCCAGCATCAACTCTTCCGCCCATGCTTCGTTCGTCTGAAATGGAGCTGGCTGTCTCACCCGGCCCGGTTGAGTGACAACAACATCGGCTCTTTCTTGCGCCTGCTCTCTGGCCTCCCTTCTTCTTTTGCGCTTGTGTTTGAACTCAACCCAAGGTGTACAGGAAACGTAGTAGAACACTGCCGACTGGACACCGCGTAGGAACCAATTGCCTGGTTCCGCCGTATATGGAGGAGAGGGCATGGTCGTTCAGGCTTTAGGGTGCAGGGTTGGTCTTTATGTGGTGGGCAGGTCGTCTTCTTCGCCGGTCCATGGTACCCGCCTGCGCCGAATGCAAACAGCAAAGGGGTGGTGGTTGCGACAGACAGGGTGGTTTGGATCCCTCTCACAACTGTAAGGAAAGAGCAAGGCAGGCAGTGTCAGAGCCAGACTAGGGTTCCAATCGAATCGCACCCCCTCGACCGATGGTGACGACGTGGTGGAGGTCGACTGGTTACGCTGGAAAGTCTCATAGGGCCGACAGAGGGAACCAATAAACTGCGGGAGGGGCTGTGCTTCGTCTGAGATTTCCAAGACCCGAGCATCACCCACGCTCAGTTTACTGGGTACACAATGGCTTGACGAATAGGAGTTGGTCCGCGCTGCTCTACGAGAGTCCACTGTACTTTTTTGGAATCTGTATCTGCTGCATAGCGGAGAACGGGCCTCCACAATGAACTGGCAAGAAGAAGGCATTCAAATTATCCCCAGGACCACGGACATTCACCCACTGACTGGCTGGCAACTGAGAACGCTACGTCCACTCCAGAGGCCAGACTGGGCTCCTGGGAATGGCATCGTCACGTCCATCATCTAAGAAATCGCTCTCCTTCGACTTGGAAGCATACTGGGAACATCGCTTCACCGCTTCGCAAACGCCTTTCGAGTGGCTGACATCAATTGACGTCACCGCCAGCATTTTGCAAAGAGAGATCGGGAATGCCCTCAATGATGGAAATGGCCGTTTTGACGAGAGCGGACCTTCCATCTTGCACATTGGTTGCGGGACTTCTGGTTTGTCGCTACGTCTGAGAGACTATGTCCGCCGACCAGTTGACGTGCACAATGTGGACTTTTCTCAGCAGGCTGTAGAACTTGGCCAGCAGAGAGAGAAAGAGTGTTTCGGGAATGGAGCACTTTCTGGAGCCGGGATAGGAGATGAAGTTCGGGGGAATCAATCTGATACTAATACTAGCTGGATGCGATGGAGCAATGTCGACCTTCTCTCACTGCACGGCGTCCTATCATTGACTGATGAGGGAACAATACGTTACGATTTCATCATCGACAAAAGCACAAGCGATGCCATTGCTTGTGGGGATGATGTCGACTTCCTACCAACATCCATTGACCACGGAGGTGTGCAGAGGGTAACTAAGATGCACCCCGTCGAGGTACTCGCCATGCACCTTGCTGCTGTCACAGTCATGGGCGGTCGCTGGATCGTCATCTCATACTCCGCGGAACGATTCTGGTTCCTAGAGGACAATCCCAAGCGCCATACAGATCTCTTGTCGCAAGGCAATACCGGTCAACAGTCCGGCGGGAAGGTCGAGCCTGGGAACTACTGGCGTCTTGATAGGAAGGAGCCGATAGCAGCATCGGAAGCAGGGAACACACCGTATGACAATGTGCACCGGCCACAGATACACCATTGGCTCTACGTGCTCGTTAGGACGATGGTGCCTTTTCAAGCAAGGCTCGTGCATTGATCTGGACAACAGAAGGTAACACGGGAGATGCTTTTCCGTGGCTGCGACCCTCCCTGCGAATGTAGTGCGACGAATTGCAGGCCCGCTTAACATCAGCTTCTGTGTCAATATAGGGCTCCCGGCTCTGTCACTCGAGCGTCTCCAACCTCCATGCTTTTGTTGGGCACCATACCGACCAACGCCCTATCCATAATCAGCACTGTCGACGATCGTCCCCACCATCGGACCGCACAGTCATACACATTCGCGTTGTGCTTCAGTCAAGGAGCCATGGAAGTCTTCCTGAAAAATACCTCCGCCATCGGAGGGTATAAGTATCTCGCGTGCACGTTCCTCCCTGTCTGTTCTTATCTTGTCGAGAAACTTACTAAACCACGCGCACTATTCCACGAGGAAGTTGCATGCTCCACTGTCATATACGCTCTACGACATGTTGCGTTCTTGCCACTACTCGCTCGATTAAAGGTGTGCCCATCTGTCTTATTGGTGGCTCATATCGAGGTCGGGTCATGGCCAACGCTCATATCGAGCCTGGACAGGCCTTCCCGCATTCTCTGCGGTTTCTGCCCTGTCTATGTGTCTCGGTGGCTACGTCGCGCATGTTCGACTCGCACCGGAATCGGGTTGAACTTCAATCCTCATACAGGTCGCATGAACAAACAAGCACCTCCGACCCACGTTGCCGACCTGCCTGCATCTTCAGCTTCTACACTGCCTTGCAACGCCGAGTACAGGGCTGTCTGATGATGATGAAGAATGAACGTCGACCTGGGCAGGGAGCAGTGCTTGGTGCGTGTCTGAAAACAGACCGCCCAGGAAGCAGCTTCACTCAGTGCGGGCAAGTCAAGCATTCGGGATTTGCGAGATGCTCTGTCGTATGACATGACAGGGATGCGACCACGAAACATTAAACAGACTTAGCATTTCGGGGATCTGTTGCGCATCCGTCCGCGCGTCACGAAGATCTGCCCCACACTGTGCTATCAAGAAGGTAGATTACGAAGTGAAGACTTTCTACAGATTCGAACGATGACAACAGGCTTGCAGCAGGGACTGTTTCCCCATATCCGCATCTTGAAGATGACACCACGGCGGTAAGGGGATCATCCGATACGGTCGTATCACTCCCTTCACCAGTTCTGCAAACAGGCCTTGACTTGGGCCGCCTGCAGTACCTAACAGTCGCGTCGAAGGCACGTGGACGTGGGGTATCGGATACCCACCAGCATACATTCCGTTGACCTCGATCTAGAGTCTCTCTCCCCAGCTATGAACGCCTCGGCGGCGTTCAAAGCTCAATGCTGCTCGTTCTTCTCCGCCATCTTCTGGATCGAACCACCGATGGCACCGGACCTACGTCCAGATTAGTACGCCACTCATCGCAGAATCGACGGCGTCTTTGGATCGAGGTCGCCTACTATCGCGAAGCAGTGTCCAAGGACATATTAGGATATGATAGTATGATTTGACTCACGGGGTGAAGTTCTTTCCGATCATGCCGTCTTCAGCCAGTGGCCCTCCGACTTTATTTCCGGCACCTCCAATTGCGCCTGTATATGTTGGATTGTTTGTCAGTTCTCGCATTCCAGCTTGCCTATTGACCATTGCCGAGTCGGCAGAGCGCCCAAACTGACCTGCTCCCGTGAATTGATGGCCAACAGCCCCATCCTTTGAGAACATCGAGGTACCCTGACCTGTCGTCTTGGCTCCAGCGGCTGCCTGTACGGTAGCAGATCAGTGTCAGTCGTGCATGATATAGGATATTGCAGGCAAAGCAGTGCGTACTCCTTGTGCGGCGCCCTCGTGGATGCCTTCAGTGAGATCTTGTGCCTTGGTGGCAGCATTTGCGCCTGCATCCAAGTTCTTGCCTGTGTGGTCGCCGTCCATTGTTATTGGTATTCGGAGGTCCTCAATTGAGAATATGGATGCAGTTCTCGTAGATATCTGACGACGAGTATATGGTCAAGTTGTTGAAGAAGTCTCAATGGGTATTGCGCTGTTGTCAATAGGGACGTTTGCAATCATGATGCAATCGACGGCACATTCGTGGAGCGAGGACTCCGGGGTACCTATGTAGCTGATTTTGGTTTCTTACATTCCGTCGGGATGCATGATACGTAATGTTAGTGTCATACCATGGGTTGACTGGGTGGACATCTTGTAATTGGAACCACGAGGCACCTACGAGGTACAGTGTTCGGGCGATGGAGACAGATAGAATGGCTCGAGGTACCGAAGTAGGCGTCATAGACTCCGATCCAAGCGACGACAGAACAGTGATCAACGCTACCAGTGATTGGCTCGACCGAGACGTCAGCGTGATACATAAGGGTTAAGTTCAGGAATATGATGAGCATGGAAGCCATCCAATGACACCGCTCGGAACTCGGTGAACCTTGCTTGGTGAAGGTCGAGTCGGGATGCATAGAAAACATGATGAATTACTACCATATGATGCCGGACGAGCCAAGGGCCCGCAACCACTCATGTCCATAGTATTTGGTGGACTTGAGCTCGAAGTGGCCAGCCTTTGTGAGGACACAACATTGGTCCCGACAGATAAAGTGACTTTCACCACTCATTGTCTGCGCTGGTGCTACAGTAAAGCTCGAATGCCATAGAAATAGTGCAAGACAAGGGAGACTGGGCAGACAAAGCCGTCCGAACAAAACGCTGAAGGTACTACGAGTCGGTCCACTCGTAGTACTTATATTGGCTGTGTTGGACCTGCAGCTGGTCGACCACAGAACACTGCCGTTCGAGTAAACACGAATCCTGCTACAGTGGAAGTAAGTCTATCCAACACCACCTCGTGAATCCTTCCGTCTGCTTCGGGTCATCATGCCATTCAGAAACTCACTTGCAGCCATCGGCGAAAAAGTTGACTCACCCAGTGCCGACTCTGATATTGACTCTACCATCTCTCTTCCAACAACGGAAGGATTTGAGGGAAGAGCCAGCTCCTCTCTCCAGGGGCGACGGACCCGGTCTTCCCACGTTCGCAGCAGTGATCCTGAGGCAGTGCTGGCACTCACCGACGACGTCCTTGGGGTCGCCAGAGGTTTGTTTGCCCTGGTTGACGCCAAGTATGCAGAGGAGGAGCTGCTGGAGGTCCAACCTGCGGGAGACGAATTCGAGGTTGCCGACTGCCTCGATGACGCGCGATGTCTGAACGACGTTACCGCTGCGAAGAAGAAACTCAATTATTTCAAAGCTCGACTGAGAATTGCTAAAGCACAGGCGGTCGTGGCTGAGAACCGGCTCAAGACGGCACAAGCTCAAGTTGCATTTGCAGAGGATCGCGTCAACCTCGCTATCGACCAGCTTGAGTCTGCCCTCGGTAAATAGGTAAGTTGTGAGGCGAATGGAAAAGTGAAATGAACGTGAAACAAACTCTCCTCGTCAGTGTTGTGCTTAAACGTGATATGCTCCGCCCAAATGTGACTACTGCGAAGTGCAGGCCGATTCTCGCTTATCACGCTCGTGCGTGCCCCTTGTTCTTTTGTTTCGACCTCGACCTCGACCTCGACCCCGAACGCTGGTGACTAGCTCTTCAGCATTTGACGCGGCGGATATTCATCACTGCCCAGTCATCCAACCCAGAGTCACACACCCTATACAGGTACGAAAGAGGGAAAGAAATGCAGGCCCTGCCTTGTCTCGCCTTTCTTTGTCCGGATGAGGTCACGGTGACAATGTGCGACCCGCATTCTCGCAACACGACCGACGATTCGATCTTGTCCGGACGGCATTTTCTGCGACGGCACAGAATTTCCAAAGACAGGGTAGAGTAAGCATTATCATACTGACTTGCCTATAGATACAAAAGAGACAACCAAAATCTATGCTCCTCAACTCCGCCGCTATGCAATGCGATGCGATGGATTTTTCAACAGATCCTTGCAATACAATCCCACATTGTCACATTCCGCTACAGCCTCAGTTCATCCTCTGAAACTCGGCCTCAAAATCTGACCCAGCTTGGCCCGAGTCTGCCCATGCGCCATGTTCTCCCGTCAACGTTGCCAGGCCTGGATGATAAGATTCTGGTTCATAACCCATCTCGAGTTGTAGGCCCGAGTCATATGCGATTGTCCTTGGAATCTCCTGCACCGGTTCTGCGCCTTCTTCGTAATACACGACCTGATAGTTCGCATCCATCTGTCCGAGTCGAGGATCGAGCATGTCATTCTGGACCGAAATTGCCACGGGCTGAGGAGCAGCATATGTTGTCAAAAGATCGTGGTGCTCGGTCTGTGGCAGTCCCACCAAGCCCATGGTCGTCTGATATCCTGGAAAGGGCTCTTCGATCCTTCGGTATGGATACCCGACCACTTGCTCATATGGTCCAACGGCGGGTGCGGTCTGATAATAGTCACCCACCATGCCGTTGGAGCTGATCATGAGTTGAGGTTGCCCATATGGGTTGCTCATCTCATAACCTGACCGATGATGTTGGGCCGGCATCATTCGCTGATAAACCGCCGGTCGGTCGTCGAAGGGCGTGGATGAAGAGCTCCTGCTCTCGAAGCGGCGAGCACTGCGACTGCGCTTGGAGCCCTTGACCGATCCTTCCCACTCTGGATCACTGTCACTGTCGTCGTCATTCCTTGTTCTCTTCCCTGCCTTGTTCGGAGCGAACTTGTAATTGGGATGAGCAATGGCGTGGTTGTCTCTTTCCGTGATGGCATATTGCTCGTACAAGTCCCTGACCTCTTTTGGTTCCAGAGGCCAGCTTGCACCAGTTACCTGCGACACGACTTGGTGATTGTTCTCCTTGCAAAATTGCTTGACCCTCTCGGCGTATGCAGAACGGTACAGCATGAAGGAGTTCATTGGTCTGGAGACGTATCCTTTTTTCTTCTCAACCTCTGCTAACCGTTCTTCTACCGACCGGTGGACCCACAATCCCATATCCCGCACCGGTGTCTTATAATCCTTCGTCAACAAACTCAGAGGCTGCTCAATTACGGGTCCTCCTTTTTTGTTGCTGACCTTCTTCCTCAAGTTCCGTCGAGACTTCGGAGATTGTGACGCTCGCGACGATTCAGTTTCAGCTGGACTCGATGGGGTACCGATTGCTCGACCGCTGCGGGTGAGAACTCCTATGTTCTGAGGAGGAGTATGTGAAGGGACCGATGTGCCTAGTGTCTGTCACGGTCAGTGCGTCCCTTTTCTCGAGCTTGCGCGTCGTCTGACTTACTTGTTGTGGCGTGTAGTAGATAGGTGTTGGTGCTGTGTGATATAAGGATGGGTCACCGTACGGGTCCTGCCAAAAGGGTAAGCTACCATTCAATTCGGCCGCGACTTGGAACACATACGTATACTGGTTGGGGTGTCATGTCTGACGTGAACGATGATGCAGGCATTGGCGGTGTGTACGGCCGTGGCTTGATGCTGGGAGGTGCTGGCGTCTGGTCGTTGGGAGCCTGACCGTAGTGACCGTCTGGGGAACGAGGCGGCGATGGTGGCCGTGCAGTCGTGGATTCTTGGGCCATTGATGACGGCAAGACCGTTGAACTGGTAAAAGATGATGTGATTACCGATGTGCCTGGTGAGGGTGAGTTGCCGATCGACGTTCTGAGTCCAGAAGAGTGAGGTGAGTTATAGACAGCCTTGTGCTCCGGAGACCTGGACACCTTCTGACTGCTATAGGGAAGTCACTCTAATGTCTGATCCGGCCTTCTGGATTTGTATCCAGCTACCAGAACCGCGCGACGCCCGTCTCAGATCTACCCAATCCACTACCTGTCGCTCTCCGACGCAATGCGCAGTCGCACAACCGTTGACGTGCTTTATCTCAGCAGTGCTGTCTTTGATGGCAAAGACGATTGATAAAAGGACTCCGTTGTTCTCGGTGAGACTATGTTGTAGCCGTCTTTATCGATTGTTGCAGTAACCCGTCCGATGGGACGGGAGGTCTTTGGCGAGGTTTGTGTTGTTGAAAGGATCGGTGTCGGTATGCTGCAGCAAGGTTGGAGACTGCTACATGCGGTGAGTAGATCGATGGCGTTGCTGAACCGACTTGGATGACGCTAGCTGTAGGCACCTTTGTCTCAACTACCCGCAAGGTGATGGAGAGCTGCAGTCTCAATACTGAGACTCAGATGACAAGCCGGTTGAGAACCTTTGTTGAAAAGAGAAGAACACGAAGAGAAAGAAGACTCTGACAAGAGAACATATCAAGGTGTAGCAAGAGTCTCGGCCTTGTTGATGTGGTTGCGACTGTTGGTCGCTTGCAGCTGGAGGTGCCGCATCCGGAAACATGACCAACATGCGGCTTTCTGAAGACGATTCCTTTTGTTTTCAGTTCGATGAAAGCAACTGGAGCAGAAATGATCACTCTGCAGGCTTCGTCTTCCACACCACCAGCTTCCGGGAGATGGAGAGCTGATAAGTCTTGCAGCCGGGTCTTTGGCCTCTCAGCTAGTCATGCTATGAACTCTCCCTGGGTCTCTGTAGCCGTATCCTCGGTGCGTCCCGTTGGATTGGTATGTCCTGCCAGTAACCATGTCGAGCATAGAACTGACTTCAGAAGCATCAGGCCGGACAAGCAGCTCCCATGAAGCCTTTTGGGAGACAGAACATGTCGTCCGAAACCCAAATTCTACATAGGGTTCATCTAGAGGGGCAGGGGTTGCACTCCGCAATTCCTGGCGGATGCTCGGGCCACCAGTCACATTCCACATACTTTGCAACAGCCGCTTGCGGTTGCAACCAGACTTGCTCTCATATACTCTGCAGTGCTGCGAGCATTCAATTCGGGGCGGGCCCTGATTCTGACCGGCGGTGATTTGCCGATGGCTTGTCTGCAGTGATTGGCTACCGACGGGTTCTTTGTACGACGAACGACTCATATGACAGGCGGCAACAAACATGATCGTCATGGAACTGGCTGCTGCATTCCATAATCTCCGATACGCCGGCGACGAACTTCACTTCGGCCTCCCCATGAACTGCTCCTGGCTCCGCCACTGCGAAGACTGTGCGGTTCGCCCCAAGACCAACTATATCATGGTAACTTTCCCACTACGTCTGAAGCTCCTACCACTATTAGCGGTACCCTTACAAATTCCACCATCTAAAGAACCTCGGCTTTTGATCTAGAGAGCTATGTTGGTTGCTGGCGCGATTTCTTGCAGGAAGCGGGACCCTTACGGCCCGCTACCGCCCTACCCTGCTTCGAAGGTCGGCTCAGATTGCAGGAAGTTGAAAGCTTTAACAACTCTCCAGGGTTATCACCTCCACAGCGCTGTCGTTGCTCTGTCAGATCATGAGGCCCCTAACATTGTTTGCGCTGGAACCCCGTGCAGCCTCATCCGACCAACGACAAGGCAAAGCCCTGAACTGTCTCGGTTCTCTGGAATTTGACACACATCAAAATAATAAGACCCAGCAGCCGCCGAGTGACATCCATCTGCTCGAAGAAAACCCGAGAACGTTGGATTACTCTCCACGCGCATGACTTTTCGACGACTACCCCAGAAACGAAGGCGTCGACACGAAGCGGATAATCTCGACCAATGCCCTGGTGCAAGTGATTTGTAAGTGATTTTTGCTAACTCGCGTCCCACTTTTGCAGCTCGCTGGCTTGCGTTCGGGATGACCGGTAGCCAAGCTGTACAGATTACCATGGTTCGCATCCGCAGGAAACTTTGGTTTCCACCAGTTGCGTTTGGCTTTCCACATGCTCTTCTTGAATCAGCCTCTTGCCATGTCGATAAGTCCGTCCAGAGGAACGACAGTGTAAATCCCTCCACGTACTTTTGGTAGCCCGTTCCATTGGCCTGCTACTGCTCAGCTAAAGCTTAGCCCACTACTCCGCAGAGTTCAAATCTTACTTTACCGGTGCAATTTACATATACAGAGAAGACACCCAGCGACATCCCATTTCGAAACAGCAGTGTTAGGGGGCGACGAAGATATGACATCCTCGGTTCGTGGCACTGTTGACACCCAACCACTGGGCCCACTGCAGCATAGCCTCCTACCCTACCGCCCAGTCGAGCTGGGGATCAGTCTAGGATACTACTCCTGCTGCTGACGTTGACATCTTGAGAGAGGGTCTCAATGGACTCTCAAGCCAGATGGTCGCGCCCTTGTGCACGAGTTGCTCGAGGAGTACACCAAATTGTGTCTGACCCACACATGCTCTGTATCTTCCATTCGTCGCATAAGGTGTAGTGAATCGCAATGAGACGATTGATGGAGTGTTTGCTTCCTCTGCGAAATGCGGTGTCGCATGGGCGTGCTTTCTGCGAGGCGTCAACCAGGCAAGTGTGACGCTGTCAACAGCCGTACCTCGAACATACCAAGCGACTAGAACTTCAGTCGATTGCGGGGGTGTATCCATTCTTGACACAACGTTATGCAGCCCATTCGTGGGTCCGCCAGCGTGGTCATGGGTGCAACCTCATGCAAAGTCATCCATGGGATGCGGAGGCGTAGCGAAGCCTCACATTTATAGGTCCCGATTGCTGCTAGTGATTTTGATCGAGCTAAACGACAACGACACGTTCATCGACGTGTCCATCGGTGTTCATCAACGCGTTCATCGTCGTGTTCTTCAACGCGTTCATCGTCGTGTTCTTCAACGCGTTCATCGTCGTGTTCTTCAACGCGTTCCTCAATGCGATGCGTCGAGGCAGCACCTTTGCTTGGCAGGCCCCTCTAGGTAAGGATCTGCAGCTCGGCTTGGCTGGTTGATGGGATCAGGCTTCCCGGTCACAATCAATAGAGGACTGTGGCACTCATTCAAAGACAAGACTCCCGAAGGAGGAATTGTTGTCTGTCATCATGCTTCGCCTACGACGATGTAGGTCGGAGCCTGCAGTCGACATCGCAGCCAAGCGGATGCAGACTCGGAAAGAACCGTGTTTCCAGTTCTCTGTACCCTTGCGTCAGTCCCAAGCAATTGACGGAAAGAATGTCAAGTATGTCGTTGCCCCGTACGGATCTCTCACTTACACCAAGAATGATCGGGGAAAGGTATGCTTACGATGTCTCAAATGGTCACTTACGGTGGCCGCGAGTCCCCAGCTGCTCCCTAAGGCCCAGACCCAGAATGGGCATGCTCGACTGGTTGAGAACTGGGGCTCTCCTGTCGAAATGATGGACTCCGATTGCCCTCTGTGCAGGTTGTTTGCCTTTCATGCCTGCGACTACCAATTCGTCAACGGTCCCATGCAAGGCCGGTCTTACGATCTTTGCCAACTCAGCGTCAAAGTCAAGCATTGCCGACCACTCAATCGCAAGCGTGTGACCTCGGTCGCGAATTTCTGGTACCTTGATCCTACAGCGGGCAGCCCTCGATCCAGCTCCAGTCAGCCAGCAGGGGAAGGAGCGTGTATTGGGAGGACAGATCTAACGGCAGCAGACGGGCATGGTATTCTGTGCCCAGTCCTGATTGACCCCAGTACCGTTGACTATTCTTCGATACGGACATGGCTTTCGGACTGCCGAGGTAACCACGCTGAGGAATGTAATCTTCAACCTTCTGAGATCTTGCCTTCTTTGCAATTGATTGACTGTTTGGCGTTTCCACCAGAGGTAGTCCAAGCGCAACCTCAGCACAGATTCGTCGCTCTGAGCTATGTATGGGGCGTCGGAGGTGTCGGATCTCAATTTTCAGGCGATAGTCTCATCTGGAGGCTATTGCCCCGTACAATCCGAGACGCTATCGTGGTCACGACCCAGCTCGGATTTCGTTACCTGTGGGTCGACAGATATTGCATCCCCAAAGCGAGAACGCAAGAGCAGATTGGCAAGATGGATATCAGTAAGTCGCCTATTCGCTTTGACGCTGTATCTTGTTGAGATGGATGCTCCTGCTACCGGGTCAATATCAGTACACACTAATCGAAAGCCTCAGTCTACGCTGGTGCGGAGCTCGTGATTGTTGCAGCTGCTGGCGATACTATCGAATACGGTCTACCTGGAATTGGAGAGAGGAAGCGTATACAGCAGCAGCCTTATGCACGGATTGGCAAGGATCTGTTTGCCTCCACTCTTGGTGATTTCAACTCCATAGGCCTACACGCCATGCCCTGGTCGACGAGAGCATGGTGTTTCCAAGAAGCCTTGCTATCTCGCAGGCGCCTGGTTTTCACGGACGACAAAGTTTACTTCTTCTGCCGCCAGATGCTGTGCATCGAGACACTGAGTTTGCCGTTTCACAATCCGCAAGATAGGCCCCTTACGTCTCGGGTAAATGCCTCCACCGATTTCTACAAGTGGCTCACCACAAGGCGCCTTCCGAGCGGGAACCCAGAGCAGATCTATGACATACTGACAGAGTACTCGACGAAGGATATGACATATGAGTCCGATGGCCTGAATGCCATTGTCGGTGTGCTACGTGCTTTCTCAAATTCCGACGGCAAAGTCGAATTCAACAGCTATGCAGGCCTCCCCCTACTTGGTCGCCCAACTCGAAAAGCCTTCTTATCCGCACTTCTGTGGTCGACTCATACACCAAAGAAGAGAAGATCAGGCGGTTTGCCAAGCTGGTCCTGGGTTGGGTGGACGGGCTCCTTTCGTCGCGATCGGGGTCTCAGAAGTGTTGATGACGATATTCGGGTACGTTTAGTCAAGCAGGATGGTTGCATATTAAGCTGGAAAGATTTCGTAAAGTCGGGCTTGTTGAAGGGGAATCCATTCCCACTATCAAGATATATCGAGCTCCTTGTGCAGACCACTTTCGTGCACATCGAGTACGTTGCCACGAGTCGGATCCAAGGTGGCGGAGGCTACGTTATCCCTCTACAGCATTTCGACGGCGGGAAGGCGCGATATGCGAAAATATCACTGGACTTCGCTCAAACATCTTCCCCCAAACTGGGCGATGAATCCCATGCCACAATCGTCAACAGCCCGACCAAGTGTATGATGCTCATTCCACCGGATAATCACCAGAAGCTCTACGGGGTAGGTATACTGCTGCGCCCCGTTGGGGGGGTCTTTGAGCGGTTTGGAACAGTCGGATTCGCCTACAATGGGGATGTTTGGGATGCTGATGGGAACTATGACAGCCTCCTGGTGGACACTGACCCGAAGGCGACGATCGAAGGCCTCGATCTGAAACGAGAATGGATCCGTCTTGGGTGATACCGTCCACTTGCATGTTAGAGGAGAGCGAGGGATATACTGGAGTGACTTGCAGGCGGCCATATCCTCAAACCCCGGGCTACCTTGCACGTGTCTGGGATGGGAAGGAGCTGTAAAGGGGGAGGATCGCAGCTCTGGCACTCTTCCGCCTGCTCTAACATTTCTGGCCGGCAGCTTAGATGCTCGTTGTATGGTCAACAGACGCTCCGATACACCCAATCCGAAATAGCGAATACTTCTGCGGGTGAACTGGAGCCACCAAAAGCCTTCTCCAGAAACGGCCTAAAAAGGTAATCCTTCGTCCCGCCATGGTCGAACCCTCGCTTTGCACTCGCAGGGGTCCTTTCGGCTGTATGTTACACAACCTCGATACCCCGCGGCGGGGCGGACGAGGCGAACGACCAGGCAGCCGCAGTCCAGATCTGCCTGACTTGCTCTGTCTCACTTGAATTCCAGGGGGCAATGACCTTACCAATATCGTTGCAATATGTCTGGTAGCCATCCGTCAAGGGGGCGTGGTCGTGGGCGAGGTGACACGGTCCTACCCTCTCACCCAAGGGGGGGAGGACGGGGTCAGAGTGGTCCTACTGGACCGGCCGCTAATCAATATGCTCAGACTTTGGGCCGTGGAGGCAGCGACGGGTCGCGCCATTTCCGGGGTGAGTATCGAGGGAGTCGAGGCAGGGGTGGGGACGGTCGAGGTGGCGGCGCCAGAGGTGGTCGCGGAGGTGGCGGCCAAGCTGAAGTGACTATATTTTCGTGAGGACACATCCCACTCTCAAACCTGATGTTGAATTGCTAACTCCTTTGTCATTTCAGTCACGGAACGGGCGATTCTGCGCTCCCGGATACGGCCACTCGTCAACTCGAAAATCAAATCCAGGACAATGTGAGACTCGAACAAAAGAAGACATCTCCTCTTGTAGCAAGGCTGCCCCTCCGGCCGGGCTTTGGCACTCAAGGACGAGAAGTATTGCTATGGACAAACTATTTCCAGTTGGTGTCCTATGGCGGCCTGCTTCTCCACCGCTACGGCCTTGACATATCTCCAGATCAAGCAGGGAGACGGCCGGCGGGAAAAAAGGTTCGCCGGATCATCGAACTGCTGCTTGAAGAACACCTTGGTCAATACAGTCCGGGGATCGCCACAGATTTCAAGACGAATCTTATTAGTTCGGCTGAGCTTGACATTGACCAAGGCGCGTATACCATCGTTTACCGGACGGAACACGAGGACGAACCCGAACCCAATGCGAAACGCTATCGTGTCCGCTTGTTGCGTACGGCTTCGTTGACAGTCTCTGAGCTACTGGATGAGCTAACTTCAACGAGGGCCGGAACGTTGCTTGGATCCAAGGAAGAGATCATCCAAGCCTTGAACATTGTCGTCGGACACCACCCCAAAGCAGCTTCACAGGTCGCGTCCATCGGATCCAATCGGCACTATGCGTTGAACGCCGCTGCTTCCGATAGAATGGCACTTGGCGCGGGCCTCGCAGCGATTCGCGGGTTCTTCATCAGCGTTCGAGTCGCAACTGGCCGACTCCTCGTCAATGTCCAAGTCAAGCACGGAGCCTTCTATGAAGAGGGTCCCCTCGAACAACTGATGGCAGCCCATCTAGCGAGCACCGGCAACAGCAAAGCGAAACTTGCAAAATTTGTTAAGAAGCTTTCCGTCAATGTCACTCACATCATCAGGAGAAACAGAAGGGGTGATCAGATTCCCAGGATCAAGAGTATTTCCGGGCTTGCCACACGGCGTGACGGTGTTGGTTTGCTCCACCCACCGATTGTCCCTGAATTAGGGGCGGGGTCGAAAGGTGTTATGTTCTGGCTGGAGAGCTCGGCCGAAGGGTCGTCATCTGCCCAACAAGGAGGTGGCGTGGGCGGCAAGAAGGGCAAGAAGCCAGCTAAGGCTGATCCGAAGCCTCCTCCGCAAGGCAGATACACCAGTGTCTATGACTACTTTCGCTCAGGTATGGAAGGCGTCCCGGCTGCTGAATATGATGCTAATGGTGCCTAGAATACAACATCGTCATCACAAAACCAGCCCTACCAGTAATCAACGTCGGTACTCTCGAGAGACCATCCTATTTGCCCGCCCAAGTCTGCCATGTCATTGCTGGCCAGGCTTCCAACGCGCAATTGACTCCCGCTCAGACACAACAGATGATCCGTTTTGCTGTCCGAGGACCAGCACAGAATGCACAGTCGATCGTCACTTCGGGCGCGCAGATGTTGACGGCCAACAACCCGACACTTGTAAGCCACCTCCCCCAAGCCGGACAGGTCTGTTCACGAGTTCTTTTAGCTAATCAGTTGCAGGACGCATTCGGAATCGGCACCACCCCAAGATTGATGACTGTCCCGGGGCGTGTGTTGAATTCGCCAAGCGTGCGGTACGGGGCGCAACAAACGATCTCTACAAGATTCGGCAGCTGGAACATGGTTCGGGTTCAGTTTACCACCAAAGCCGACTTAAAGTCCTGGACGTACCTCTGGATCTCCACAGAAGCGACCAGAGATCCATGGAGCCATGAAGGGGAGCTGCAAACCTCAGTCATCGCTCTAACTTCCAAGCTACGCGAGTTGGGCATGGCTTGTAGCGACTGCACGAGAGGCCTGCATATCACAATCGCTCCCAACACTATTGAGTCAACTATCGACGAAGCACTCCACCGATTCACATCCACTCCGGAGAGGGAGCCTCCGAAGCTCGTTCTTGTCATCCTACCATATGCCGACGGTCCAATCTACAACCGCGTGAAACACGCGTGTGACGTCAGGGAAGGACTCATCAACGTTTGCGTCGTAGCTTCGAAGTTCGCAAGGAAGAACGAGCAATACCTCGCCAACGTGGGCCTTAAGTTCAACCTGAAGCTTGGTGGTCTGAACCAGAGCCTGGAACCATCGAAACTAGGCATCTTGTCCGAGGGCAAGACGATGGTTGTCGGAATCGACGTTACCCACCCGTCTCCCGGGTCTTTGGCGACCGCTCCTAGCGTGGTTGGCGTCGTGGCCTCTGTTGACAAATGGCTCGGTCAGTGGCCGGCGGCGTTGGCCATCCAGACTGCCCGAAAGGAGATGGTGTCCGGTCTGAAAGCCTTGATGGAATCGCGTCTGCGCATGTGGAAAAAGCACAATGGCACGTACCCCGAGAACATCCTGATATACCGCGACGGCGTCTCCGAGGGACAGTACAATCTGGTACTTGACCAGGAGCTGCCTGAGATCCGTTCAGCTTGCACGGCCTTGTATCCCGTGTCGATGACGAAGAAGGGCATCCCACGCATCACCATCATCATCGTCGGCAAGAGGCACAACACACGTTTCTATCCCACCAGGGCGGACCAGGCGGACCGCTCTTCCAACCCGCAGAACGGAACCGTGGTCGACCGTGGTGTGACGGAGGCACGGAACTGGGATTTCTTCATGCAAGCACATACGGCGATTCAGGGCACAGCAAGGCCGGCACACTACTACGTTATCTTTGACGAGATCTTCCAAGCGCGCAAAGTCCAGCAGGCGCCTTTCGAAAATGCAGCCGACGTGCTCGAAGACCTGACACACAATATGTGTTACCTCTTTGGAAGGGCGACTAAGGCTGTCAGCATCTGTCCGCCGGCCTACTATGCGGATCTGGTGTGTGAACGCGCAAGATGCTACTTGAGTGGGTTATTCAGCCCGTCTGTCACCAGCTCGGCGGGTAGCATGGCGGAAGGCGAGGAGGCCCCTTTGCGTGAGCCGGACTCGGCTTCGGTGACGATCCATCAAAATGTGCGCGACACCATGTTCTATCTCTGATGGAGGGGAAGTCGAACCGCCTCCGGCATTTGGTTCTGAGTCAAACCAGACGTCTTTTCTATCCCAAACGGAAAATGCGCAAGGCATGATGTGATGGCTATCATACAGTGGGAGATACTTTCTAGGTAAGGGAAATTGTCGACGTGTATTTGAGGATATCAGTCCCAAAAAAGCAGTGTAGGATCCTTCCAGTGGTTCAATTGGGCGATAACGTAGTAAGTTGTCACTGGAGTATCGGCTTCATTCTGGATATTCTCAGCTTCGATTTCCACTTAAGCAAGAAGATGGCAAGAGTCTTTCAGAGGCTGTCGCCCGACGCCTCCCCTGCTGGGGTCGTCTTCGTAGTCAACAGAGCAATTCAATCCACGCACATGATCGTGACTGGGATCACACCTGCGAACCAGTCACGAATCGAAAGGGGACGCCTTGCGTGGACTCTCTCCTGGTTCAACCACGTATATCCATCCATTGACACAAAACTGTGCAAGGTGCAGCACGAATCAGACTCCGCCACGTTCGACCATCGTGATTCGTGACTGCAGCACTGGCATGAATGAGAGCTGTCCAAGTGAGCGGACCCTCGACTTTGCAAGGTTGCAAGGGGTCTCGCAACTCTCGGAGGCGGAACACGTAAGTATGCAGGCCGGTGCGGCCAGCCACATGCTGAGAACATACCTACAGTAGTATTGGTGGTTGATCAAGACGAACCTGGTACGCCAATGAACTAATCTACAAGCCTAAAAGGCTTGGAAGCGTCGTTGGATGGCCCTGTAGCAGGAGCGTGATGTTATGCAATTCGTGCAGCAGCGGCAGTCAATGTCAGTCATCCTGACACCTCAGACGCCCATACAGCTCAGCTGTATGCGAGTGAAAGCACACCGGTCGGGATAATGGCCAGTGAGGGCGCACTGAGCCACCGTCCACCCCGGCCGGCCAGAGGCATCCCTGCTGGATCTGGAGAATCGGCGTGCCGCCTCCTCACTTTTGTGACAGACGATATAATCGATCCCCCGCCATGGCACACTGGCACGAGGTCTTCTTGGTGTGATATGGTCTCCCACAGTCGACTCCTCCTCCTTGCACTCAGTCCGTCCTCAACGTCGCAAGCTTGCAGAAATTTCCCGGCAAATTATGGCGAGAAAGAAATCCCACAAACCCAAGGGCGAGACGAGAACGTCTTTCATGTTCCCGTCACTCCACCAGGCCGTGGCCAACGCGGTCTCCGACCAAATGGCCGTTCCCTGGTTCTGCGAAATCGACAGCGATAGAGGCGCCCGCAACAAGTGGACCATCCACGTCATGGGCAGGTTCCGATGCAGGAACACCTGTGGCACGAACGGCTGGAGTAGCAAGAAGGTGGCGATCCTCATCCGGGGCTACGACCTGAACGGGTACAACGCCGTGGTGTTCAACCAGCGGTGCCGGACCTGCGATCAATTGGGGACTCTGACGCTGGACGAGAATTCATACGTCGAACGAGTCGCCGACCGGATCCAGATCTGGGCGGGCGTCCAAGTACGGCGGGGACGCCATCCGACGTCGAAGCCGAGCAAGCCGCACGAGAGGGCTCTTTGCGAGGGTTGCAAGAGGGGCGTTTGTCGACAGACGGATGGCTGGGAGGAAGACTATTACTGACTCAATGCTGAGGGCTGAATTCATATTTTACCTGGGATTCCCGGCTCGAGGGAACTGCCACTGCCGCTGGACGGCACATGTTCGAGGCGTGGGAAGGAGACGTGTCTTGGGAGGGAACAGGTACAGCAAATGTGTTGTTGTCGTGCGGTTGGGTTGTACAGACCGTTGCTTGACATCGACCGGGACTCTGCGCGCTCTGATATACTGTGTAAATACGGAGTAGCCGACAGATACAGTACCTCGCCCAGAAGAAAAACTACAAACAGCACACTGGCCCCATCACGGATGCCTTCCAACAAATCAAGAATCAGTGCCAGAAAAATATGGCGAAAACGATGCTTTTCTAAAAACCCAATGGACTGCGAAAGACCACTGCGCAGAGACTGCGAGGTAGGAAGACGGTTCTGTCGCGTATACCTTCAGGGCCGTGGTGCTGTTGCATATCAACGATATGCCTAGGGCCAAAAAGATTGACTTCTCTCTCGAACCGGAATCGAGCCGGTGACCTTTCGGTAACAATTAACCAATTACAGCCGAACCAGCGGCACTCCTACCAAACCGCAGAAGTGTGAGAATGGCGGCAAGGAATCGGAGAGTAGAAACCGAGACCTCAACCACATCCCATCCTCAAGCGACATTTGCTACCACGGAGGGACAAAGGGGACAATGAAGCAAAAAGAGACCCGTACAACACGAGGATGAAATGCTAGAGGCACAGGCAAAGAGACATTCACTAGATAGACAGCCTGCTGCCCTACGCGACATTGATATCTTCCCGAACCAGCCAACCTCTTTCCTCGGCTAACCTTAACACAGAATCCACAATCAATACGAGCACGTGGACAGAGCCCTGCCGCTCACGACGAACCTTGTGATAGAGGTGACGGCGGCACGAGGTGGCACGAGGCGACACTGGCCCTGCTGCAACCCACGGCCCGACCCTGGGTCAGTCCGACATTTTCCATGCGAACCTTCACGACCCATACACCGGCAATAGGCCTATATTCGGTGCAGCATGGACGGCTAGCCAACCACGGTATGAATGGGCGCAACCGACAGGTGCTCCCGGAACGAGCACCCAGGTATGGCAGGCACCGACTCGATTCGAGGACCAGAAGCAGGTGGAGAGGGAACTGGCTGACCAGGCACTGATCTACTAGCAACGCTACGACAACCTCCACAGCGAGTTGCAGAACAAAGACCAACAGCTCAGAGCACTCGCGGAACGTATGGGACGGATGGAGAAGACCCTGCCACCTCCACCCTCTCGACGACCGGACGAGGAGCACGAGGGAGCGGAGCAAACAATGCCGCAGGCGCAGGCGAACATCGAACCACCAATCCCAGTACTGGTGCGATAACACGGTACCTGGGAGTCTGGCGCCCCTCATGTGCCGACAAGTCACCATGGGCACTTGAACGAGGAGTGACCACGACCATACCTTGGAACGCGGTACACCACCAAGCACTGCCTCGTTCCAGTCACACTCGTACCAACGACAACCTCAACCATACACGTACCAAGATCAAGCCCGACCCTACCCAATCCCAGCACAAGCCCAACCCTACCCAATCCCAGCACAAGCCCAACCTTACCCAATTCCAGCACAACCTAATCCTTACCCAGTTCCAGCCCAAGCCCAACCATGGGATGGCCAGTACCAGGCCGAGAATTGGCTGCTGACACTAAAGGACATCTACTACTGGGAACCCGCAGAGACTCCTGTGAAAATGTTCATTGACCGCTATTGTACGGTTGCCGCTATAGAACCGCTGAATTTAATAATCAGGGTATTGCCAAGATGCCTAAACGGAGACGCCATCGCCTAGCACAGTGTATTACCGTAGGAGGTGAAGAGCTAGATGAACCAGTCACTAGACGAATGGGACTGGCAGTTGATGATGGAATTCAGAACAAGCTTAACAGAGACCCATGAGAAGGCCAAAAACCTCAGATTTCGATATCTCCTACGCCGAAGAACTACCACTGAACACCTACCTGCGGCAGAAGAAGACCCTGTTGGAGGAATCGGATGTGAGGGGCACTATAGCTACCGTGCGCAGCGTATAGGAGGGTCTAGCCCCGGAGTTACAACGCATCACACCGATCAAGGACTTCGAGCAATAGCAGGACTTCTGCATTCGAGTCCGAGAAAACCAGTCTGCAGCAAACGAGTCGTATAAAATGTTCGGTAGAGAGACACGGAACCACCCAACCTACAATGGGGCCCGAGGCTCCTACCAGAACCAAAACCAGGGCGGATACCAAAGCTAGAACCAGGGCAAATACCAGAGCCAGACCCAGGGCGGATACTAGAGACAGGGTGGTGCTGATGCCCGACCTGCCTCCGCTGCTCAAGCGACTGGCAGATCCTGGGGACGGGGATACAACAATCGAGACCCTACAGGGAATCAACCCAAGTCTTACCCACATAAAGCCAATACGTCGTCGCCCAGGAAGCCTAGCAGGGGAATGGGCGGAACTGTTCTTCGATCACGTCATACAACATCAGGGCATACCGATCGGCATTATCACGGATCGAGAAGCCAAATTCACCTCCACCTTCTGGAAACAGCTCCTCCGACGCCATGGAATTGTGGTGGCAGGAGGCATTGGTTGTGCCTACCTACCACAAGAGGTTGCCCGGGTACCGGATGCAGTCAAATATTATCGTCCATAGCCAGTAGGCACTCTCCAGACTGAACACAACTATACTTGAGCAGAAGAGACATTCCCAGATTGCCACTCTGCAGGAATGGAGAGCTGGCTGACCGCAGCGTACCACCTACAGGCGGACGGCCAGGCGGAGAGCCAGGCGGAGAGGGGTAACCAGCTGGTCGAGACAACCCTAAGATGCATGCTGATCGAGAGGTACGAGGAACGGTGGTACAAGATCATCCCAGAGGTGGAACGCGCCATCAATGCGAACATCAACCGCTCCACTGGGTTGTAGGGTAAGAAAATAGGTGCGGCAAAGGGTAGACCGCCCGGGGATGTCACTTCACCAACCTATTGTAATCTGTGATATGAATAACAACACTACTTTTACTTTTTAGTGACTCATCGCTACAACACAACAAGATTTTCCTTTACCTTTGTTACACCGCCATGGTATTTCCCTTACTTTCCGCTTATGGAGGACGACCCACGGATGGGTAATGAAACATCTCGAATTGGACGCAGAGCGGAAAGCGTGGCATCATCTTCGACGGACCAGAAGGGAGAGGCCTCACCCTCAGCCGCGACTCATTGGCCGCGCGGTACGCTTGACAGAGCCACGACCGAAGACCCTCTGACTAGAATCGAGACCGAGTCCCTGCCTGCCACTACAATGGACGCGACAGGAGAAAACCAAAATGAGGTGGTCAAAGACGGAAAGGTGATCAGAGCAAGGCAAATCAAAAACAGGTATGAGGATATTACAACTGTTATTTGGGACGCGGACATACAGGGCTACCACTGCCAAGGCCTGGTGAACTACGATGGGAAGGGCCAGGTTAGACCGAACATGCACAGTCACTTTCCGGTTTTTCTCTGGCCAGGACGGGCCTTCTTCGACTGTAGCACTGAGGAGGTCAAGAATAAAATCCCGATCTACGTCAAGTTGGCAGACAGCGTTGCGTACGTGGTGTGCAAAATCTACACTGCCGGAGAACGCTTTGAGGCATTTCCGGGTGACTTCGATGCGAACGGCGACCCGAGACCTAGCCGGGGAAGATGGGGAGCAGGACCTAGAGTGGTGTACGGAGGTGTTGAATACTACCCATGCTTTGGCCGAAACTACGTCTTCTGCGGTGATGACTACGTTGCGGTAAACGCGATACCAAAAAGCGGCAACTCAAAGGTCATCAAGAAGCTCTCTGGTCAGGACCTCAGCACCCTCTCGATAGGGGCCTTCCAAGTTCCACGGGGAAATCGACACATCATACCTGACCTGCGGTTCGAACGAAAGTCTCTGGGGGAAAGCGACAACAAGGAGGCGACACCAGAACCAAACGAGCAGGAAGCTACATGCTGGGAGATAGCCGAGTTCAGGAATGCCACGGTACATGAAATCTGGTTGGCAAGAGATGCTGTCACCGATCAGGTGAAGCCGAGCGCTGGGACAGGCCTGAGCGCCAATCAACCTGATCAGCGCCTTCCGCGGACACGGTCTGAAAAATTGAAACAAAGCACCCTGGGAAGAGGTCCTGGATTGCCAATTGAATTGCAGAGCTCTCCCGGCCCAGTCTCAACCACGCAAACATCTCCCACAAGTACACCAGAACCGGTTAAAGTCAGCAGATCTACTGAACCAACCACTACCCGGCAGGTACAGGAGCCAGCCAAAGACCAAGACGGAAAGTCGTCTCAAGTACCGGTCTTGACGATGCCAGGAGGCGACTACGCGAGGAACCAACAGGAAATTGCTGTACGAGCATTTCATGTTCTCGCTGGGACTATAGAGACAACCGAGCAGCACCTCGTCAACCTAAAGACCCTAGCGGAACAGCTGATCAGATCGCAACCTATCGTTACATTGGCCGGTAATTCTCTTAACCTTGCTGACAACCTAATCAAGCACGGCAACTACCAACAGGTCATGAACATCATAGACGCCTTGCACCACGACATGGCGGCAGTGAGATGGCTACCAGGTTCAGACACGACTAGAGACACTCTCGGACAGAAAATTATGGCTATGGAATCGACTGTCGAAGAGGAAATGGCGAAACTGGCAGAAGACCGCAAAGCGAGCAGAAAAGCGCACAAACACACTGAGGCCTTGGTCAGAATAAGCAAGCCGTGGCGAAAATTCGTATTGGCACCCATGGTAGACGGTCAGGTGGATGGGGCAAAAGCGAAGGCGCTGGCGGCAACCGGACCATTCTACGGCGAAGATGGAGCTCCCTGGAACATCACAAGGATTCTGAAGAACCCGGACAACCCAGAGTCGGGTCCGTTTGGTCAGTTTGTCTTCTGCAAGCGGGGAACCGACGGGGAGTACGACAAGGAAGATGCAAAGGACCAGCAGAAGAAGGGCCTTTTCTGGACCTGGGATGGGAAACCATTGCCAGCAGACAACGAACAGCGGATCCTTGTGCCCTTCGACAAATGGTCCGGACGATACATTTTGGCACTCGACCCAATGCAGACCTACAAGGAACGTCATTTTCATATGACCAACGATTTCTTTTACACAGTAGATGGCCTGATGTATCAACCACCACAGGACAAGCAATATGTGCCATGGGACATGGAGACACACGGACTCTCCAGGATAAGGAAAGCACCATATGTCTATGTCAGCCTTCTGACCACCGGAACCGGAAATCAGAACCGAGGCGACCCCGACCTCGCCCAGGTCGACGCCGAGGTTAAGACAGGGCGATTGTGGAACGCCGACGGAAAGCCATGGGTCGACGATGATGAAGACGAGGAGCCCGCGGCAAAGAAGCTGAAGGTGTTCAACCTGGAGGATATTGAGGATGTCAACATTGACGAATGAGCCACGAGGACGTTGGATTCTCTGTCCCGGGCGCATGTGGCAGGCAGTCCCCCTCCTGCCGTGTTCCTTGTGCTGTCCTTGCCACAATAGGACCAGCTGTGACATTAGTCCACAGCGGAGAGCGGAGCTCTCAACAGAGATAGACGCAATAAGACATTGAAGACGTATCGTGGTGCCCTACCGCAGCACAGGCCGCTGGACGGCACATGATCGAGGGTGGAAAGGAGAAGTCTCTTTAACAGGGAGAAAGTACCGCAGCCGTGACATTGTAGTGCGCGTCTCTAGTCTATTCTTGCCCCTGGGCAGGTACCTGGGGAGTAGACTTTCACAAAATATTAGTTAAGCTCCTGCATGTATTCAGAGAGCTCCAGCATGACTTCCGTATTCTGTCGCAGCGCATGCGTGGCTTTTTGGACGGAAACCGAACCTTCGAGATGGATCTGCCTTCCGGTCTGCAGGGCGCTTCAAGATTCCTGTCATACTCCTCGATGTGCCAGTTTGCAGTAGTATAGTCCACTTTTCGCTAATACCCTGGGGTGTACGTCCCACAACCACTTCTCGAGACACGAAGGCAACTTCGTTTCAATGCTGTCGTTGAGTTCGGCAGTGTAATATCCAGTAGCCAGTATTTTATGAACGCCTATGACAACTTCCACGTATTTACGGTTGTCAAGGATGAACAATCAGAAATGGCTTGTACTCAAAGTGAAGTCATTTCACCGCCAGCGTGGCGTCGCCTATTTTGTCCGCGCCTCCGCAATTCCAGTTTGTTTCTTTCCTTTCTTTTCTCCCGGGGTTGACACATTGCACACAGTTTCCGAAAGAATGCAACCCTCGACAACGCAAGCATGGCCTCAGTTCACTCTGAGCCTTCCAGCTTAGCATCGGACGAACCTCGCGTTCCCGCGTCGGGGGGTTGCATGTCCTTTCGAGGCTTGTCAGCCGGCGCGGTAAAGAGCGAGTTCGTGGTCACCATCGCTTCGGCGGTGCTGTAGACCCTAGAAACTTTCATATCCAATCGAGAACATGAGCATGGCATCATTTCACTCTGAGCCTTCCAGCTTAATATCACAATACGACTCGCCAATAACTCAAGTATGAGTTTCACCGATCCTGGTTTGGGCTGCTCCTTCCCCACCTTCCAACAAAGCGAGAGCAAGAGTTGATTTTTGGTCAGAGTACTACACATCCACTGGTGCTGTTCAAATCTCTTCTCAGCTGGTATCTCATTGCCACGCCCCAGCCGATCAATATGAGTGTAAGTCCTCTCAACGTTGTCCTCTTCTGCCAGCTACTTACTCTGGATTCCACACCTAGGTGATCTTCCTGTTCTTCCTTGCCACAAGCCGATGCAAACAATGAACTTCTGCCGTTTCTGGTGCCTTTACCTTGACCTTCGCTGTTGAGCACGATTGATCACCAACACTCCTACAAGACGCCAAAACCATCGCACAGTTGTCGAGCCTCATAAGTCTAGCAGGATTTCTCTCTCCATGACCGCTGGCTGAAACACCGTCTCAGCCTTCTGCACTCCGTGGACTCTCGCCGCTCTTACACCTTCGCACCCAATTTTGCTACTTGCATGGACGTCAGTCATGGTCTCACACAAATTGCGTAATGGATTTGCGTCCATAATGCCAAGTTATACCGGACCTGCACTTGTGTCACCCGAGAAACCTTCGAGGAACACCACTGCTCGAGTTCTCCCTGACCAGTCACGGCTGACGCAGACCAAAATCACCTTTGACAACAGTACAAGACCATTTGTGGATGCTCAGTCTGTGGACGTGGGCAATCTCGGTGCTCCTCCTCGGCATTCGAACCTAAAGCGGAAGACGCCCGATGAGGTTGATGATGAACCCTTCAAGACTGGAAGCAGGGTATCGAAGTAGGTCTTCGACCCTAAGCTCGATCATGAAGCCTCGCCAGGCCAATCACAGCGAGTTGAGGGTTCTAGCCAGAATGTCGGCGAAGCTGATTATACTTTCGTCAAGAGCTACGATACACATGCACAACCATCCGGCGGCTTTGACACAGAGATCTTCTCATGGCAATACCAGGACGACGACTTGGAAGCTTATCTCGACGACGACAATGAGATAGACGATGAAGGCATTGATTCAGATGAGAATGAGCTAGCATTTATGGACAAATATGAACCAGTCTTTGCCAACAGTCCACTGGAATGGATCTTCCGATCCACTCCGCCGGACGATGTTTCTTCTGGAGATTTCAGTAAGTCAGCACTGCTAGTGCCTGGGGTTTGCTACGTTTAATTACTAACGAATTTCAGATGAATGTCGTCAAAGGTACAGAGAGCGAATCAGCATCATTGTCAAAGAACTCTCAGAGCACATGAACGTCTTCAGCCAACTCGTCAAAGAGGGCAGGATCAACTTCCCTGACAATGTATTCAGTATTGGATTTTGGGCTCAAGCTCACCGGATTCCCAACCACATCATTGTTGACAAGCTTATACAAGCAACGCCTCCTATTGTGCAGTGGCTTCTCGGTAGGCATCATATCGACTCCAATTTAATTCGAGAGAAAGCTCCCAAAATATCCAATTCGATGTCCGGAATTCGTGGTTGCTATGGCGACTTTGGTTCCAATGGCTATGAAGATGCGGATTATGTCGGCAGCACAGGAGATATGGTCTACAGGGCTAAAACCCACCAGTCAATCATCAGAAAGCTATCCAAGTTCAATAGCACCTCTTCGAAAACAGCAAAACACTATCGCGTTCTACAACAGGATGGCTAGGAACCTCATCTACGCGCCTTGATGCTCTTCATCAACGACGACAGTCCTCCGATCTGGTCATTATACGGGGAATCCATTATGATTCTTATTATCGACAGCAATGAACACGCCTCAGGGGCCAACATATATAACCCGCCATGTGTCGTTCAAGTCGTCCGCGCCGTCCGAGAGAAGCTAGGCTTTACGCCACGATCTACCATCAAATTGAATAGAGCGATGCCCTTCCACCAACATATTCGAGGTGGTACTCGATCAAAGTCTTGCAGTCACTGTGCAGCGACCCCGGATATGCCACACCTAAAGATTAGGAGTGTTGCTACAGCAAGTGGAAGAGTTCGTAGTTTATGGTTCCCAGCAAAAGATCGTGACGACCCGTATGAAGCTTCCTGGTGTTGTGTTTGTGAGTACTATTGGGAAAGGTTCAGGAGACTTCCATCTGAGAATGAAGTTCAACGGCATCGCAAAATTACATTTCGTATCCAGTTCCCAGCACCCTCCACTGATACGGATCGAAGCAAATGTGGTATCTGTGATAAATCAGCCATGGACACAAATGGTAAGAGGCGACGGATTGAATGGTGTGGAGCCTTACAGATAATGGTTTGTACACAGTGCAGACGGGGAAAGGACGCAGAGATTCAGGATGCTCGGTTTTTAGAGATTGCACGGCGTTTCTCTCCAGCACCAGCAGCGCTGAAAGATGTGGCGTCCTCAACAACACAAGCACATCAAAGTACTGAAGGCGAAAATAAACGCAAGCGCCGCAAAGCAGTCCGTCGACCATCTGACAAGTCTAACGCGATATCATGCGAACATTGTGGTAGAGATGGCCCTGGTCTAAGATGGTCCGGGTTAGTCCGTATGGATCTTTGCAAGGTATGCTACAACAGATACCTCTCGACTGGGGCCTTACCGGATGTGAAACCAGGCGAGGTATCACAAGTCAAGCAAGTACACCGCAAACCAGTGTTCCGGCCAATCGATAGGGAACGAGCGACTAAATGCGAGCATTGTCAGCGATCAGGCGTCATTGAGTGGTGTGGACAGGTGTTTATGGACCTTTGCTCGAGCTGTTCCTCTGCAGTCCGTAGTGGGAGGTTGGTATTGTAACTTCCTTACGGTAGAGTAGAGAGCAGAAGAAGAACAACCAACGCAAAAGGCAGAACAGACAGGCAATAAAACCAATCCGCAATCGAGTCACACGTTTAAAGAGCTATTGAGCATATGACAGCGCCGTGCAAGATGCAATCACTACTACGAGCACCGAAGATATAAAGGCAGCTGCCCGTGAAGCTGCAGCGAAACCGACAGAGTCGATACCACTGCGCATAGAGGGACATATGTGGTTGCTTGGTTGTGAGCGCTAACCGCTGCGAAGATGCCCTCCAAACCGCATGGCCGAGACGAGTGAGAACTCCTCACCACCCGTAACAACCCTTACACTGGGACTAATACCGCGAAGGGAAACACGAAATCACAGCTTTCATTCCAGTCTATCCTACCTGACCGCCATCTTCGACACCATCTCGCCGTACGTGAGCTTTAATCTGTCGCCACCTCGGATCTGTCTATCACAAGGGAAAGTAATAATGTTTCTGGAGAAACCCTTCCACACAGCCTCCGAACCAGCAGGAGAAGCCTCCCACAGCCCATTCTTGTCTTCTATGTAACAGGACGGAGGCGTAGCTGAAGGAATGAGAAGGTGAAATGACAGTCCTCATGACTGCAAGGGCTGCAAATGCCTCAAGTTGTCTACCTGAGTTATCTGAAGAAAGAGAGAGTTAGTGTGTGTCACAGATGCCTCGAGGAGGAGGGGAGCACCCTCCAGCGCTAGCCATATAAGGACTGGTGGCATCATGTGACATTCTAGCCTGGCCTATGCATGTCCACACCTTCTTCGTTGGCTTGATGCTCTTGTACTTGCGGTCCACTGTGTGGATTTCGCATCAAGTCCTCTTCAGGGTAGACTTTCACCTGGCTCCATTGATTCATCATCACAGCATTGACCAAATGTCTTCCTCAAAGTATTTTGAAGCCTTGATCGCCTTGGTGCAACTCGAACCACACCCAGGACCGGATCCCTTCGGACGACCGGTCCCAGACCATCTAGACGCAGTTGAAGAGGAAGGGGACACGGAAGAATGGCGCTCATCCGAGATCGGACAGCTCCTAAAGCATCGTTTGCGCAAGTACAGTAAGAAGCAGATGCTTAAGTTCTTGGTCAGATGGGAAGGCTACGGTCCTAGGTTAGATGAATGATATGGAGAGCATCTCCCGGGTAACGTGAAGGAAATGGTGAACGAATACAAGGAAGCGAATGGGTTAACGGAAGACTTCGACGTGAAGGAAAGCACGCGCCGTCGTTCACCGAGAAACGATTCTTGAATTAACCTGTCCGGACTGTAAACCCCCCGACAACTGCTGATAAGATGGCGGAAGCGACGGCTGGGAAACGACAGACAGTGAGACATTGACGCGCGACCTGAACGATGCTCACCTGAGTCCTGAGGAACCAGATCTCCGAGCACAGACTGATATATTACAGTATGGTAACAACACTTCTTCGCTGTTATGCTAAACAGTCAATCTCTTGGTCCTCGGTGTCATTACGACCATCGAGTCCTCTCCTGCACCCTCATCTACCTTAAATTACGTTCTCCCTCTCACCTGACCTCCTCTCAGCACGGTCTCTACCTCTCAGACGAGACTAGCCAGCTGAAACTATCGGGTGAAACTCACGCCGAGACCGACCTCAACGAAAAGCTCTGAACTCAACGGTCAGATGAGCCTTTCCCGTTAAACCATCTCAGCAAGAACGCGTTCCTGTGTTGGGGGGTTGTACGTTCCTTCGGGTCGTGCCAGCCAGCACAGTAAGACAGCGGACTTGTGGTCACACCGCCTTGACCAAGCGGTACGATCCTCATCAGAATACCCAGCAAAACTACGAATCATCAACAACCAACATTTCTTTCCTTTCTACGAAGTAAGTGGGGTTGCATCTTCGCTCGGACCGAGCAAAGACCAAAACAAGAGCAAGGAAAAAATCACAAAGAGCGCGAATGGCCAAATACTACGATGAGAACCACACTCCGATACGAAAATCCGACATGGTATATCTGAACTGGCAAAAGGGACACAACCGGGGTACCGTCTGCCGCACATGTCCGTGCTGAACCCGCGCAAAATCGGTCCATTCAAGGTCAAGAGAAGGGTCGGCAAAGTGGCGTTTGAGCTAGAGTTACCAGAACACATCAAGATTCATCCGACGATTTCTTGCGTGCATCTGAAGCCTGCGCTCCCAGACGAATATCGGCGCCACCAGCCTCCACCCCCGATCGAAGTCGACGGTGAGGAACGTTTCATCATCGCCGCATCCTGCGGAAGGAAAGACGGCGGCACACTGGTTCCAAGGAGTACGGTATCTTCTACAAGATTCGATGGAAAGGTTACGGATCAAATGAGGACTCATGGATTGAGCAACAGGAACTACGCTCGCAAGTCCCTGCTCTGGTCGACACTTTTGACGGTAGAGCAACCAAATGCAAACGGTGACTGCTGGGTAGCTTACGCTGCGCTGGCTCCAACATCAGTCAAGTCATTCGTATCTCAAATGGTAGATCGGCAAGCTCTCGAGCCCCTTTTTATCGAGTACGTATTCAATACAGCATCAACAATCACAACAATCAACATCAATATACAACAAGTCACACGATGAGAATCATCCATTCAATCGCATTTGACAACCGCGAAGGATGACCATTCTGCCGGACGCAGTCACCGCTCGCACAATAACAACTGTCCTCATCCTCAAAGTTTCATCCCAGAGCTTCACTTTCACCTCAGCTGAAATTTTTCAACTTTAACCTCCTCAGACTCACTTTCACTTCGATTCATCTCACCATTACACCACCACCAGCACTTTCCCTTCGTGATTTCAATTGTCCTCAAAACCCGCACCGTTCACATTGAACTGATCAGGATTTCTTCATCACTACGGCGCCATGGCGTCAAATTCAGATCAGAAGGCCTCTGAAGTCGCCGATCTGGAACCAATCGACGAGTTTGTTCAGGCCATGGAACAACTCATCCTGGAAGAAGACTCGACGGCTGACCCGACATCTGCAGAAGGCGCTTGCGAAATGATGGCTGCGCGATACGCGGTCGCACAAATGTATGGTCCCGATCTCAGCGTCCTCAAGTCTTTTGTCGGCATCCCGTGGCTCCACCACCTCCATGAGGACTCAACTGAACTGGGTGACGATGACCTTGACACATTCTTCACCGGACTCCCAGAGCGCGAGCGCCCGCGTATGGAATCAATTCTGGGATTTGCCATCGACTCAGACCAATGGATGGACGCGACCATTGAGGAACTCGTGTCAGCTGTTCAAGAATACCTGACCATGCTGGAAGCTGATGAGTCACTCATCGAAGACGTCTTGGAATCTGAGAATGACAACGATGACAAGAAGAAGAAGCCGAAGAAACGCGTCATAGACACCGACGCCATCGCAGCCAATGTCAGCCAACGTCAACGCGTCTTGGCTAACATGTACAACGAGATCATGAGCGCGCAAGACGAGAAAGGCCGCGTCGCGCACTTTGACGAGGTGTTCCTCAAAAGCGCCCTTGGTGTTACGTACGATGCAACCTTCTTCAGTTACTCCAAAGGCGAAGTTCTGCACGAGGATCCTGTCCAGGGCTACTTCAGCATCTCCATCGAACCCCACTCGCCAAACTTCACCTTGTTCATTTCGAACGAAAAGGAAGTGGCAGCTCTCCGACGCGCGACATCTGAAGGTGTTGTTCCAGACCCGAAGAAGGAGGAGCCTGAAGGCAACAAAGAAAAGAGAGAATGGAAGAACATTCTCGGCAACGCCTTCGCCCGCGCTACCCAAATCAAGGCCCGTATCGGTTATGAAGCACTTGTACTTCATAAGTACGTGATCATCAGAGACCTTGATGAGTTTGTCAGCACAAACAAGACCCTGGCGAAGCACTTCAGCGATGCAATGAAAGAGCACGTCCGGCGCCTTTTGAGTTGCAAGGAAGCCTGCCCGGTCTACTACGAAGTCAAGTTCAACCTAGACGCGGTCGCGCAAGACAAACTCTTCCTCGGACGACCGGAATGGGCGAACGCCTTCGGCGATGCCTTTAAAGACGGGATGATCTGTTGTATCCTTGACGGTAGCAAGGAGGCAGTCCGACGTCTTCACTTCGTCGGAGAACTGATGGACGATCAGAAGGCTTACGGTTCGAGACTCCAGCAGCTATGGTTGAATGACGCGAACACTCGACGCTTAGTCCTTCGTCCCGACAACGTCCGCACTGAGCCTCGCTCCGGACAAGTTTCGAACGCGACATATAAGTACCAGTCTCAATTGCCGAATTACAATTGGGATGAAGCTGCCATCAAAATGGCTGTGTCAATCGGACAAGAACGCAGCACCCTACAGAACCAGAAGACCGCGTTCGAAAATGAATCCCATACCATCATCCTCTTCAAGATCCCCGGCACTCATGAAGGCCACTTGTTGGGCTTTATCGACTGGCCTTTGAACGACTCTACCCTCCTCACGCCAGACACTCAGCTGCGTTTGACCTTTGTTGAACATGAGAAGAAAGTCGGCGCCACAGATGCTGGGCAAGCGCCGGAGAAAGAGAACGAGAAAGGTACAACCGAAGGTGATTCCGGCACCGAAAAGAAGCATGATGCTGCCGCCCTTGCCCACGCAGCCGCTCTTTCGGTGAATGAAACCACCTCCGGGGACGACATTGTCAGCCAGGATGCCGCTGCACCTGACGCTGTGGCTGAGGTTGTCACGCCCAAGCCTGCGCCTACGCCTGAGACTGCGCCTGCGACTGCGCCTGTGTCCGTGGACTCGCCTTCGGGAAAGACACTTGTCCCCGCACGTGACGAATACAAGGCAGACTTCCCCTACGACGGCGGCATCCTCGAGACCGACAGCGGCCCGCTCAATGCCATTTTCGCCCTGGTCGACAGCATCGGAAAGCAATGTTCTGTAGACGCGCCTACACCGGATGAACTGATGGACGACGTGAAAGACTTCATCGTTGACCGGAAGGATTTGACAATCGAGGTACGGGCAAATCAGCTTCTGCAAGTCCTTGACACCTGGTACATGGGTGCACACCAGAAGCACGCACAACTGGGAATTCTTCAGATGGAAGATCCTGAAGCGGAGACGGGCGAACCCAACCTGGTGTACACTGAACACAGGGAAGCCTTGCGGGTGTGGGTATGCTACATAGATGGACAGTGGAGAGGCCTCGAACCCCTCACTGAAGAAGAGCACCAAGCAGTTCGACGCGATCGAGATCAGGACGCAGACGCGCAGTTCCTGGTCGAACAACAGGAGCAGGAGATCGCCGACAAAACTGTGTTCTGGAGATGCCGTATCACTCCACCTGTCCCTAACGGTCCCGTCAACAAGATCCCGGTCATAGTCACTAGACCATGGGATAAAGAAAAGCAAGCCTTCGACGATCGCCCGCTTCGAATCATTGACACTGATACCGCGGCTGAATACGACTTCCGTCGCCTGGTCCACGAAGCCCCATCACATCAGGTGAAGCTTCAAGTCATCGACTCTGCCCGCCAATCAAAACGCAACTTTACCTCCCTGGAACTCCTGAACTTCGCTCCGAAAGACAAGCCTTTCACGCGTCATAACGAAGTGGCACGGCAGCTGCTCACGTGCAACAACTTGCATGAGATCAAGGCCCGGGACGCTTTCACGAGTATCCGCTCAGAGTTCCCAAATCCCGAAGCGGTCATGATCTTGAACCAGGAACAAAAGCAAGCTATACTGGCCGCTGCAGAAGCACCTGGAGGCACTATGATCATCAGCGGAGTGCCAGGTGCAGGCAAGAGTCACATCGCATACCAGATCTTGAAGCCTTTCCTGATGTCTGCTGACAACCATTCCATTCTGATGACCTCCAACTCGAACGAAGCTGCAGACAATCTAGTCCGAGGCGCGTGGGCGACATACACGAAGCTTGTTGCTGAAGGAAAAGCCCCCGCTGGCCGACGGATTCTGCGGCTCTACTCCAATACCTCGGAGAAGGTCATTCGTACCCGCCATCTGAAAGCGCAGCTAGGTAGAGATCCCGAAAGCCGCCCAGAAGTGGAAGAAGTCGAAGTCGAACAACTGAGCAACCTCGACGCAGTCGTCCGTCACCTTTTTGACAGCACTCGGAAGCATAAGTACGACGGTATCTACGATTCCCGCGTCCAAGACATTGATTTCTCGCTTGGTCAAGCTCTTCTCACTGAGACGGGAATCGTACACGATCCTATCTTCACACCAGCAAATGCCCAGGACATCTACGAAGACTTCCGTAGACGGTTTAATCAATATCACGGTACGAAAGAGATGAACAAGGACCAGCGAAAGGAACACGCTACGCAGGAGAGGGAGATCCTGAAGGGAATCCTCGCAAATGCAGCTGTGATTGTCTGCACTGTCTACACCGCCGGATCACGTATAGTGACCGATGCGATTAGCAGTAAGCTTACCGGCATCATCATTGACGAGGCTTTTCATGAGTTGACGACGAATCTCCTACCTGTCCTAAGCATGAGAGCCCCGAAAGTCGACTTTGTGGCTTATCTTGGCGACCCGAATCAACTTGCTCCTCCCGCTCTCTTCTCGCGCAAGGAGTTACCATTCGCCAGCGAACATTACCTGCCATTACCGAGCCGCCTTCAAAAGCTAGGCTTCCCTGTGAGCCGGCTGCTCGAACAGAGCCGGATGGTGCCAGAGATCGCCAGTTTATCGAACCGATTGGTCTATAAAGGCGAAATGCGGAACATGCTGGCTCGCTGCGGCTTGAGAACCCGCGAAGCGGCACGGGAGTTCCGTAAATGGGTCCCAACCAACTTCAGCAGCAATGGTAAAGCCAAGGAAAAGGCCAAACCAAGCAACGTTGTGTGGCTCGACACCATCGGGAAGCCGACAAGTACGGAGAAGCATGGTAGCTCGAAAATCAATTACTACCAAGCCATCGCCGCCGCCAATCTCGTTCCTAAACTTCTTCGATTGGGAAAGAACACCACCGTCTGCCTGATGACCACGCACGCTCCACAACGCAATCTTCTTCTGTCAGCAGTCGCCTCCATGGAACTCGACCCGTGGGTCAAAGGTAGCGGTTTGGATAGACTTTCGGTTGGAACTGTGGACGCACTCATTGGCAAGGAGTACAACTACGTTGTTCTCAGCCTTTTAGTGGATAATGGTGCAGGCTTTCTGTCCGATTTACGCCGCTTGTGTGTCGCTTTGACCCGTGCCAGAGACGGCCTCATCATCTTCCTCTCCGGAAAGACGGTCGCGAAACTCGACCTTCGCGACGGCAGCTATCTAAAGGACTTGATTACGTTCTTACAACCTTATAGGGTTGAGGATGTCCATAAGTCGATGCCTAATTGCCGATGGATTACGCCACCAAGTGCGAGCGTTTCATCTTGGACGGAGAACGACGTCATTATGGCCGAAGCCTCTGCTGAAGGGGGACAAGACTGGGAAACGGCTCCTGCTGAAGCTGCGCCAATCACCTCTGGCGATGATCAAGGATGGGGAGCCTCGACGGAATCCACAGCAGTCGCTGTTTCGGCCGTCGTTGACGCCTGGGAAACCGCAACGGCCGCCGTACCAGCCGTCGCCGACGCCTGGGAATCCTCAATGGAGCAGAACGAGATACTCGTTGCCGGAGATGCTTGGGAAGCTCAATCTGCACCGATGATCGCCTACGTCGACTCACCATTTGAGGGGCAAATCGAGCCGAACGTCTTCGAGTTCAACCCTGATTTCGACGACGTCGAAGAGGACAACTTGGCCTATGATGGAGATGGAACGTGGTGAGGCGAATGCGATTACGGTGATGATGATGATGATGATGATGATGATGATGATGATGATGGTGGTGGTGGTGGTAAAACCGTTTGGAAAAGGACAAAAAACAAGGTGACATGATTGAGCATTCAACCACACCAACAGCTGAGGACAGCTGCTTTTTTGCGAAGAGGGCATATTGTCACATGACAGCGCTAGGCCTGATCAGGACTAGTGGCACTTACCATTCTTTGAGTCCTTATGACTCTCTGCCCCTCTTCCTTCTCTTTTGGTTCTCTAGACATGTACACAACAATGAAGGCATTGCAGCCCCTCTAATCTGTCATTGCGACGCTTGCTCTCCCTGTTCGCTGCTGACATTACAACCTGAGTCCTGAGGAACCAGATCTCCGAGCACAGACTGATGTGAACCCTGACGAACCGGATTCCCAGATGCAGACTGACGGTGATGATTCGACCTCTGATAGTGGGGAACTGGGCTCTGACGAAGGGAATTGCCACGCACAGACCGACGAAGAGCTAAGTTCTGAGGAATGGGACGCCCAAGATAGTACAGGCGACGATAACTCAAGCATTCCCGAGCCGTCAAACATCAACGAGACGGGCACACAGGAACTCACCTACAGCTTAACCCTGACTTCACAAACCTGACCGTCGGAACGTCCGCTGCGCGACGACTGTGGCTGATTCAACAGGGCCAGATGCGGTTGGAAGAAGATGACCCCGTCGACGGCCACTCCCTTATCCGGAAACTTCCATACGAACATGCTACCACGTGAATTTGCGATGTCAGTGAACCCGAGGCTGGGTCTTTTTCTCATCATGCACCCGGAACTTCCGCCAATTTGACCAACAAATCCTGCAATAGTAGCATTAAAGACAATAGTCGGACTGACTGCTGGAGGAGTGAAGGTCATGATGAAGGAGAAGAAGGAAGGGGTCAAACGGGTCAAACAGGTCCAGCGAGCCGGGCTGATCCCCTACATCGAGCCGATGACAGACGGATGCGTTGCGTTTAAGGGCGCTTTCAGGCTTTGGGTGAGCGACGATTACATCATATACCACTAAGACCGTGCATCCGTCGCTTGGCAGAACACTAAAGGTCAGCGACTCTATAAGGAGCTCGCAGGGCTGTCAGAGCGGGAGGTCAGTCGGTTTAGACGCCAGATGGGAGATTAGTAAGGAGACATCGCTGAGTGGCAGATGACACTCGTTGAACTGAACGTCCGCGTGAATAATCTCAATCCGTTTATACCGGGTTTTGTTGGCGACGAGGAGCAATTGGCACGAGGTTAGCGGTACGTCTGTCTCACTCAACGACTCGCCAGCCGCCCTTTGGTGCAGGGCGGAATACCCGAAGGCTACGAGGGCCGTTCCCGTATTCGATACTTTCATGTCCGAAACGATCTCGATGATAACGCCCGACGCATAAAAACCACGACCTTATACCAACTCCTTCCACGATCCGAAGTCCCGCCGATCACCACCCTAAATGAGCCTCTACGAGAACCTAAAGACTCGTTAAGCACGACCTTAAACGAACCTCTTCTCGGATCCGAGAACTTAATACATCGATCAGGTCAAGGTGAAAACAGGGCCAAGTCCGTCGTGGTCAGATCTTCCGTGCCTCCGATGATCGATTGGCTTAGGGCAGTCGACGAAGAAATCATACAAGAAGAAGACACAGCGGACCAGCAGCAGGCGGCAGCGGTCCGAGATGGCTTTCAGCCGGCAGAAGTCGAAGCGACGCACGCACTACGGAGAGCCGTTATGACAGAACTGTAGTCAGATAACGAGGAAGCCCAAGCCCGAGTTCAGGACCAATTACTGATCGATGGAGCCACTGACTTGGATGACCGCATTGCCCGCATTGAGGCCGTTAAGCTCAGACGTCGCGTGGTATTGCGAAGGTACACGGATGTCATATCAGACGGGCAGCGGTTCAGACACAAGAGGCCGGAAGAGGAAAAGAAAGGCGAATCCCTCGGCGTCTCGATTGCATTACAGGATACACCAGTACAGATCCTTGGCCGGGCGAACAATCTGATTGAAGCTATGGATGACCAAGACACCGACGACACTACATTGTCTCATGGTGGACCGACACCGCATCAATTACTGGCACAATCCGAGAAGCACGAGGCATCACCCGCCAGGAAGAGAGCGACCGGAATGCCGACCACGACGAGGTCGCGCCAACCACCAACACCACAGACACACCGCCTCCCCGAAAGAAGAAGAAGAAGCTCTTCGCAAACCCATTCGTACTCAAGCAATCGTTAGCTATTGCTATAAAGCATCAGAGGAGGCGGCTCGGTTGAACGTCGAATGGCGCGCACAAAACCCTTCGCCGCCGACAGACCCACCGCCAAACTTCCCGCTACAACACTTCGACCCCGACGAAGAACCACCCGCGCGTCCGACAGCAGCCCCGAAAGACGCCGATCTGGTAAAAGCAAGCGTCGCGATGTTCGCGGAACAAGAGGCAGGCGCCGAAAGATCTTGGAGGCTCAGAGTCGCCGCCCTGGCGAGAAGGGCTACGGAAGCACGGCAAGCAGAGGGAGCAAGCACGAGAGCTGCAGGAAATACAGGAGCGACTACAGGAGCGACTACAGCGATACCGGACCACGGTTCCTCCCAACCCTGACATCCCGTATCAGATGTCAAACGATGGTGTTTTCCTCTTTGAGCGGCATGGCGACTTCGAGAGGGTCTTTTGCAGAGTTCCCGCCACTACTAAGGACGGAATGCCCGCTGCTGAGCCATTTTGAGTTGGATCCAGTCACTAAGTTCCTTGACGCCTATCTCGAGCATGGCAGCGATATTGACCTCTGATTGATGCACAAACCGAGGTGCGGAGACGTTCCCCCCTTTTTATGTGCTGCACTCTGGTACGAGGACGTACGCTTTTCCCGAAAATAGAGGGGATTGTTGCGAGCACACGGTGTTCTTTCATTGGCGCAAATCACGCGAATATCACGTGACCATGGTTTCCATTTTGTTGTCCTTTCGAACGTTCCATATGCTAGACGATACTACACACACTTTAAATAGTGTACGGTTCGACACAGGCTGATATTCACTACGTCAACGCGTAGCTGTCTGTGAGAGGTGGTGGTGGCTCGGAAGGTGCTGGTTGCAATGCCGAAGATGTAATATTGATATCTCAATGAACATGAACACTACACATTGGTGAGCGGCCTTCGAGGCTTCAAATAACTGCGTAGAGGATGCTAGGCGCACGTGACGGAATGAACAAGGCGACTGAATGATGGGAAAACTGGTCTGTGTTGCTATCTGACTTGTGTGCTTCTGGCATGTTTCATATGCCGTCGCGCTCACATGCCTTCTTCCGTAAAGCTGCACGCGAAGACACCACACGTAATGGCAGGCCATGACAGGGGCTGGCAAACTGCCATGCCGCACCCTGGTTCGCTGTGCACTGTCCGGAGACGCCAGTACGTGACCTGATTAGATCGGACTCCCTTTTCAGGATGTGCGTTGAAGGGGATGACCGTCGTACGCCAGAACAGTAGTAATCTAATATGTCCTCCATTAAGTTGCAAATAGGACCCTAGTATCCATGTGCCATATCCTACTTGGCCTGGCCAGTTAAAGCGCCATCCAGACCCGAACTCGTATGACCAAAAAACAACGAAAAAAGGAAATTCTCTCGAACCGGAATCGAGCCGGTGACCTTTCGGTAACAGTATCATTTACAGCCGAACGTCATACTGTTGTATGAAGGTCAGCGTGTTGTGCATCACAGATAAGGGGGTGGACGAACTCCAACTAGACTTGAGGTTATGTTAGCATAATATTCGGCGATGTAGCGATAGACGTCGCCTACCCATCGAGAGTGCGAAATTGTCTTGGATAGACAATGATGGTTTTAGTCTTGAATGTTGTTCCAATTTTGGAAGAAGCAAAACTATATTGCTATATTTAATCTAGCCTCGGTAGATGAGCTTGGCACTCAAGCCCGCTCCCCTGTTCGCTGTGCGCGAAGGGTAGCTTTTACAGTACAGTTGAAAAGATGCTTCACAGAAACTACATAGCTCACAGTGCCCACGCAGATTCTACTCCCTTGGTGATATCGTTTTTATGGACTTTCTATTGTCAGTTTAACCAGCCAATAAAAGGTGCGCAGGATTGATTCATCTTGAAATCACCGTTTGAGGTCCGTCGCCTGCGCGTACAACTCAAAAGACCAACCCTGACAGCTGAGGACAGGTGACCTTGAGTAAAGTGCCCCCTCGACGTGCTTCATGGAGAAACTTGAGTCTCAAAAGTCGCGGCGGTAAAGCTGGCATGCGTTGCCGCAGGAGACATGGCCTTGTATGACACTGGAGTCAACATCTCTGCGCTATCCCTCATCCTAGTGCTACGAGCACTTCCTGTACTTGTTAAGGGGCTCGATGAGTAACTTGGGGGCTTCCTTAGTCAGCGCTTCAGGCGTCCTGCCCCCCCAAGGAAGGATGTCTCCCCGTGGTCTGCATGGGAAGATTACTTCGTACCAAATGTTCGTAGACAAGCACCGATCGGCTTGCTGTTACTGTAATAGCTGACCTCTATCAGCAACAAGCTACGTTTGTGGTGCTCCCGCGAAAGACGACAATAACCTGAGATACAGCTCTTGGTTTTCATTCAGCTTGAGGCATCCCAGAAAGAACAGAGTCCCAACAGATGGTATGGCCAGATGTTTGAGTAGGTTCACGCTTTCGAGGCTACTCGGATAAACAGAATCAGAAATGGAGGACAATGTGTCCCTGAGCGATCACACTGCCAGACTGGACATCGAACAAGTCGGTGATCCCAGAATTCCTGCTCGCTACACCACAACCGAAAAGGACCCTGCTGCGACAGTGCGGCCGACCGCTGAGATCCCAGACGTACAGGAGCGCTCGGGCTTCGAGCTCAGCCCTCAGATCTCCAAGTCGTCGAAATCAATCCGTCTCGAGTCACCGCCAGTAGTCATCAGGCCACCTAAGGTCAAGTCGGTCGGCTTCAGCCATGCTGCTCTTTCATGGCTGTCTTGGAATCGAAACGAGGAGAAAGACGTGCCTGACTGTGCAAGGTCTATGCACCGGTCATACTCCTACCGGACGACGTTTCGGTTTCTCGGGTTCAGCCTGTCCAAAGACATTAATTATAGGACCTCGGCGGGCGGAATCGATACTGCCATGGCAACTATCCGCTTGGTAAGTAGCTCTTGATGAGGCACCCACAAGAAGGCATTTACTGACGCGCGCTGGTCGATCAGGGATGGGGAAGCTCGGAAGCCAACTGGGTACTTGACAAGCTACCGAAAATCCGCCAGAGATTGGGATTAGTCAGTAAAGAGCAACGATATCCAACAGACGCAGAGAGACAGAGCGTTTCAAGTCGAGAGCAGAGCAGCACAACAGCTGTAGAAAATCAGAAGGCGTCAAACGAACCTGGACGCGCGGTCCGCAGCATTGCACATCCCTGGCTCGATGACTACCACTATGTGGTCGTGGGCATCCTGGGTGACCAAACGGCGCCGAGAGAATCCCTACGTCGCGTGATGCGTATCGATGGACTGTTCCAGCAAATTCGCAAGGCCCATAGGCAGTTGAGAAATCCAATTCGAAGAGGAATGTCCCTAAAAGAGGTATCTGGCTTTGGCATTTACCAGTGCGACCCCAGCAAAGGCCACCACTGCGAGGTGGAACTGGACCCAGAAACGGAGCGCGCGCTCGCAGAGCTCTGGCGGAGCTATAACACCCAGAAACTTGACTATGAGGGTCGCTGGCTGATGTGGATCCACCAGCATTTCAACAACGGCTCGAAGAATGCGGAACTGGGTACGTTGACTTTGGAGTTGAAGCTCCGTTGGTCGGTCTTCAAGGTGGTATTCTGGGGAGTGGTCCCAATCCTGCTGAGCTTGGCCATTGGGTTCTGGTACATGTACTCGGATCATGGCGAAGTCGACGACGTGGCGGTTGCAGAAGCAGCGTGGGTGATTGCCACGTACATCATCACTACATCAGCGTGTGAGTACCCCTTCTTGCCAATTTGGTCCCGCAAAGTCGTTAACCCGAGCACTCAGTAATTTTCGCACTTCTAGCTGTGATCACGCAGCTTGGCGATGTGTGAGCTGCGGATTGTATTTGTGGATTCACAACAGGTCATCAACGAGCAAAACCAGGCTGTCTTGCTGTGCAAACAAAGGAAGTGGTAGGTGCAAGCCAGTTTGTGATTAGGCGAATCTTCTATACACGCACGTGACTGGCAAAGCAACTTCCATGTGCTTCTTATCGCAGCATCAGGTGATCTCGCGGCCCTTCTGGGAGAGCTCGGGAGAACGACCCGCAGCAAGCCTGCTGTGGCTCCCTTGCATGGTCCATCTCTCGGAAACTGCTTAGCCCGCCCGCTAGTCTGGCCTTGGCTCAGCTGATCTACAAGGCTATTGGCGGAAATAAGAGATAGCTGGAAATAGAGTGTGCGCGAGTGGAGCCACGGGCAACTCAACTTGCACCACTTCCGCCGCGAAGCACATCAGCATCCCCCATCATCCCTCCTCTCACCACTCTCTCCTCCCTTGGGTGCCTCCACTCTGATGTGTCGCCTTGCCTTGGGATCCGAAGGCGCCCCCTTCCTCTTCCTCGCCCTCCTTCTTCCCTGGTTTGCTCTTACTTTCCACCTTGTCGCCTCTTTACCTTCTTGAGACTCTTGAACTGCGTCTGCCTGCACCATTCACCTCTTTGACTCTTTGCGAACCTGCACCTGTACCAATTCTCAGCGCCTGTCTTGCCACCTATTCGTCTTAATTCTTCTTTCTTCGACTCTGTGTTTCTGTTCGACTTCGTGGCAGCGATTCTCCGATCTTCGGCCGCCTTTGGGACGCGCTGATCCCCATCTTCTGCGTCATTCATTCCACGGCACACTCCAGCCTACCACCGATCTGTCCTCTACGCCGACCCTCTCCTGACACTGACGCCGCTTTGGCCTCATTGTCGCTCCCTATTTCCGCTCTTGCTGATCGTCTAGCGCTGCGCGCACTCTCCATACACGATTTACGCATTGTAATACCTAAACGACCTGTATTCTAACGAACTTACAAACGACGGCTGTTTGAACATCCCTATTCTACTCACTCATCGCCAGCAGCAAGGGAAACCCTATCTCCTTCCGCTGTTCGGGATTTTTCTTCAGAGAACGACGTCAGCCAGGCAAGACAGAAAGTGTTGTGATATTGTGGTCTGCGCCGCAGGACCCTACAGACTTATGGCTGGTGGCGCAAGGTCAAATCCTCGGTGACTAAATGGTCCAGATGCAGACGGTGGTGACCTCGAATTCGCATTGCGTCGCTCAGTGGAGCACCCCAATATGTTGCGGCTTTTATCTTGGACTGGCTGTGATATGGTCAACTCTCCGGACATGAGGATGTTTGTCTCCAAACAAGACTCTCCTGGATCTGGTAGTCTCGCAAAGCCCGGTGCTGGCCACAAGCGCAGGCAATCAGGCGACACTCAAGGCCAGGCAGACAGAAAACGAGCCAGGATTGTTGAAATGCACCAGAGCGCCGCGTTACCGGCGCCAGCGGACCAAAATCTGACAGCGGATCCTGCACCTGGTATTCCCAAGACAACGGCATCAAATCCGAATAACCCACCATCATATTTACCGTCACCGCCGGAAGTGAAGATGGATGACTCGGAGTTGCGCGCGACAGACTCTGCAGTCAAAGGTGGAGAGTCCGACCGGTTAGAGTCAATTCGAAATGTGATCCAAACGCAAATCGGTCTTGAGATTCTACTCAAGCACAAAGAGCTCCGACTCATTGACCAGGAGATGGCAAAATGTCAGGTCGCCTTGGAGCAGCTTCGTCGATGCCATGAAATTCCGTTCCCCGGAACCCAAGGTCTTTCTACTGCCGTCAGTACGGGCACCGGTCCCGCTCTTCGTACTTCATTCTCGACTCCGCTCCCTCACTCTCCCGCGCCGTGGGGCGTTCTGGATGGACCATACACCCGTCATTACGCAAAATGGTTACTGCAAGATCCCCGTTTCGAAGGCGGCGAAGTCCAACAGGTGGAGTCTACCCCCATTGGCAAGTCGCCCATGAAATTCAGGTCTCAAACGAGAGGCAGCTTTGCAGAGGTTCCACAAACATCAAGCCAGTCTCGGACGCAACGTGGGGGGAAATTGAAGTCGCTGCCTGCTGGATATGGCCAGCCGAAAGAGAAGGCTACCGGTCCAATGATCATCAAGAGGAAGTCTGACGGTGCCACTGTTAAGCTGGTGTGTCCGGACTGCGGTCGGTCGGATTTTGGGAGTGCGCAAGGCTTCATCAACCATTGTCGAATAGGCCATGGGAGGAGTTTTGCGTCCCATGATGCTGCCGCTGACGCCTGTGGAGAACCGGTCGAAGTGGATGAAACAGGAGCAATGATTGGCGTTGAACCTGTCCTGACGCCCACGGCGGGCAATGTCCATCCGTTGATCCGCTCAGCGAAGCTTCTGCAACCGGCACCACCTCGAACAGCACCTCCGACGACAGCTAGAGACACGAATGCCGAAAACGCCAAGGCAAAGGTGTCACCTGAATTTAAGGCATCAGCCCTGACACCGAACCTTTCCGACTTTGTCAAAGGTCGAGGTCTTGGACTCGACCTCCAGGGACTGGTCTCGGACGCCAAGACAAAAGTCGACTTGCCGGAGTCTGATTCAGAGGATGACGATATGGACATTGATGTACCCATGCAGAATACTGCTCAGGGTCGTCATCCACAAGTGGCCGGTAGTAAACAGCCGGCAAAGCCCACCAAATCGCCCTTGTCTTCACCATTACTGAGCTCGAGCATGCTGAGGTCTACGACCAACCTGCGTGGAGGTGGTGTGCAGCCATTTGTCGGTGCTAACGGTGCTACAACCCAATCGCGGCCTCGGGGAATGACGTTGCCGATGAGTGACAGATCCCCCACTGACCTTCGACCGTCCGATCCATCGCCTACCAGTGAATCGAATCAAGCGCCAAGCCTTGTGGACGACGATGAGGAATTTGAGCCACACTCACCGAGCAGCAGCTCGATTTCTGACGAACACGACATGGGCGAGATCGATTTTGAGGTGCAAGGTGATGACGACGACGCGCGAAGCGTCCTACATGGTCCCGACTTTCAGCCAACTTGTACGCAAGCTGCTCGACCTTCGCATGCTCGACGACCTTCAGCCATTCGCCGTCACGGCGAAGACAGAGAGGAGAAGCATGTCAGCTTCGTGAGCCCCAGTCCGGCGCGTGAAACGCCTCACCCTCGTGTCAGTGGGGATCGAAGAAAGAGGAAAGTTTAGACTCCTGACGAGATTCGCAATTGTTAGACTTCTACCTTTCTCCAGACCTATTTGACCAGCATGTGTGGAGTTCGTGGTAACAGCAACTTCTTCATCGGTGTGGACGACGCTGTATTGCATTAAGCGAGGGACTTGGATAGACGACGGCGCGCAAGCTGAGGCCGAGGCGTCCTGAGGACTTGTACATACCATAGCTACTTATCTTCGCAGTGTCTGAGCAATGCCAGTCACTCGCCAGCAGACATTGTGTGCTGGTCAATGCCAAAGACTCATCTCCAAAGAACGGCGCGGTGAGTGCTGGGATACATATATAGAGCACTCCGTACTTGTCACAGACGCTCCTCATTTGCCCGGAACCGTGCCTTCGCTACGCCGGCTCGATAGGCGGGTCCCTCGAGATCTCCATCGGTCCTGTAGCTTCGATCGATCGACCAGTTCGCTTGGGGGCATCGGCCGGTGAGGTCCCAGCCAAGTCTCCATCCCATGCCTATTGGGGGGGTAGGCGACAATTAAGATTTCCAACAGCGACGCTACTCCGTACCTCGTCTCCGTCCTTCCTCGTGGCGGCCAGACTTCTGAGGACCGAGTATGTCATCGAGACGACACTTTCCGCGAAAACTTAACCATGCCTTTCCTTTTCTTCCAGCTTTGTACGCCCGACCACCAGACACTCGTGCTGTCTCTTCCGGATCCTTTCACGACCGTCACCAGCTTGTCGCCTGTGCTCCCCAACACGCCCCACCCTTCTCACGTCCATGAGCACTGTCGAAGGTGCTAGAGTGAAAGCAGAAGCTCGACGGACGCGAGACCTCGAGCATGTTGGTAACGGGCCTGGTGCGCGATTGATAACCAGAGATGACGTCGTCCTCTGACAAGCCCTTAACCCTACGATGAGCCCACCACGACCCGGGAGTCATCTGCATGCAGGATCCCGCGACAAGAGCCTGGAAGAGCTGGGAATACGGTCATTCGTCGACCAAGAGGGCAACAGACAATTCACAATCCAGATTGAGTCGGCGGGAACCGATGGTTCGAAAACCTCTCAGGTCGTGTTTGACGGCTCGACGGGCCAGTGGAGAGTTACCAGTGCTGAAGTTGCATCTCAGCCTGCCGGATTCCCACATCACGCAAAACCAGGTCCAGCCGTCGAACCAGCTGAGAAATCCTGGACCCAATCCCTCCCCAAGAACGACAGTGTGGACTGGTTTTTGAGAAGCGTGGATTGGAGCCAGACCGACTATGGCCCTCTCGACCGCTGGCCCGTATCTCTCAGGACTGTCGTCAGCATCGTCCTCTCCGATGATTGTCCTGCGGTTATCTACTGGGGCTCATCTCTTTCGGCTTGCTTCAATCGAAGGGCACATAACGACATACGTCAGAGGTTGAACAATCACTCGGGCATACAGGGGAGACCCTTCAAAGAGATATGGCAACATTCATGGCCAGCCCTAGAAGGCGTCTTCCAGGACATGGAAGATGGTCGCCACACCCTGAAGAACATGGAGGTGACCTTGTTTCCTCAACAGCCAAACGGGCGTACCGAAGAATCTTTCTGGAGGGGGACACTCTTGCCAATACTCGACGAGCAGGGAAGAGTTTCGGGCTTCTACAATCGAGCTTCCGAGATCACTGACGAGAAGGTCAGAGAGCGAAGATCCAACACACTCTATGCGATCAGCGCGCCGGCAGCCGACTCAAACGAGTCGATCTGGGACCACCTGTTCCGTGCCTTGTGCAGCAATTCCAATGACTTTCCCATGGCGTTCGCATACTCGGCCGAAGATGACGGCGTGACCTGTACCTTGACATTGAAGCAGTCGCTCGGGTTGCCACCAAGTGGTCATGCACTCGTTCCGGCGCATGTCGACATATTTGAAGGACCCACCGGGTTACCATTCTACTATCGCAAGCTCAAAGCCACCCATGAGCCTATCGTCCTCCACCAGGCTGACGGTACTCTTCCGCAAGACTTTTTGGAGGGCTTCGACTGGTGCGGGTACGGCGATGTGCCAACAAGCGTGGCGATGCTGCCAATATCGGTCAGCAGCAGGTTATTGGGTGTCCTAGTTTTCGGACTCAACCCACGGAGACATTTCCAAGCCGAGGACGAGGCTTTTATCAACTCTCTCTGTCGACAGGTGTCTGCCACGATAGCTCTCGCTGTTGACCGTGAGGAGACGCAGGAGCGTGCTGAGCGACTTACTCTTCAACTGCAAGAGAGTGAACGACAAATCAGAGAAATTGCCGAACATGGCCCAGGTAAGTTCTCCCCTTACTCAAAGACGGGGCCGCCCTCCAATCTCTCGTGTTTGTTATCCCGTCGGAACCGGCTCTTGCTGACAGACAAACGCCAGTTGGTATGATCCGTGTAACTGCTGCAGGCAATATCCTCTGGGCCAACCGGCAATATTTTGAAATGACAGGTCACCCTGCTGGAGATCAATATGAATTCTCCTTCCTTGATCCGGTTCATCCTGATGACAGAGAGCGTACATCGGCGATGTGGAAAGAACTGGTCGACGAACTCAAGCCCGTTGACCGGGAAATTCGCCTACATCGGACCTGGACGCCCCCAGCCACCGCTGGGAATCCTCACCCAAAAGAAGAATGCCGCTGGCTCATGGCACATGCCTTTCCGGCGCTGGACAATGGCGAGCTCAAGAGTGTTGTCTGTTGCGTGACCGACATCAGCAGGAACAAGTGGGCGGAAGAGGTACAGAGTCGTCTCGCGGCCGAAGCGACAGAGGCTCGCAAGCTGCAAGAGGCCTTCATTGACATTGTCTCCCATGAGATGAGGAATCCACTCTCCGCCATCACACAACTTGCAGATGGAATTGCCGCGTCTCTCGACGTGTGGGACGCTTCGGATCAATCTCACGACACCGCACAAGGCCTACTTGAGGAGAGCACAGAATATGGGAAGACCATCCTGCTCTGTGCTGCACACCAGAAGCGGATCGTGGATGATGTTCTCACTCTCTCGAAACTCGATTCGCAGCTGCTTGCGATTACCCCAGTCGTCATCCAGCCTCGCATCTTAGTCGAGTCTGTGTTGACAATGTTCCAAGCGGAGTTTGAGACGCACTCAATCGGCGTGGAGAACATCACCGATCAGACGTTTCGAGATCATGAGATAGATTATGTCTCTGCGGATCCAGCGCGCCTGACACAAGTCTTCATCAACCTTCTCACCAACGCCATCAAATTCACCAAGCTCGAGCCAGTCCGCAAGATCACCGTACGCAGATCTGTCTTTGCCGGTCCAGTGCCTCAGATTGATCACATTGTCTGGTTCCCCACGAATCAGAAGCGGCGCCCTTCCGTCTCGTTTCCCGAAGGAAGCGATGGGCCGCCGATCAATCTCCTCTTCTCGGTATCGGACACGGGGAAGGGCTTGGAGCAAGAAGAGATGACACGACTCTTTCACCGCTTCCAACAAGGAACGAAGAAGACACACATCAAGTACGGCGGATCCGGGCTTGGATTATATATCTCCAGAGAGCTCACCGAGGCTATGGGCGGGCAAATTGGCCTGGTTACAGAGCCCGGGAAAGGCAGCACATTTGCATTCTATGTCAAAGCACACAAGACCACGGCAAAGGACGACCATGTTCAGCCTCCTCAACTGGCGCGATCCCCACAGCTCGCACAGCAGACATCTTGGTCGCGTTCGAAAATCGACCTCCCTATTCGAGCTTCAGGCACCGCCATCACCGGGCGCGATGGCCCACGGTTGCTCCTAGTCGAAGACAACATCATCAATGCCCAGGTACTGACCAAACAGCTCCAGAGGGCAGGATGCACCGTCTACAACGCCAACCATGGTTCTGAGGCTTTGGAGTTCTTGGAGCGTACGAAGATCTGGCACGACTACAGATCGATCCAAGCGGCCGAGTTGCCGGTCGCCAATCTCGACATTGACATAGATTGCATTCTGATGGATGTGGAGATGCCAGTATTGGATGGCCTAACGTGCACTCGCAGGATACGCGAACTGCAGCATGAGGGGTCGTTTAAAAGACACATCTGTATCATTGCCATTACTGCTAACGCTCGCACTGAGCAGATCAAAGCGGCGTACAATGCGGGAGTTGACGACGTCCTGCCCAAGCCTTTTCGGGTTGCGGAAGTGTTGGCCAAGGTTGACAAGCATGTGGACACAGGCAGGAATCGAATCTCCAGACGGTAGCCATCGAACATTTACACGGACAGCATTCCAACAAGCACCCGTGCGTCCACCATAATGTACACTGCTCCTGTGCAGGAGTCGCCCTTGTTGCCGCCGGATGCTCCATTTCGACAGCGCTCAGCAATCAGTTGTCGGGGAATTGACCTTCAAGGAGGCGAGGAAGAGTCGTCGTCGTTCGAAGAGATCAAGGATGCGGATGACTCGGGCGGCACGAAATACCGCCACAAAGCCTTCGCCCAGAAGATCGTCTCCAAGGTCCCAAAGATGCTCAGTGCAACGAGAACGCTTATCTTGACCGTGCGGGTCGCTCCCAGGTTTGCGAAGCTGAAGGAAGGATAGGCGCCCTCTGAGTTCGGGTGCGACTGAGCGGTCTTGTGGGTATCAGAACGGCTACTCTGTTGTTGGCATTGTGAAGCTCGTTGGCTGAGACGTCGGATGCACGAGTGATGAGTTAGAGACGGACGTCGTATCTGTGGATGTAATACATGCTCGACCCGGAATCTTGATCCGCGGTAGTTGAGCGGCAGCTTGAAAAGAGCCATGGGAGGTGATGACGCCGGCATGAATTCTGAATATTATGGAATCTGGGAGACTGAATTGAATAGAGGAAGAAAAGACAAGAATCAGCATTCGAGCAATACCCAAACCCTTATACCACTTCCTCTTCTCCTCCCCTGCTCCAAGGCCCCCAAGGCCCCATTTGAGGTACTTTTCCAAGAAGGGCATAGTGCTGCCAAGCTACTATCTCATTGGCTCCGTATTTGCTAGTGTACGACGTATTCGAGTTTCGTATTTCCAAGCCGCAGCACCAACTTCCTCCCTTCATCTTGCTTCCGTCGACTCCACGTTTCACACAAAACACTTCCTAGGGACCGAGGCGAGCATAGCTGCTAGGCTAGGCAATGCCACCGCGGCGCTCGCATCAGAAAAGCCGGCGTGGCTGCTTGTCCTGTAAACAAGCCCACATCAAATGCCGAGAAGACGGGCCGCCCTGCGAACGTTGCAGGCTGAGAGGAACCACCTGTACATATCCCGACCCGCCTCCGAGTCTGCGGCAAGACACCACGCCGCCAAAGAATGGCATTGCGCCGGTGGCCGGCATGGACGACGAGTCACAGCCGGAGGAGCCGCAGTTCCCGAGCAGTACGCGGCTGCTGGAGCTCCAACTCATGCATCGATGGTCGACAATCACCCACAGGAGCGTGTGCACGCCCGCTGCCAAGGATGACCATGTTTGGCGCAACAAGCTGCCGCAGTGGGCACTAAGCCACGACTTCCTGCTGAATGGAATGTTGAGCCTCACGGCGTTCGAAGCAGCCAGTGCCTCGGCGGGACAGAATCGCGAACGCTACGTCACGGCGGCGACCGAGTACCAGTCTGTCGCGCTGAACAAGTTTCGCCAACATCTCCAACTGGTCCAGCTGGCGCCCCATCCGAGCAACAGCAGCTATGAGCCGGTGCTGGCCTTCTCGATGATGCTGATGGTTCTGGCGCTGGCGTCGGCGCAGTTCACCCCCGCCACCCCCTCCGACGCGCACCGATCAGCCGGCATGGTGCAAAACACCATTACACACTACCAGCTCATTCGCGGATGCGCCACCGTGCTCGGCGACGGGGGTGAGCAGTACCTCGCTTCAAATCCTTATGTGCTGAAACTCACCCGCTTCGACGATCTCCCACGCTTGCCGGTCGATTCGCCTTCTGCCGTCGTGCTAGCGAGGTTGAACGAGGCCAACGAGCGCAGGCTGACTAGAACCGTTGGCGAGCCGTACGAAGCGAGGGTCCAACATGTCAAGTATTTCGAGGCGTGTAAGAAATCGATCGGCCTATTGGAGCAATATTTCGCCAAATGTACAGGGGACGTCGACGAAAGCTATCAAGGATATATACTTGGGTGGCTGAACATGGCAGGCGACGAGTACGTATCGAGCATCAAGGATGGAGATCACGTCGCGTTGCTAGTATTGATGCTCTGGGGCGCTGTGGTGGAGAAATTCGGCCACAAGGTCTGGTGGGCTAGGCGTTTTGGAAGGTTGTTGGTCGAGGAGATTGCCAGACAGGTGGGCAAGGGGGACGCTGATGCCTTGACCAGGGAGATCATCGCGTTGGCGATCGAGTGGGTTGTCAGGGCTGGTCCTTGAGGTGGGGGGAAGCGAATGCACCTAACGCTGAGCCTGTGAGGCTTGAACTCGACGACAGACAAAGGGAGACAGGGGCCTGGTATTGCATTGCATTGCGTCTCATTGCACTGAAAGCCAGCCTCAGCGAACTCGACCATGCGCGACATAACCTATGACCAAGATGTGCAGTGTGAAATCCCTCTGCAAAGGGCAACTCTCCAAAACAGCCTGTGCGACATTTTTGAGCCGGCCCATCACAGATCGAGTTGAAACTATCTGCTATGGCACGGTCAGGAAACTCAGCATGAACGACGACACCGCCCGTCATTCTCATCGCAGCTACGCCCCTTGCCTCCCTCCGAAGCATAAGTCCCTTCACCTCGTGCCCACGGCTCAACCTTTTGCCGTGTATACAAAAGTCGCTCGACAAAGTATCATGGCTTCGGCCAACGACGGATCCAGTCCAGTATTCCCTCGCCACCATCTTGGGCGGACAGACCCTGCTGCCCACCTACCTACCTACCAGTCTACTTACCTACCTACCTACTTACCTCTTACCTACCTAGCGTGATGCATGACTCAACTCATCCTCGCACCCAATGCGCGACGGCTCGCCTCTGCCCGGGCAATCACAAAGCACAGCACAGCACACTTCCACTGATTCCTCGCGCTCGTGGCGCCGCGGCCGGCCCTGCCTTACCTACTTACCTGCAAAAGGGCGGACAGTCCACATGAAGCGTGCCAGCCGGACGTGGCGAGAAACATCTGTAGAACGGCCCCCCACCCCCGACCCGACGTGGAAGAATCCTCTAGTGGTTGATCCGGTGGCCTCGTGTCGAGAAAATAGCTAGATAGATAGGTACCTGGTGGGTGCCTGTGCTTATGTATGTAGTTGCCTTTCGTCACGTCAGGTCGCGCTCACGCTCACACTTACGCGTCCGGTGCTTTTTTATCTTTGGGACCATATTAGTATTTTACATGTCTCCCTATTTCTTGTCCGTCACGATTGCTACATATCACCATATCACCATGGAGGGGTGGGTAACGAATGGCAGGGAAGGAGGCCCGATACGGGGTTAATCCGCGCTATTGGGCTGTGGAAAGGCGATGCGCATCTTGTGCTGTTTGTTTGTTTGGTCTGGCTGACTGGGTGAACTGGGATTGAAGTTTCAATACCTCGAGAGAAAAGCCTCGTACCCGGTCTGGCAAACTGGACTTCATGTGCATGGGTTCTTTCTGTACCGTCTGTCCGCGCGGTCTGCATAATTACTCTACGTTCGTATGGATTGGTGGTCCGGCCTGGAGGTAGTTTTTATTTTTCTATCGTATCCATCGGTAAATGTACACATGTAGCGCCGACAGATGTAGCTCATGCCGCGTATGCGACATCACAGCTGATCCTCGTCGTCTGGGTCGGGCATGCCTTCTTGGTACGTCCAGCCGCCGTCGTGGGAGGGGATTGATGCGATGGTGGGTATTCCAGGACGTGCACTGGGATTGTTGTGCCCTGTCCTTTCGTGCCTATCCCGGTCGGTGGCCCCGTGCTGCTCTTCGTCAACGTCTCTCTCGTCGCCTCCGCCTTCGTCTTCGGCTCCGTCCTCGTTCTCATCTTCATCCTCACCGTCGTCCTCTTCCTCGGTGACACTGACGTCCTCGGCCTCACTGCCTAGCTCCTCCTTGAGCAGGTTTTTGCCCTTTGACTTCTTCCTTTCCCGCTCATAGTCGTCGTCGTCGTCATCGCCGTCGGAGGAGCCACTTCCCTCGCTTTCGCCCTCGCTGCCGGGATCATAGTCCTCTTCCTCCTCGTCTTCCTCATCGTCGAGTTGTTGTTGCGCCTTTTCCAGCTCGGTACGCGTGTCTTGGTCCTCTCCTTGCCCTTCGCCTTCGCCGGCGGGATCGCCATTCTGCGTCGAATTCGACTTGGGATTCGTCGTCACCTTCTTCGCCCGTCGAGCCTCGGCGAGGCTTGCGTCCTGCAGACCGTGCCTCTTCACGTATTCATCAATGCCTGCAAAATCGGCCTGATCGAGCATCGAGAACTCTACCTCCTGAATGGGATTCTCATCGGCATCACCACCGCCGCCACTCGTTCGATACGCAATGTTCAGATTGAACGTCCGTTGCAGCACGGATGTGTAAGAAATACTCTCAATGTCCTCAAACGCAAAGAAGGCGAGCGGTTTCTTGAACCCGAAGAAAATCCCGTTGCTCAAGAAGAACAGGTACCCGTCTTTGCTCCCGCGGTGGGCTTTGACATGGTACGCCTTGTCGCCCTTGCGATGCGGCTCGGGCGTCGCACTGTAGAACTCGTCGGCATTAGGCAGCGAGAGACTGGCGTTGCACTGCCGTAGCACGAACCCGAGGGCGCATTCCAGCACGTCGTCCGGCCCGGCAGCCACTTTGGCGAGCTGCTCATTGGGGATCGTGCATGATTTCAGGGGCCCCGCGTTGACGGTCCAGATGATGGGTTCGACAACGCCGGTACTACTGCCGGGCTGCTGCCTGGGGACCAACACGAAGTTATATTGTTTGGCGGCCTTTTCCGGCACGGGCAGCCTCAGCGCGTAGGCGAACTGCGAGAACGGGACCTCCATGTCGACTTCGTTCGTGGCCGGGTTGCGCGTGAAGATGGCGAACGAGGTCTCAGCCGCGTTGATGTCGGTGCCATACTGCGCTATGCCCAGGTGTAGCTTCTTGCGTTGGGGCAGGGAGAAGGAGATGTCGCGGGCCTCGAGCACCACTTCGCGAGGCTGGTCTTTGTGCGCGGGTGTGATGGGGAGGGTTGTGGTTGTGGTCGCCGCGCCGCCACCGCCGTTGGGGAATTTGCGCCTTTTGGAGGCCGGCTCGTCGTCGACACCGCCCTCGGCCAGCGAGGTTAGGTGATAGTTCGCAATGTCCTCGAATAGTGGTGCGTGTTGGGGAGTCGCGTCTGCGGCAGTCAAAAATTAGTGCCAGGGAACAAAACGGTGAGCAGACATGACGGTCTGGAGAAGTTTCTCATTTAACGGGCTTACCGATTGCCTCGAATACCCTTTTCCGCAATGACGAATTGCGCGCAAAGGCACGGTCTATCGTGTCACGGCCAGACATGTGGGATGGTGTTGGAGTGACCGACGCTGCGGAAAGCAAGCTGCGACAGAACGAAACAAACGACTGGCCAGGGGACAACTGTCCATGTGAAATCTGGTGATGGCCACAACTACATACAGGCAATTCATTAGTGCGAGTTTCTCCAACGGCCGATGACGAAATCTGTAAAATGCACTGCGCGTCTCGTGGCTCTGGGCGTGTCACCGCGTGTTTCCCTGTCCAGCTCACACCCAATCGTTCACGGGGTGAGTGTTCTCGCTCGGTACAGTCCATTCTGCAAGTCTGCTGATCGTACAGTATGCAAGCTACCACGCTATCCAAGCCAGCTTGCAGCCCTGTCATCAATATCAGAAGTACTGACCTCCATCGAACTTCTCCTTAGGCCAGAACTTGGCCCTGATGGGATTGCCATTAAAGATTCTCCCTTCCAGGGCATTGACTGCGCGAAGAGCACTCAACTGGCTCACAAAATGCACGAAAACCAACGCTTCTTCCTCCTCGCCCTCTGGTCGATGAATGTAAACTCGCTCAACACTGCCATACTTGTCACCACATTCCTCTCCGATTTCTTGCATGATTCCTCCTTCACCCTGCGCGAGCTCGTCATCCAGATCCAAGCCAGTCAGCATGCCTTCAAGTCGGATAACTTCAGACATGGCTCCAAACTTTCCTTCTTCCTCCGCTTCAGCAGTCTTGGATTTATGGCCGCCCAGGATCTTGCCGGTCCCCGCAGGCGTAGCATAACCGCCGCCTTCAGCATCGGCCCGCTTCTTGCGCTTGTCAGCTTTGGCATACAGTGGGTTGATGATGCCGGTGCCCTGGGCTCCGAGACCTTGACCCTTGCTCCAGCCATACTTGGCCATGAGACGTTCTGCAAACCCTACTTGGCCAGGACGCTTGGACCGTGGCTGATCAGCATCCTCATTGTCGACGGCTTCCACGTCTGCAGGCTTGTCCTCTAGTTCTTCTTCAGATGTCGGCATCGCTTCCGGTGCCGGAGGCACATTATACCGTACTGGTGCACGTGATATTTGCCCTGCTGGTGGCGCCTGGCTCTGTGTCAGCCGCAGTCGACGTAAGTATGCGTCCTCTCCAGTTGGGTCGTCTGGGATATCAGCAGGTGGAGGCGGTGGAGGAGGACTCTCATCGTTCAGGTTGGGCGGCGGCGCAAACGCCATAGGAGGTGGTGCAAATTGTTCTGTAACAGGTCAGCAACACTACAGTGCAGCGCGGTGCGGTCTTACTGTTCATGGGACGCCTGTATTCGTCGTCATCAGAGTCGCTGTAATCCCTCCGTTTCATACGATGCCTGTACAGCAGGTCTTTCCATTCCCTCACCTCGCGGATCTTTTCCTCACTGTGCTTGTACTCTTCATAGTTGTTTGGTCGACTAGGATCGTAAATATCATCCCAGTTTTGCGTCACCGGAGCTACTTCCTTGTTCTTCTTGCGCTTCTTGCGACCCCCGCGTGGGCGCTTCTCTGTGTACAAATGGCCGAAGTCCTCGTCATCGGAAGCAGTCGCGGTCCAGTCGGCGATGGTGGTTCTGGGCGCAGCAGGCTGAGACGAGAGAGGATCGGTAGTGCCAGGCCCAGTGGTTTCAGCAGCAGGAGTCGGTGCGGTGGCAGGCGGGGGAATGGAGAATTTGCTGGCAATGGCTTTCGCTTTGGCTTTTTGGGCTGCGACTTGGGGTCTCTTGGTAGGTTGGAATCTCAGAGAGGCTGTACATCACACGAAAGCATGGCAAATCCGTGAGCATGTCTGTTCTGCAAACCTTGAGGTCCTTACGACGAATGATGTACCAGCAAGTGCTTGCTGTTTCTTGACAGCTTCATCTTGTTCGGGCGAGCCTTCACCCGGCTTGTACGAGACAGGGGCACTGGAGATGGTGCCAGGCGCAGCACCTTTCGGGTCGAGCAGGTTGGCATACAGCGACAAGCCTCCCCGCGCAGGCGTGGACGTGTTATTGGCCATTGCCACACGCGCGTTGTGCTTTCCAGATCGTGGTGAGGCCAGCTCGAGCGAGAAGTGAGGTGGAGATGAAACTGTCTCGGTACGGTTTAGCCTCTCATCTCGTGACTGGAGGCTCGAGGCGGCGCGGCCAGTTCTCGGGGGAAAGGACGCCCCCTGTCGCCTTTGAATGACTCCTCCCTGCTAGCCTTACATGCTGCATCGGAAGCAGGCTGCATAAGGGCCATGGAGTCACCAATCGCTAGCTTCGGGGAGGATGCAGATTATCGTGTTCTTGTCCCAGTTTGCACGTCCTCAAACATCTCCAGCTGGACTCAGCACCCGATATTTCACCAAGTATTTTGGTCGAATCACCCGACAGTTGCTCAGACAATGGCTTTTGGCCCGCATGATGCTACGATAACGCCCGGTAAGATACGAACAACGAGATGAGACGGCGGACAGGTCGGGGGCCTTTCTTGTCCGCGTACGTTCGAATCACGTCATGTTTCGTTCGAGGAGTTACTGTTTTCTGGCTTCGGGAACCGGTGATATTAGTAGCATAGAGCAGAGCATTGACTTTACAGATACATTGGACTTCGTCGAGTTCACCGGTGCTGTTCTTCCCGTCCCTTCCTCACCCATCTCCCTTTCCTACACCATCCGATTCAGCCATGGCCATGTCCACGCTCGCAGCCTCCTTTCCAGCGTCGTCCTCAGCAACCACCATTATTGTCCCCGGCACGCCCACTGCTCTGTCCGTCTCCTTCAAGCAATTGACAGATGACATTTTGGTCTTCCAGAAGCAGCTCGCTCAGCTGGGCATCCCATCTGGCGATGCAGTTTCAATAGCCTTGCCTAACAGCTACGAATTCATTGTCTCCTTCCTTGCAACCGCCTTCCAGCGAGCCATTGCAGCTCCTCTGAACCCCGCCTACAAACAGAGCGAGTTCGAGTTCTATATCGAAGACCTTTCTTCAGCCGTGGTCATCTTACCCCAGGGTGCATATGCAAACGATGGGCCTGCAGTCAAAGCAGCTCGAAAATACAATGCCGCCATTGCAGAATGCTACCTGAATGGAGCCAGCCTGATCCTGGACGTCAAAGAGCAAGGCAAGTTGGCGAAAAGACAGTCCCAGCCTGTTGCTCGAGCTCAACCTGAAGATGTTGCTCTCGTCTTGCATACCTCCGGTACCACAGGGAGGCCCAAGGCCGTCCCTCTGACCCATCGTAACCTGACAAGGACGATGCAAAATATTCGCAATACCTACGAACTCACCCACCAAGATCGGACAATGCTGGTCATGCCCTTGTTTCACGTCCATGGCCTATTGGCTGGGTTCCTCGCCCCGTTGAGTGCTGGCGGTTCTGTCATTGTCCCTGACCGATTCTCGGCACGGACTTTTTGGGATGACTTTCTCGAGCACAAAGCAAACTGGTACACAGCGGTGCCTACGATTCATCAGATTCTACTCAAGGGTCCCCCGCCTAGTCCCAAGCCGAAGATCCGATTCATTCGGTCCTGTTCGTCGCCGTTGTCACCCAAGACGTTCCGCGAACTCGAAGAGACCTACGGAGCACCTGTTCTAGAAGCTTACGCCATGACAGAAGCGGCCCATCAAATGTGCTCGAATCAACTTCCTCACCGTGGGAAGCGGAAGCCCGGAAGTGTTGGCATCGGCCAGGGTGTGGAAGTTAAGATCCTAAATGATGAGGGCAACGAGGTCCCTCAGGGTGGGGAGGGCGAAATCTGTATACGCGGAGAAAATGTCACGAAAGGCTATCTCAACAATGAGAAGGCCAACAAAGAGGCTTTCACCAAGGCGGGCTTCTTCCGGACCGGTGATCAGGGCAAGAAGGATGAAGATGGCTATGTCTACATCACAGGACGAATCAAGGAGCTGATCAATCGTGGTGGTGAGAAGATCAGCCCAATCGAGCTTGATCACCTCCTAGCCGGATATCCAGAGGTCTCAGAGGCGGTCACCTTTGCCATTCCTTCGGAACTGTATGGCCAAGAGGTTGGGGTGGCAGTTGTGCCCAAAGCTGATAGGCATGTTACGGAGCAAGGCATCACGGAATTCGTGGTGAGCAGGACCGCAATCTTCAAGAAGCCGCAGCGGGTAAGCCGATGGTCATCCTGCCAACTCCGTTCCGATGCAGAACTTACTGACAACTCACCAGGTTTGGATCTTGAAAGAGATACCAAAGACAGCGACTGGCAAGATACAGCGACGGAAAGTTGCGGAGTCCCTGTTGGCCAAGGACGAGCCTAGAGCGAGGCTATAGACGCACTCCGGGGATCATCTGGGGTTTGCACATGGATCACTCATGCATGTCGGTGTGGAAGGGCATCCGGAGATGCAGTCTGGCGTTAGACGAAAGCGGGGAAACCGTCCTGGAGGACGTAGATTCTGTCAGTGTGTGACTAGAACGTCTGTTCACTTCCTAAGAATTATCGTGGGCTTATACCAAGGTGGGTGAATGTTTTGGCGAGGGCTCGACCATGATGGGCAAGCAATGGATTAGCGAACGGCCCCTGCTTCATGACTGAGATTTCCAAATGACTTTTCTAAACTTGGAGCAAGCGATGAATGCTTCTCTGAACCTCAGCTGTGTTTGATGCTCTCGAGAACAGAGTAAAATCATAGACACAAGTGGAAGGCTGAAGCCCCCTGCCCCACTGAGTTGATGAGGCATGGCTCCCTCCTCCCCACCTCACGCCCTTCTCCAAAGCTGCGGAGGGGGTCATCATGTTGGAGGTCGGAGCCCTCGTTCGCTTCCACAGCGGAGCTCATCAGGTTGAATTATTGATGACCCTCGTTGACTCATAGCATTCATGTCTGCAGTCTTGCGCGGACCTCGCATTTCGTCTGCTCTACGAAGCCCAGGTTTCTCGCGTCTAAGCCTTGACTCACAGAGCAAAACAAACACCCTGCTGCAGAGCTGCGGAGCTATCGAAGCACGGTCGACCTCAAGACCCAGAACCTTCTCTACCACAAGAATAATGTCCTCCTCAGCGCCTACAAAGGAATGGCTTGTCCAAATTCCTGATCATCCCAATGCCCTCGATAAGCGGCTCGCAGTACGGCCACAGCACCTCGATGGCTTGAAACCGAAGATTGATGCCGGGATCGTGGTCTTTGGCGGCGCAACCCTGTCCAAGCAACCAGCCGAGGGTGAAGGACCAGACATGACGGGTAGTGTCATGCTGATCAAAGCCAACACCGAAGCAGAAGTGCGGGAATTCTTGGAAAATGATCCCTACACAAAAGGAGGCGCTTGGAATCCAAAGGAAGCGAAGATCTGGCCTTTCAAATGTGCAGTCAGGTCGGCGCTCTAGCATGAAGGGAATGATCAAGAGGATCGGATGGAGGCATACACGGGGGCAAACTTAGGATGTGAAAGATTGCAGGTTGAACGAGGTGGAAAGATCATGGAGCCCGTGCCTCGACCGCTGACAAGGAATCTAAAACAAATCAATCTAGCAATGCTGGATCAAAGCGACGACGTGTTCGAAGCGTAACATTCTACTGTCCCCTGCACCACTTGTCTCGATTGGAATGTATGACGCGGATGGCATTCGGGCCGAGCTGTGTGACCTGGGAGCGGAAAGCAACAGAGCATTACAGATATTCAAACTCTTACCAGCTACGGCTTCACCGGGTACATCGCCATCCAAGCTGATTGACTTGAAAGAATATGATATGGACTTCTCCGAGCCGAGAGTGACTGGTGAGTGAGGTCCGGGAAATGCGTCTGTAGGTATTCGGGTGACCACCAACGTGACTCCCAATTCAAATTCCTGCAGGTTGCTGGGCTGAATTTCTTCACTTCAGTCTTTCCTCACTTCAACCTCGCCTGCGTTTACAGACGTGCACCAACAGTGGCCATGAACTGGCTCATTTTCGTGCCGGAGAATTTGAGAGTCCCGTCTTCCTTTACTTGCTCTTTCCCAGACGACCTTGCACACAAGTCATTTCTTCTGGTGCCTCTGCTGAAATTCATCAAGAGCTGACCTCCCACCACGAAGGTCGATCAGCAAAGACACACCGAAGACCACCAGCAAAATGATTTCCCTCACCTTTCTCGCGACTTTGGCTCTCCTGACCATTGTAGTCTTCTCCCAAGGAACCAATGACGGCGCCATCGCACCAATCACCGAGAACAACCCTTCGCGCGTTACTTTTCAAGGTGTCTTCCAGTCCGGCAAGCCCGTGCAGGGTCAAATCACCGGGGTGTCCAACGACAACGGCACTGGAGTCAGTTTCTCGGTCAATTTCTTCAGTTTCCCAGACGTTGGTCTTGGGCCGTTCAGTAAGTTTCATCTCGACGTCGTCCTTTGATCTCTTCACAAAAAGCTAACCTCAATACCAGATTACCATATCCACGAATACCCCATCCCTCCCTCAGGAAACTGCACCGCCGCAGGTGGACACCTCTCGCCATTCGGTCGCAGCGACACTCCACCATGCGATCCAGTAAATCCTCAGACCTGCCAACCAGGTGATCTGAGCGGCAAGCATGGCAACATCTCTCAACTCGCATACGCTGGTGCTCCTGATGGCTCCGAGAACAGCCCTCGGGCCACGAATACTTTCCAGGCTATGTACCTGGAATTATACCTGAGCACGGACCCCAACAACGCGGCTTTCTTTGGCAATCGATCAGTGGTAGTCCATGCTGCGAATGGCACAAGACTGAACTGCGCAAATTTCACGCAGATGATGCCGACAGAGACATTTGGAGGCACTGGAAGCGGGAATACGACAAGCAGTGGGAGCAGTACATCTACACAAAGTGCCGCGAGCAATGGCTCGGCCAGCGTTATGGCACCGGCTTCTGTGGCTTTGATGCTGCTTGTCGGTGCACTAGTCGGGGGACTGTGAGTAGGGTGACCAACAGGTTTGCGAGTCAGGTGTACGGTAATAACCGGCTTATGGTCATGTCAATCATGTTGCGAGAGGCCAGGGGTTCAGCGGGACTCTCCCCCACAAGAAAGTAATGCTATCCATGGGAATCCAAGTGTGGGAAGAGGCGAGCCAACTCAGCTCAGATGACCTCAACAACCCATGAAGATTCATCCTGTGGCATATGGATCAGATAACTTCATAAAACAGACCCTTGCCAAGGTCTTGTAATGGTCTCGGGAGCGTGTCCACATTCATATCTCGTATCTCATGTTGTTCGAATCCCGATTTCCCCGGCCAAACGACCAACTCAGGGCGTTTTCTTGCAAGCATCTCTCACATATGAGCCTCGAGCCCGATTTATAAACTCAAGTCAACCTCATCAAAAAGCCAGCCTGAATCAACCTCTCGACATCGCCCTTCCTCACAAAGAATTGGCTATTCTTGGTCAGATTGATGGCCCCATACTCGGTCTGTATCTCGCCGGCATCCCTGAGCACGCGCACGTCGATGAATAAATCCCTCGGCGGCTCCAGACTGCCCGTGAGATCAATGTCCGTCCACTGCGCTTTATATTGGCCGAGGAAATCCGTGTACGCGTGGAAATAGGACGCCTCCTCGGGAGATATAGAATTCTGCGTGCCCCCCACCAATGAAGATACGTCCCTCTCCTTCTCTTGACCTCTCTCGGCGTCCGGCCGCACGCCACCCGCATCCAACTCCCGCCCCTCCCAGACCATGGCTTCCAGCTTCTCGGCCCGCACGCGGTGATAGGCCAATAGACACCGCTTGTTGCGCCGCATGCTCAGGTGGTCGACGAGCAACGCGCACGCCGTGGCCGGGTGCTCCGCCGGAGTGAATGTGTTCTGGGACGAAGCCACGCCATCGTCGTCGTAGACTGTGGTGTTGAAGGGCGAGAGAAGCCGCGTGACGTCCCGGTCCAGGTCGCGCACTTCGAGCACGATGCTGCGGATCAGTTCGGTCTGGTAGGCCGGGAGGGTGGGGAGGGCGGTGGTGCGTTTGGCGTGTTGGACCTACGGTTGCGCCGCCAGAGGCCCGCGCGCGAGTCAGTCGTGCTTCGCATGTGTGCGTTGGGGGGAAGGGAGGGGGAGAAGAGGGCATTGATCATGATCGTGATCGATGCGTGGACGGGGCTGTCTTGGTTGCGGGACTCACGAGCTTGTTTCCTAGCTCGCCGTGCATTTGGGTTACATGTGGTTTTGAACTTGGTGTTGCTGAGGGTTGAAGGTGGTGGTACGAGGAAGTGCGAGATATAGGGCGATCGCTCGAACGAAACCAGAAGTGCAGTTCTGATATCCACGAATTGATGGGAAAAGTGAAGAGCCAGCACCTGCAGTAGACAGAACGCGGGGCGAGGAGCGTCGGAGGCAGAACGCGTCGAGACGTTCCGCCAATCAGACTTAAGGGTTTCGCGGCGCCTTTGAAGGGCAAAATGCCCCCTGACTTGGCCAGCCTTGCAACCACCCCTCTCACCCACCATCTCACCATGTCTCCGAGTTTTCCACTGGGTTACGTACCAAGGCGCCGTCCTCTATCGTATGTCAGTCCGGTACTGGGGCCTGAGAGGTGGATTCCGATGCTGCTTCCCCGGAAGGGCTGGACACAAGACGCGTTTGGTAACTCAATCGCCAGTGAAGTGACTAGATCTATGTGGGAGCTGCTCGCTGTCACCAACCAGCAATTGAAGCCGTCACATCGTTAAGCGACTGTAGCCAACTGGTGCTGCAGTAGGCACTGGCTCACCGGATGTAGGGGGAGATCTGGACGCGAAGAGCCAAGCGGATCCCAAAGGTTGCCTGGAAACTTGAATTCTTGACAATCGCCGTGAGTCATGCCTATCTCTTTGTCTATGCTGTGTGTCATTCCAGTGACTATCCCCCCGTCACAGTAACGGTAGGAGAAGGCGCCCAGCATGACTGCTGTTACCACTGTCCCATTGCTTCCCTCCTCTAACACGGTCACTGCATTAGTGCTCACGAGTACTTGAGGCTCTGCGTCCCTCCCGCTTTCTGGCTTTTCTCCTCCCAGCGGCTCCGCGACCACATTTGGCTGGCGCAATGAGGGCTCAACTAGCCGCAAGCGAGAGGATTTGTTCATGCAGCCACAATGGGTATATATTTATGGACGGCCGGTTGCTCACTTGCGGAGGTGTATGACATTCTATTATCTGTGAGCAACTGCTCGCAGATCTTCAAGGCTGGACTGTAAATTCCGACGGCGCTCAGTAAGAAGTCCAGATGCGCCTCGAGCTCAAATCAGATGCCATTTCGAGTGGGTCAGACCTTCTTGCTATCCACGTATATCATCGTCCGTGGGCTCTGATCGAACAGCGCGTTAAAGGCTTGGATTTCTGCTGTGCGCTGTCTACTCACTCCTTTGACCGTCTAAGTCGGATTGATAACATTATGGCGACAGCTCCTGAAACTCGCGTCGAGCGACACGCTCCCTCCAGTCACATCTGCCAGAAGTTCCATCATTGATCAATGTCCCTTCCACGACGGGTCAAAGAACCACGCATCGATGCCCAATACCCGGTCTCCTGGACCTTGGCTTCGGCCCCTCACCGCATCGACAACGCTATGACCGATCAGCTGCGCTTCCCAACGCCGATCTTCCGTCGGCTGCTCAGGTCTTGGCCCTTGCGCCATTACGGGCTGTCCGGGCCAGTGAAAGTTCATGGTCCGGTAAAGCGTGAGCGATTCTTGTACGATGTCTTCACCACCGCCGAAGCCGCCTGGTTCAAGGTCTTGAGGCTTGGAGTCCGAGGAGATCTACCGCGCACATCTGTCGTATTGCCTTATCCCTCGAGCAGATGGAAACCCTACTCGACATGGCGGACAGTCATCGACAAGCTCGGAAACTAGCTTGTCGGTATCATGGTTGATGAAGACTTTCATCAAATGACCCAGAACCTTTTGCCAGATCATGAGTATGAGAGTATCCGCAATCAACCTCGTCGCTTATCTGGGCGATTCAAATCAACTCGCATCGCGAATGCTGTTCTCAACCAGGGAATGTCGGTCTGCCCTTGAGCTATCTACGGAGGATTGCGAGCCGCTCTTCCACGTCATCAAGCGCCATTTTCACGACCTGACTTCTGCCTAACCGTCTTCAGGAGCTGCGATTCCCAGTCATTGTGCTGTTTGATCAGAGCCAGATAGGACCTGAGATCGCACGCATTGTCGGCCGTTTAGTGTACCGCGGAAAGGTGAAGAACGTCATTGCCCGGTCCGGGTTGCAATTTCGTGACCATGCCCGAGCATTCCGCAGATGGGTACCGACTCACTGGCACAAGGCATAACCGAGCAATGTCATTTGGACTGACACTGAGACGCTTGGCTAATACAGCGAAAGTACGTGAAATAAAAATCAACAATTATCAGGTCATCTTCGCAGCCAATCTCGAACCAAAAGCTATTCCGTTCGGGGGCACGGATTGCTTAATAACTTCACATGCACCACAAGCAAACCTTTTATTGTCCGCCCTGGCCTCCATGGAACTTGACCCTTACATGAGGACGGCGTGTCCGTATAGACTCTCTGTTGGCATCCTCGACGCTCTGAGTGGCAAATGCAAAGGGAGCAGTCTGGGAATGCTCTCTCTGCTCAAGTATGATTGTATACAGTCTAGAGAGTGCAACTACCAGCTATGAACAATACATAGGTGACTGCACCCGTCGCCCGGGCAACCTCATGTGGTAGGCAGGCACACCAGTGCCTCCTGCCACCACAGCAAAGAACACAACTACGTGGTCCCCGGCATAGTGGTGGACGACGCCGCGGAATTTCACTCGCCCAGGTCGCATCTGCGTCGGATCGATCCGTGGCCGAGACAGCCTTAGGGTCTTGCTCTTTTCACGTGCGGTGGACAGACTCGACGTCCGAACAGACGGTCACTTGAGAGATTTGGGTAAGCTTCTCACGTTGCAAGACAGCGTCAGGAGGGGCTACACCGTCACTCACACCTCTGGGGGAACAGCCAGGCAGCAACTCCAGGAGAGGGAGGTGGCGGCCACGATTCTGAGAGGCCAACAAACCATCGTGATACCGGCCATGGGAGCGCTGGAGTTGAGGCGCAGCCTTGATGAACAGGGTCATTGTCGGGAGGCCCTAGGCACAATCCACGTTCTGAGCGATACGATGGAAGGGCGAGACTGGCTAGTAGGACCAGACTCGATTAGACGGGGATTCGTAGACTAAGCGCTATCAGTAGAATGTGAAGTCGAAGCCGGAATAGCTAGACTAGCAAGGCAGAGACGGAGGCCAACCTGGGCAATACAGGTGTCAACAGGAACCTCTGGCACGGTTGGCGAAGTCCAACCAACCAGGGCCTACAACTCGAGGTGCTAGTTGATGCTTTCCACGTTGATCAAGTTCGGATCGCGGCCATGCAGGTTAGGTGTGTTGCCTTCGCAACGTGCAGGAAACATGCTGGCGCAATGGAATCGCCGATGTTCTTGCAAATGCTCCGGGCCACTGCATGGGTTGATTCACCCTGCAATCCAGCCGGCTGGACTACGAGTATGACTTCAAGCAGCCCGGCAGATAGCGAGGATCCAGATGCCAGGCTACTCGAGCTTGGCAGGCGTTATTGCATGCATCGATATCTAAAAATACACGCGACGTTGCCCCAGACAAGTGATCGTCCTCTTGTTGCCGGGTTTCTTTGCCACCCAGTTCTGATGCCGTTGTGTGGCTGCTCTTCCACTGCGAGGCGCTTCTCTGTCTTAGCGGGCGCTGCACGGTAGGAGCCTCCTTACAGCCGTGTGTTGCTTACCACGGATAGCATCTTTTCCGCATGGTTGAGCCTCTCAAGCTCACCTGAAGCTCTCCATCCTCATGGCAGAGAGCGTTGGCCGATCTGGTGATCTTTGCCACTGCGAGCAGCGGCTCTTCGGGGTTTGATATCGCACCGCCACACAGCCACGATTTGCAGCCACTCATGGCGTCGCTCTGATCAGTCCCTGCATCAAGTTCCTCGCAGCCATTCATCGACTTGCTCTGTACCTCGTACAGCGATCCCTGCATCAGGTTCCTCCGGATCTGCTTTCCAAGTTTTGCCACAGCAGGGCCTCTCGCTCGGCATTCCAGACCTTCCTCGAACATCCATCCACTTACGTCTTCAACGCTCCTGCGTCGGGTGTGCTGCTAGTCCCGTGTCTGCTGTGTATTCCCTGCCATGGTCAACCATTCGTATCAGAGGTGCAGTTCCAGATCTCCAGCGATCCTCAATGACTGGGTTGCTTGCCTGCTTTCTTCCCTGTCGACATGTGGTTAGCTGCGCCAGAACTTCCGCACCAGCCATGCCGGCCACGACGACCCTGAGATATGTGCATCTTTAGCGACTGACACCCGAGGTGAGCGATCTACACTGGCTGTCCAATATCTACCGTAGACGTTGGAGCTATGAGCGGTGATCTCTCTTCTCTCCTCTCGTGGAGGCTTGAAGCAACATTTCCTCCGTCCCTTCGTTGTATGCATATGCATTCTTTCCTTTGAAACACGCTGCATCAATGTCTTCAATATCCTGCATTTGACCGTACATTCATCATCCTTGATCAAGGAAGCAATCGGAGGCGAATCAATCACATCTATGATCGTCTAATCGAGTCAAAAGAGCGTATCACAGCTGCTACCCAGCAATATGAGAGCCTCTCGGGTGCTGTTGGTTGTGCCAGCCTTGGCTAACCTGGCAGCGACCCAAGAGAGCATTGATTTCTTGAGCATCATCGTTTCCGAGGCCAATTCAGTCTATACACAGGTCAACTCCATCCTGTCATCTGCGGCCTCCGCCGCTTCAGCAGCAGCAGCGTCTGCAACTGCGTCACCCACGGGAGACACTTCGACTACCGCCGATGCGACTTCCCTCAGTCCATCCGACTCTCTGACAGCAAGCGACGGCACGATCTCTTCGTCTTTCTCGCCGTCGGAATCGTCCAGTGCCACTTCAACATCAGATTCTTCAACGTCGTCACCCTCTTTACCCGTATTCGGATCGATCAACTCCTCTTCTACTACAGTGAGGACCACCTCCCATACCAGTACGCAGACCTCCTCAGCGGATCCTTCTTCCGAGACTACGCCCTCTTTGACGTTGTCGACGCCGATAGTGGGAACATCTTCAGGGTTTGGAGCCGCCGCGGAGACTGCCACGACCCTACCTTCTGCATCAAGATCCAGTCATGGCACCAACCTGGCGATCATCCTTGGATGTGTCCTTGGAGCTTTGGCACTCGGATTCTTCATCCTGGCCTTGGTGATCTGCTGCAAGCGCAGGAGACATGGTTCCTCGCCCCGCCACAGCGCCCTCTCCGCGGGCGACGATGAAGTGGAAGCCTGGAGACAGACTCAGCCCGCTGGGCTGATTCCAAGTCGTGGCGCTTCACGTCATGCCCGTGGCATCTCTGGCACAGCGCCCCTGATGGCCGAGCATCCGGCCTACCGCAATTCCGTGCCACAAGAGAACCCGTTCGCTCCTGTTCCCCCTCCACCAAGGCGGACGGCACCAAATTCCCGACCTGGCTTGACAGACGGCATGGTTCCCGGTGACGATCCGTTCGTCAACCCAATTGCTAGACCTCCAAGCATTCGCAGTCAATCGTCCACAAGCAGTTCTCAGCCCAAAGGCGGTATTGCAGCGGGTATTGCGGCGGCTGCAGCTGGAGGAGCGCTCATGCACGAACAGGACAAGCATGAAGATGATGGAGCGATCTTGACAAATGACAGACCCGTGCCCGAACCTGCTGTCGGTCGGCGGGTTAGTCGTAAGCCCGTGCCTGTCAGTCAGGTCAACAACAGAGATTGGCCGTACTCTCCCGTCTCGCCCATCGATCCCGCCGCTGAGATGGCTGCACTGACGACCCAGAGTCCAGCGAGAAACAGTGACGAGAGCCATCGGAGCTTCGGTCGCGACGCAGCTAGAGCCAACGCAGCGTTTGACCAGCAATATGCACCACCAAACGATGACAACCATAGCCATAGTGGCGGCCACGGCCTCGAAGCAGTTGTGGCTCCGCTCGCTACTGGAGCCGCAGGGGGTGCAGCCCTGGCACATCATTCCGCCGATCAAGAACGTCGCCGCTCACGAAGCAGCAGCAGCAGCAACAGCAATGACCACAATCGACGCTCCCGACCCCCACTGGCTGTTTTAGGCGACGACTCCGATCATTCGAGCTCAAGCAGGAACTCTAGGGAAAGCAGAAACAGCCGTGGCGGCAGTTACAATGATGCATTTGCCTCCCAGGCGCAGGAGACTACGATCCCAGCGCACACCGACCTTTACGGCGTGCCCTTTGCACCGGGCTCCCGCTCGCGAAGGAATAGCGGTCACAACTCGGCTGTCCCTGGCGCGGCAGCATTCAACTACGCAAATCGCCCGACCATTCCATCTCCACTATCCAGCGAAGTCCGTCCAGACACGAGTGCAGGCTACTCGCCTACTCGAAGCAGAGCACGTCGCAGCACCAGCGGCGGATCACGATACTCGTTCCCCTACGAACCCATGGGTCACGACTATGGCGCCTATCCCGTCTTCTCTGCACCACACGCGGGGACTAGCGACTCTTTTCCTTCTCTTTCATCACTCCCGCAACAGCCACATCCTACCGCCAACCCCAACCCGGACAGAGCCATCGTTGGTGACAATGGGTATCCCCACATGAACGTCCCGCGCCGCAAGAGTGGTGGCGAGTACGATATCTCCGGAGGATCGCTAGGTGCACAAACACTCCCACCTTCGACGGGCCCTCAAGACGAAGGACCATTCGGTGTCGGCACGTCGCGTACTGCCACGATGAAAGGCTGGGGCGGCGATGACTCAACCTGGCGCATAAGTGACGGTATGCCTAGCGGGTGGCAGCGCGCCAGTATCGACAGTCCGCGCAATAGTCGAGACCTGGGAATCCGTGACTCGGGAGTGGGCATGAACGCTGGGAAGAGACGGTTGAGGGCGAGTGATCTGGCTGGCAGGGACGACGGGCCATACCATGGGCTTGGACGGGCTCTCTAGGGAGGAGGAGCAAACAGACGAAGCAATTCATTGACGAGTGACGCGAATTTCAGCTTAGGTCGCCCTCGCATCTGCATTTGTTTTTGTTTTTGTGTTTGTTCTGTTTCCGTTCCGCCACGGCGAACGAGAGCGCATGTCTCACGACCGCTAGAGTTATCCAATCTCTGGATACATGATGATATCCCCATGCATGCATGTTGTTTAGGTTTTCACGGTCAGGCAGGCAAGCTACGGCTTCGGTTCGGGAATAATTTATGATGAATGGGACGGCTGTATATAGGTATCTAGGTACTGTATGGACGTAAATACCAAGTCATCGAGTACGAGTGAGTGAGTGAGTACGACTTCTCCCCAGTTTTAATCAAGTTCAAGTCCACTCGGACGATTCACCGACTATATACGAGCAGGTAATCTATCCACCTTGTTGGTGTTGTTACAATGCGCTGCTCCAAGCATGGCGCAGGTGCGGATGTGAATGTGTGCGTGTGCGTGTGTATTGTGTATTGTGTATTCTGTTCTCTCTACTCTGTACTCTTTACTCTGTACTCTGTACTCTGTACTCTCTACTCTGTACTCTGTACTCTCTACTCTATACGAGTGGGCTGCCCTCGCGTCGAGTCAATCGCATGGCGGCATACAGTAAGTACATAGTACATAGTACATAGTACATAGTACATAAGTATCTTACCGCGTATGGAGTACTCCGTACTCACTACCTACCTAGTTACTGGTCGAGAGTACGAGTAAGTGATCTATCTGGGCGGGTGGGCAAAGCCCCGCAACGCAGTAAGCTACAGCTACTTACTGTGTAGTGTGTGCTGTGTACTGTGTACTGTGTGCTGTGTACTGTGTACTGTGTACTGTGTACTGTGTGCTGTGTACTGTGTACTGTGTGCTGTGTACTGTGTACTGTGTGCTGTGTAGTCACATAGTACATATACTTGGTTCTTCTGATCTGATCGCTTGGAAAGCCTCGCCACGCAGTAAGCTACATACTGTGTACTGTGTACTGTGTACTTGGCTCTTCTGATCTGGCTGCTGTGCGCCGCTCTGTTCTACTCTGGTTGAATCCTTGTCCTCACAAGACCACTCAACGCTTGGAATACTCAACCCATAGATGAAAGAACAGAAAAGAAAAAGCTACCGGTAGTTGCTGGTCGGAACGTCTAAAGTCATGAGACCAGGATCCAATACAAATGCATATGCAAATGCAGTATTCCAGTAACTAATATTCCCCGAGGGTATCGAACTGTCCTCGCCTTTCCTGGTTCCATGCCCCAGTGAATGCATGTATGTATGCACCTGTACATGCGGCGGAGAAATCAATGGTGCCGCCCCTCCGTACCATGATTGAAACAGTATTATCATAGCTTTCCGTAGCCGTATCGGTAGCCTGTATTCCGTACTCTGTATGGGATATGCATTTGGAAATCCAGCCTCCCCAGCCTCGTGCGCCTGGTCACCCTTCATAATGGTCGCTTCCACATCCTGAACGTCATTTGTTCGAATCCCAACGCCCTAATTTAATAACCTGACCATGTCCGAGGGGATTCTACCCGTGGGTGAGACTGTATCGTTGTTGCGCCATTCCTCTCCCGCAGATGTCGAAGGAGGCGTCTCTGGCGCGGGACTTGCTTCCACGCTCGAGAACTCGGATAAGGGAGCTGGGGGCGCTTCGTTGGCATCCCGCCGTGGAGACAGTGGCTCTGGTTGAGACGGCTTGAAGCCGGCCTTGTTGACCTCAACAACAGGCTTCGTGACTCTGCCAGTAATGACTGCTTGTTTTGCGAGCTTGCCAGAAGCCCTAATCTTCGTAACCTTGGGTTTCTTGTTGAGCGAGGTCTTGGATCTCGCCGTTTTGGTCTTGTTTTCTTGTCCATTGAGAAGATCCAAAAGTGACTTCCCCCTGCTCGCTGCATTTTTCACGGTCGCTTGTTTTGCAGAAGCCTCTTTGCTCCGCGCTGTCACGTTCAATTTGATGCGAATCGGCGAGGGTGTGGTGGATGTCGGTTTCTTTCCTGTCTTTGAGAGCCCGTCCCCGTTCTGGCTTCGCGGAGGTGTCATTGTATTGATCTCCACAGATGGCAGCAGTCGCGAGGCCGTAGTTTCGCCCTTCTTGGGAGTCGGAGGTACCACAACCTCGATCTCGCCCTGACTCGATCTGACTCTATCAAGATCGGCCTCGGTGTAGTTTTCAGCCATGTCGGTGCTAGGATCATCCCATTCCCTCAGTCGAGCCAGTCGAGCCACTTCGTCACTGTCACCACTGACGATTAGATCCCAACAGTCCTCGAGATCTTTCCCTGGCGGTACTGGCTCATGGTTAATCCAGACAGTGGTGCCTTCCCGTCTGTCTTTGACAATCTGACACATCTCACGAACTATGCGCCGAACCGCGGGAATCTTCATACTGGTTCCTACCACAATCACACAGTCGGGTCGTGTTCGGAAATCTGCCGTGGTGACGGCGCCAATGGCCTCGTCATCAGGATTATGCTCGTTGTAGAGAACGATGCGAGGTCGTAACTTGCCAACCCCGTGACTTCGCTTGCCGGCATGTGTCGTTCTTAGCGCATCGGCGGCAACACACTGTGGGCACAGCGGCGGAGAGGCCCCATCGAACAAATGCGCCTGAAAGTCGGAAATGTGTCGGCATTTCTGGCACATCATTTTCTCGAGTCCGCCGTGGAGCTGGATCGTCTTGGGCCATGGCGCTTTGTGGCTGAGAGGCACTTGAGTGGCCAAGGGCGGTAAGGACGACTCAAGGCCGTCCACATTCTGGGTATACAGGCGCAGGAGGCGTCCTTCAACCGCCAGTCTGGCAAGAAAGCGATGGAAAAGGGTCGGCTTGGCGTTGTCAGCCATCTTGGAAAGCTTGCGGACCATTTTGTGGAATTCTGCTGTTGAGTGATCGTCCTTGTAGACGGAGGCGTCGAAGAGCATCTTGCCGGAGCTCTTCAATTTGTGTTCACCTCTCAAGCTCTTGAACAGGCCATGAGAGGACCTGAAGTCGGGGATACCAGCTGAAACCGAAATGCCAGCCCCTGCCACGACCACGATCTTTCTCCTGTTTCGCACGGCTTTGAGAAGGGTATCGAGAGCTTCTCTGCGATCGTACTCGGACTGCGCCGTGTCTGACGTCAGGTCTAAATACTGGGTTGTGCGAATCTTTGGCTCAATCTTCCGGCGCTTTCGCGGGCGAGGCATTTCGTCGCCGGCATGCTGCGAGGGAGGTGGAGTGACGACTTGAAAACCCGGAGGGAGAGTGGGCGAAGCTGGAGGCGAGCTGAGAGGAGAGCTGGGAATTGAGCTCAAGGGCGACGAAAGCTCAGAAATTTGGTCGAACTCCATCGTGGTTGGGAGTTGAATAACCGGTGAGGTGGAGAGGACGAGTGAGTTATCGCATGACGGGGAGGAGCAACCCATTCAGCGAGGACGTGTTGACTCGAGTCTGAACTTTGTGTACATGACAATGAATTGCGCTTCAGCCCTGTCACCTGAGCCTCACGCAAAGAATCTCAGGTGAGAAATCAGAGAGGTGGTCGCAGGGGATCGTGTGTTGTGAGGATGAGGTGAGGCGCAGTTGAGGAGTCGATGATGAGGCTGGCCGAGGAGACTACGGAGTACGAGTACATGGCACGAAACCGGACAGGGAAGTGGGCAGGTGAATCAGGCGGGAGGGACGGCGGTCGTCCAAGCAGAAGCGTCAGCGGCGGGCGGCTGTTTGCAGCCCTGGCCTGAAGATGCCCGATCGAAAGCAGAAGCGCGGACGCATGGCATGCTGCAAAACACGCACAGCGGCACAGCGGGAAGGACGCTGGGGACACGGGCTAGCGATTGGCTGCCGTGCCTTGGGCGGCCACGATTACGGGGAACGAGCATGGACGGTGTCATTCCAGTGCCTGGCAGACTTCTGCGGCCCCCAACCAGCACGACAGGATTGTGGAACTGTACATACAGCATAAGTTGCACGACTGGCGGCCACAATTACAAGTCACGCAGCTGATCAAAGTTCCATCTCTAGCTTGCACTTCACTGACTTCATCACGATGCAGGCGAACAACTATGGTGTTGCTGCTCCGGTGAATCATTGATAGGCGGCCGCAAAATTAACTAACTGGCCGCACAACAACAGGATTCCCGTTGCGGTTTCCCCAGCTACCGCCCGAAGTGGCCGCGGCGACCCCTGTGGCTTGTGCGGCGTCAGGCAGCGGGGCGTGCCCGCATGCTGCTTTTAGCTCCCTCGCTCGCTCGTGCATCGTACTCGTCGTCGCTGTTTCAGCCTTTCGGTTGTGCAGGGGCTTCTGTTCATTGTGGTGGTAGTGACGAAGAATCTTCCGGTCAACAGTTTGTTACAGCGTCAACCTTTGTTCTCAAAGTCGCACCGTTGTTCTGCTGCAATTCCTGTATTTCGCTCCTCGTCACGCCAGACCTGATCAAAAGCTTGGGCCCAGTTAGGCATCTTGACAGACCCTGAAGTATCCTTTCACCTACGTATCGAGCACGACGGCCACAAGGGAATAGCTGACTGGGTGGCGATGGAAGACCTCAGCGCGTTCAGCTCATAGTACGAGTACGTGTCCAGGGATATCTCGATCAACGACCTGAGCCGGATGGATCAAGATCCGCCCGACGACTTCGCGTCCGATTCCTTCTTCGACCAGAACTCGCTCCAACAACAAATTCAGCAGATTGATGCTGGCGCTGATTTGAACGACGCCGACCTCAATGGTACTGTCCCAAGTGTCGCCCTTCCTCCGAACCCAGCTGTCGTCGAACAACTTGCCCGCAAATGGTACAGTGGATGTGTGGAACGGATCGCGTGGTCAAGACATGGCCACCTCGCCAGTATCTCCGAGGATGGATCGACCGTCTATCTCGAGTGTCTGCGGTACGACCACGGGTCCAACTCTTGGGATCTCCACGAGAGACACTCCTTGACAACTGTTTTCGAAGAAGCAATTAGCCTCGCCTGGAGCGCGACTGGAGGTGAGCTGGCCGTGGTGGATATCAAGGGCCGAGTTTGGATTTATCACGTGGCTCTGACGGCCATCAACCGTCTCAATCTCGCTCGCCAGGGCGCTCTCGATGAAGGCGACGACGATTCGCAGCCGATCGGCTTGACTTGGCTGAACCAGGACAGGCAGGAAAGACCAAGAAATGTGGTCACCCACGCCTCAAAGGGCGAGACCCGGTGGGAACACGCGAATACTAGAGCCAAACCACTTGGGACGTACTGGCCTAGAGCCGCCCTGATCGTCCACCGGAACGGCCTGACTACACTCTGCTTTCAGCGGCGTGACGGGCAATACTTGAAGATCACCAAACAGCTGACGCCGCAAGACCGAGTCCTATACACTCACGCCAGCTTTGCTCCTACAATAGACGGGAAGATGCTAATTGCTGTACACTCCTACGAAAAGGTCATATCAGCCTTTTTTCTCGCTATCGACTGGACAGAAGTCAACCAAGGTCTCGAGGGACTTCCTGTGATGACGATCGACCCAGTCTCCAGCAAAGTGTCGTCTCATCCATCTGGTTCGGCTGCTGTGCCTGATACCTTCGACCCCGGTTCTTGGTTACTGAGTCATCTGAAGGTGGTGCAGACTTCAGACGTGGAGAAAGCAGTGCAGACGCCTCCAACCATCCTTGCGGTGCTCACGGGGGTCAACAGGACTGTCAGCATTCCCGACGCCGGCTTTCTAGTCTCCAGTCTCATCAAGAGGTGGGCGGTGAACTCAGTTGAAACGAAATTACACCCTCTTTTCGATGCCCTTCCTTCTACAGGCGCCGCTGCGGCAGTAACGAAACCAGTGCATATTCTGCAGGAACAACCGGACAAGGAAGAGCAGGTCATTACGACGGTGCATCGCATAGATGGCGTTCAGACGCTTGCGATCACTACACAGGAGAACCGGACGGACTTTCTCAACCTAGAAGATCTGTCGCCAATGTCCTACGCCGCCTCAGTGCAAGAAACATCGTGTATGTCACAATCCGGATTTACCTTCCCCTATACGCAAACTATCCTTGATCCAGGTTTCTCCCCCGGTGCTTGCGTGAGAGCAGACCTCGCAGCGAATGGCAAGACCCAGCTTGTCGTCATGGAATATCACCTAGAACAGCGGCAAACACAACAACCACTAGATCCGCACGTTGATGCTGCCATCGCAGCCCTCAACCTCACTTTCGCGCGAGCCTGCTGGTCTAATGCCACGATTGACGATATCCTCATGTGTGCCTCGCGCACCATTCCTCCAGCCTTGATCCCTACCGTGATTTCGAGCGTCTACCGCACTCTCTTCCGCGACGGCGAATTCGTGCATGAAAAGACGCCGGGCTCGGAGCTCGAACGGATGTTCCACAAACAGGTCATGGCTAAGGTCTTCTCTTACCATGCGGGCCTGGCATCGACCTGTTCGCAGCTTGTGTCCGTGGCCTCTACGGACGCGAGAACAGGCGGGTGGACCTTGAGCGCCCAGTGGGCGTGGATAGTCAACAACGTGCGACAAACGACCACGTTGCTGTTCATGAACCTCAGAGACATACAGAATGTGACCATCGTCGTCGGCCAGGATTTCACCGACATGTTGTGCGCGAACCTGAGATGGGGTCTGTCACTTATCAGGTTCATCTTCAACGCTATCCTGGAAGTGGGTGACCGAGAGAGTAATCCGGACATGTTCGACGACAAGGCCCGCGGACGGTTGGGCGACACGCACGGTGATGGAAGTCAGGGCCTCGTTGCACTACTGTTAAATTGCCACGCCTCGCGGGTCTTCCTGATCGCCTTTGTGAGAGCAGTCAGGACGTATGCCAAGATCACGGAGCCAAAGTCACAACATCAGTTGCAGGTATTGCAGTGCATTCAACAGCAGACGAATGGCAAAGGCTTGTCCTTTGGAGCCATTGAGGCGCTTCTTGAATACAGGTGGTCGGCGGCCGGTGACGTGGAGGGCAATATTGCAGCCACAGCCGTTCGACAACTGGATATGATGGCTACAGGCATCGTCCATGAGGCGTATCAACCGACGATAAAGACGCTGCTCAGCAAGCTGGTCAACAGTCCGTCGGGTTTGCGAGCCAAGATGTTGGTAGATCGACTCAAACTCTTTGTTGACCACGTTGACCTGGAATACATCTTCTTGAACCAGGGTATCCTTGGTCATCGGCGTGATGGCCGGTCTACAGAAGTGATCTATGATGTTCTTCGAAAGCGACCGATCACCAAGGGCACGGCAGAGCCTCACGGCGCAGGTCAACCTATGGTCAGGAAATGCACCAGGTGTGGCAGTTTCAGCGAGGACGTCGTTGTGCCGCCTAAAGAATGGCCAAGGCAGATTGCTCTCTCGTTGGCGAGATGTGTCTGTGACGGAAACTGGGTACTTGAACCTTGGGAGCAAGTTTGTAAGTGATGGGCGAGGCATGCGGAAATGAGTAGCTCTTAAATGGGGTGTAGTGGGGACCCAACACCCAGGGATGCAATATGTGATATCGCGAAAGGTTCCGCTCAAAGTAGTTGAACTGTTCTTGATTCTTTGTTGTTCGCAAGGCGCCCAAGGACATCCGCCTTGAGCGGCGCGACCTGCCATGCTCATCTCATACGTATGCGAAGGGCATCAGAAGCCAGGGTATTTCCCAGTGTCGATGTCAATTTTTCCACTCGGGTACCCTCGAAAGGTCATGAAGATCCCATTGCCTCATGCATAATCCACACTCCGCAAAGCATCTCTCACGGCCCACGCACGTTCCCCAGACAATCTCGCTACTTGACCATCCTACTCCGCCTTAACAGCATACTTCCTAGCCGGGAAATGTGTTTGCTTCTTCTTCTGCTTCTCGGTCACTCTAGCAGCATCCTTCTTAGACAGTCGACGGCGGATCGCGCGGGTCAACTTGGGACGTAGATCGAGAGGGAGATACTTTTTCTTAGCGTAGAAAAGACGAAGTTGGTGTCGTTGGTTGGCGTTGATGACGGTCAGAGTGCGGGCAACGGATTTGCGGAGGTCGTGTCTACAATGACCACTTTCGTTAGATCCTTTTCTCAAAATGCCGTCCTATGCCCCAATGTGCAAGCGGGTTTTTGATGAAAGCGCTGGTTGTTCGAACGTACATTCTTGTCAATTTCGACGAGGCACCACCTGCGATCTTCTGCACGCGCAACTGACCCAATTCCGTCTTGAGCTCGTCGAGTTGTTTCTTCAGGTCATCTTTGCTCTTGCCCCAGAGTTGGCCTGGTTTCACACGGGCGCTGTTCGACGACTGGAAACAAGGGTCGTTAGCGATCCAAAATCCTCGTTTTGACGTGGTCCGAGGCAATCATGGCTTGGACGAGGTGATGTGGGAGAAAGGCGCATACCATCTTCGCTGCTGGGTGATGTTGTCGATGTCAAAAACCGTGTGGGAAATGAGGCTGAACGTCGTTGTCAATGTTGCATGGCGAACCTGCGGTTCTCAGAAATTGTTTGTGGAAGTGCCAAGACTTACGCATGTGTGATTGGCTGCGGACCACTCCGTCTTGGCATGGTTCGGCGCCTTTCTCAGCCTCGTTCCGGCAGGGTTAGGACACCTTGGACGTCCAAACCGCAACCAACGTCTGGATTGAAACCACAGATCAATGTTGGCCGGATCAGACGATGGGACTGAAGGTCTTTGACGTCGCTTGCACATGCACATGTACATGTGTAATTTGAGAAAATAGTTATCCTTCCCGTGACCGACCACCGCCGCCATGACATCCAGCACAGGATGGGCCCAGTTGCGCCAGCAGATTAGGACGCTTGAGAGTCAGGTACATTGCCCGCATCTCCTCGAATACAGCTTCCGGGAGCTGACAAATGCAAGACCGAAACGCTATTCCACACCTACTCACAATACGCCTCAAGCTCGAAACTCCCGCCCAAACCGTCTGATGAAGAACAGAGGAACGAAGCAGAGATCCAAGAATTGCTGGACAAGGTTAGACAATCCAAAAGCTCTGCTCTTGCGCGTTCAACGTCCTGTGTTAACAACTCTGCATCTCCAGCGCGAAGGACTAGTGTCCCAACTTTCTCGCCTCCTGGACTCTGAGTCCGCCCTTAGTACATCCTCCCTCAAGCAGAACAACCTCTCCCGGCATCGGGAAGTCCTGAGCGAGCACCGCCAGGAACTCCGCCGGTTGAAAGCCTCCATCTCTGAAGCCCGCGATCGTCAGCACCTCCTTGCAAATGTCCGTTCCGATATCGACGCCTTCCGCACGAACAACCCCGCCGAGGCCGAGGCCGAGTATATGCTTCAAGAACGCATGCGGCTGGACCAAAGTCACAGTGTCATTGACGGGGTGCTGTCACAAGCGTATGCCATCAATGAGAATTTCGGCATTCAAAGAGAGACGTTGTCGAGTATCAACCGGCGGATCACGGGCGCTGCGGCGCAAATACCCGGCGTGAATGGCTTGATTCAGCGGATCGGGTCGAAAAGGCGGAGGGATGGCCTCATCCTGGGGAGTTTCATTGCATTCTGCTTCCTGATGTTGCTTTACTTCAGCTGATGGTGTGGGATTGGCCAGAACAGCAGCTCCACAAACTAGTAATGGTCGCTGGACCTGCACCGCCTGTCTAGGTCGGGGGCTCTCTGAGCGTTTGGAAAATACTGTCCTCGCAGTACAATTCGGTACAGTCTGCGGTACGTTGTCGTGCCGGCGAGCAGCCAATGATAATGCGGAACACGATCAACCCGCGTCGACCGACGGGCATGTCAAAAAACGACGTTGAGCAGCTCGGAACCGGACACAGGGGGATGACGGCGAATGCGTCGCTGATGCATCATTGTCTCTTTTCCTAACGGCGACCTTGATCCTTACGACATACGGACTCACCTCTGCGCACGGAACACTATCCCACATGAGCGGCTAGCCGTCTGGTGCAGCTCGCTGCATGAAGAACCGGCGGAGATGTTAATCCTATCACGGCCCCTGATGTCGCCAGATCCACAAGAGGGATCATTCAGGCACATGTCAACGCCTCTCCGTGCTGACATGGCAATCTGTATATTACCTGAGCTCTCACGCAATTTCTCCGTCCTGACTTTTGAGAGCATGGGTGCCACAAGAATACTCTTCAGGACTTCGGGGGTCAGCAAGGCCAGTCAGCACGTCTGCAGGGCTATGGCTATATGCAAGGCTGACGGACGTCTGGTAAAACGGTTTGCCGGTCTGTATCCTCGCCACCGAGCCAATAGAGTGATATCTACGACGTCGAGCAAACTCCTAACTGTACAGTGGTCCTGTCATCCCAGCTATCATATGCATAGCCCTCAATTCTCTGGACACACGGCACTTTCCAGGGTCCTCAAGCTCTCCTTGAGAAACGCCTGGCGATAGCCAAAAAGTCTCCATCATCAGTATGAGAGCTGAGACATGTGCTCGTATGATGAAGAAGGATTTTGGACTCCCAATTGGATCTCGGGATAGTGGGACAGCAAGCGAGAGCCGTCTCGGTTCCGCCGAGGTCACGTTATTTTACAGCCGAGAATTTCATTCATGTCCTTGGCGTTTTCAGCCTTGGCCTTTTTATAGCCCTGATCTGTCACTTGCGCAACGGATAAGACAGCCCGTATGAATGTCCGCTATGAACTCCGAGCCCCGTACGAGCTACCCGTACTCGACCCGACTCTTTCTTGAACTCCCCTTCGCCGATACTCTCGCCGACTCTCTTAACTGCTGCACCGAGTGTGGGTAGCTTTCTGAATACAGACGTCAGTGGACAGGCACTCCCTGCATTGATCTGGTACCGCTGGAGTTTGCCCCTGCGCTGACAATTTTCCTGCTCTTATCCAATTGTCTACGCGTCATTTTTAATCCGTCCCCAGTTTTTGAGGACGTCCTCTTTGCACTGTCCTGCATCGTAACCACCCTAATCCCATTCGCCGTCGTTCAATCCTCTATGGGGGTTACGGACCTGGGCGGGACTAGGCGGTCATCTCACCGGTTCTCGTCTTACAGGTTTGGCTTTCCTAGGTATGTACTTTGGTATGTCTGGCTCGCTTATCACGCACTGGGTGGAACGTCAGATCCAACGCTTTTAGAACCAAACCACTCACTCTCTTTCACTTCAACGTCACGGCCATGACTCGGTTCCCACGTGCTCGCACTTGAGCCCAGTCCCTACGGTCTACTGGTACGCTTGCCGACAAGAGCACCAATGCTGCTTCATTACTGAGTATGTGGTTATGCATGCGTGGCAGACTCGCCGTCCTGGGCTTAGTTGTCGTCGTCCTTCGTGTGCATGTTCGTTCGTGTCTCGCGCCGGCTTGCCCTGGCGGCCACTCCCCGGACGAATCACACGGCGGGTGTGGAAGCCGAAGTGTGGGCAGATGTTCCTCGTCCTCATGCTTCAGCTACAATGGGAACAGTACACAGTATATGGTGCGTGGGCGCAAAGTCAGACCCGTATCGATGATTACGTGCTCGCTTGGGACATACCACCTCGTGTACTTTCGTGGCGCAAAGGGACGACCTTCTCGAGTGACGCTCACCCAAAACAACCATCACCACCACCACCACCACCGTCAATCCTCTGTATTGGCAGACGTCAGTTCGACCCAGACACAAGCACACGGGGCTAAACATTCCGGCTGAATGGGCCCTCTCGACCCAGGCGGCGAAAGGCGACGACGCGACAGCACGAGATAAGTGTACGAATTATGATGCTGATGTTGGAATCTTGAGCAACACAAGCTTTATTAAGTGCCTGCCCCCCCGTGCCTCCTTGGTGTGACTGTGCGGGAATGATGAGCCTTTAGGTTCGCGTTTCCCCTCTCGGTCCTCCCACCGTTACAGTGCTGTGACTCGTACGTCGTGCGCTGCGCAAAAATCCCGCTGTGCCGGTTCCCGCCCGGGACAATGCAAAGTCCTGCATACGAGGTATCGCATATTGCATGTTCAATCGGGCCCGCCACCCGGGACCCTACCCTACCTACCGTACTGTACAGCACGACACGCACGGCAATCTGCTTCTGTACCAACGAATCAACCGACCGGGGTGGCCGGCTTGCCGTGTAATCGATCCCCTCGTAGTTTAGTCCACAGTAGGTTTATGGAGGTGCCGGCTACTGTACTTCGTACATGGGAAATGCTACTGTGTACTGTGTGTACTCGTACGCTGCCCTGCCCTACCCTGCGCTGCGCTGCGTCATGATGGATGGAGCCGGCAGCCGTTTTCCAGAAAAAGACGTCAAAGGCGCCGGGGGGAAAAAATGAGTCTCTGCGCCGGCCCAAAAGAAGCATCGAACGAGTCAAGGGAGGGGCGAAAAAAAAGGGTCGCTGCAAGCCCTCGTTTTGGATCTTCCTTCATGCGAAAGTAAACTACCTGGTAACTTAGTAACCGGCGAGGATTCACTTTGAGCAGATGCCGACAAAGTGTGTGAAATGCTGAGGCTCTTGGGTCCCGAGCATTGGCATGGTGTGTGTTTAAAAATTTCGGCTTCTGAATGAAACGAACGTCCGCTCTCTCTCTCTCACTCTTCCCTCTCTCACACTTCATTTCCTTGCGATCAAAATTGACGCGGGATTCTTGCGTTGCCGCCTTTCAATACCCCAGGCTTGTCGTTCTTGTATCAAGTCCGTGACTTGTGGTATATACACACACCCACACCCACGTACACGCACGCAATACGCCTCCTTCTTACCCTCGTCATAATCTCTTATCTAATTGGTGCACGAGGCGGGCCCTTCTTCTTTGTTTTCGCCTGTGTTACTATATCAGCTGGGGTCCTGACGTTTGACATCATCAAACTTCCAAGACTCAGAAATTTGTGTCCGCGGTGCTGCGCATGAACAAAGGACCATCGATTTTCTTTCTTCGTCGCAGCGAGTGTCCGGAACCAGCAATCGGGAACAAAGGAGCCGAGAACCTTCCGGTCACAATTGCAGGCCAAGCGCAGAACAGAAAGAAAACACTTGCCCCTGCCCCGGGAACACTACATTTGGTGCAAACAAACGTGAGCGTCGGCGCGCGAATCTAATCGCTCCTCCGCTGCGCGCGCTGATGGGATATGAATATGAGTGATCCCACGACTTCAGCAGAAGAACCAGAATCAGCACGGTCATCAGCCGCAGACCCAGAAGCCAGTCCGCTCCGGTAGCGCGCGAGAAAGCCGCACGAGCACGACCAGAAGTGTCTAAGAGACATTCTGAAATCATCTTCAACAGATCACCCGATCTCTTCAGCAAAGCACCTTAGCCCGATACCGGTCAGCCAACGGGACATTTCCACCCCGACATGTGCATCTATTATACCTATCACTTCAGCTGCTGTCCTGGCACAGCACGACCCGCACCATACTATGTCCATTCGATATGCTCCGAATCGTCAGCGCCGAAAAAAATGCCACTCTTATCCGACGCCAGCGGCCACGCCAAAGTGCAGGTCATGGACTTGAAGAAATGCAGAATTCAGCACGAGATTCTTGATGGCGCAGAGGCGGACATGCCGTGTCCGAAGTGTGGGTAAGTCGACTTTGCTCGGTCGGAGGAGGTCAGTGTGGCAGATCTGCTGACTTCGTGGTCGTACAGGACGAGACCGGAGCCCGAGGAGAATTGTGAACATTGATCTCTGTGCTTTTATGAGTGACGAAATGGCCGGATGCATTGAAAGGCGTATTGGGCATTGGGTATTCTGGTATTTCTAGGACATTGAAGTCCGTGGAACGGACTGGGCTCTGTGGAGATCCGAGTTATGCGACGACAGCGTTGGGCATTGCATGGGGCTTCCCGGTCGAGGTTTTTGGCGGCACTCGTGGTCTTTGAACGGTACTCGCCGAAGATGGTAGCGGCTTCGATGACGCCTGTCCCAGGGTTTCTTCCTCTTGAAGTAGTCTCTGAACTGCAGCGTTCAATCCGTCCACTTCTCCGTCCCACGCATAGGCACTCCCCGCCCAGCGGATCTTACAGCTGGAATCGACGAGGTAGACGTATCCGACCTGGGTGTTGAGGAAGCCCATGGCATCGCGTACCTCGTCTGACAAGCCGCGTCGGATGTCGCGTGGTAATTTGATCTTGAAATACCTGCTCCACTGCTCCTCGGGTATATTTTGTCGGATTCGGCCACTGAACGTCCTCACGATTAGAGCGCGCATCCAATCGCCTGAAACGTTGATATCCACCCGCTGCAAGCGCGCCCTATTCTGGTCTAATAGTCTGCTCAGCTCTGGATTACTTTTTTCCCCAATGAACGAGTTGACCATCTCCTCAGCCCATGAATTCGAATGTATGCCAATGAGAGATACCCTCCCCAGCAAGAGTGGTGTCGTGTCTCGCCCACCATCTGGTCCATCCCCTTCTTTAGCCAGCGTCTGGCCCCATATATTCGGAAAGTAAAGCGCTTTCTCTCGTTTGAACAACCGTGGACTTGATACGAAACTCTTTCCCTTGTGATGGTCCATCCCCCTCCATTCCTGAAAATAGGGGCGGAAGAAAGTGCGCAGGTAGACACGTCGTCGCTCCAGCGCTTTGTCGTAGCTTGTAAACTCTTCGTGCCTCTCGCGGAGTGTGCGGGTGTCCAGAGGACTGTTCTGCCCGGGTCGAGGAGGGTGTTCAACACCTAGTGGACGTGCTAGCACTGACGGAGTGAACTTCTCGCCTCTCACCCCTCGAGGAATGGGTATTCGGGAGATGGCGGACACGCTTTCGGGGTTGCGGTCGAGGCCGACATGAAGGGGGATCTTTGGTCGGGTGATAGCCTCGGCTCCTTGCTTTGGCGGAAGTGTCGTTTTGTTCTGGTTCGAGGTGGAGGCATAACGAGTCAGCCTTGGTGACAATCTTGAGACTTTGTGCACACAACAGCGGTGAGGACGCGATGCTAGTGTGACAAACAGAGCCAAAACATCCTCTCGCCCCATGCTGGGAGTCGATCAACCGCTAAATACAGGATACGTAGTGGTACTCGTCGAGCTACATGTCCGCACTGAAGTCAACTTACTGAGTAGTGAAGCTCGACAGAGATTTCTTGGCAGGAATCATGTGACAGCGCGTCATTATCGTGTCTGGTTGTGAATGGACAAAGAAGAGAAGGTTGACAACGGTTCGTCCCACTCACCCCGCCTTCACTTACTGCTCAAGAATTGAACTTTCAGCGCGAGCGAGAAACAATGTCGCGCACACTGCCTGTCCTGCGTACGACCATGCATATCCGTCACAATCCACAGTGCCTCAACATCATTACCAACCAAAGATGTTGTCCGCAGAAGAAAAGAAAGAAAAAGAGCAATTCTTTCTGGACTTAGATCGCCTAGGCGACCTTGACGAGGATGAGCAGGAAGAGATGATCCTGGGCGATTCGGAACCACCACCAATGAGGTGCCTCACCAAGCCGGCAGCCAGCATACCCAGAGCGATCCTAGCTCCGAGTGAAGAAGTCATCGACGAGAGGACACCGTTGAGCCGGAAGAGGAAGCAACCAGTTGAGGCCGCACAGTCAGACCAAAGAGCAGCACGCCAACCTCGCTTGGCTAGGTCATCCACTCTTCCCGAACAGAAACCAGACCAGAAAGGACCACTGATACCTCGTCTGGAAAGGGCGGCGACCGTGCCCGAAAGAGGCCCGATCAAGGGTGGACATTCCAAGTCGAGAACGAATTTTACAGATCTTTCGAATGTGCAGGCTCGTCTCAAAGGTGAAGGTCAACCGAAGCTCAAAAAGCTTCCGAAGTTCGCGGCCAAACCGAAACCAATCGACCCGGACAAGCAGATCTTCAAGGGTCTCGTCTTCTGTAGGTGCCCTCTCATCTGAGTGTCAGATCTCCCACTAACAGCTCCTGCAGTCTTCGTACCTAATAACGACGATGATTCTGGAGCACGCATTCGCATACATCAGGCAATCCAGTATGGTGCCCAATGGACGCACGAATTCTGCGAAGAAGTCACTCATATCATCGTCACCAACAACGACTACGACGTATCAGTCGTTGCCAAGTCGTTTCCTTCAAACCAAATACCAGTAAGGAATTCTCCAGATCTTACCAAGTCGTCATGCTAACAGTTGCTTGCAGAAACATCCCGCCCTCCTGCGCATCAATTGGGTGTTGGAGAGCTGCAAATCTCGATATCTGCAGGAGACTCACTGGGAGCGCTTCCAGCTGCCCGGGTGGAAAACCTTGCATCATCCAGATGAGGTCGCTCCTCAAATCGTTGCGACTGCGGAAAATCGTGGCGTTAGGATCGGCGGCCCCCCGCAAACGAATGCGGCTGGGCAGGACTTAAAGCGTGGTGATAGTTCAAGGAATGAACCTGACCACCCCAACCAGAAGAGTGATGATGAAGCCGCCTTGGATATTCTTGAGATTGCGATTAGGGATGTTCGAGGGGGTGCTGATGTGGCTTCGGCTTTTGACCTCTCTGAAGAGTCAGAAAGCGGAGATGAAGATGCAGATCGTCATGTTGGCGTTCCAACAGGCTCCGATGCGAACACTGCTACCAACGCCTCGAACGAGAATGCCGGCTTCTTATGCATGGGAAGTCATAACGACACAGCTGAAAATCATAACGCCAACGCCCAGACCATCGAAAAATTGCAGGAGATGGCAATAATGTATGAGAGCAGAGGTGATCAATGGCGGACCAAAGCTTTCCGAGAGGCGATAGGGAAATTGCGACGGCACAACCAACTGATTCGGACAAGTCAAGAGGCTCGGAAGATCGGACTGGGTGAGAGCATTGCTGGTCAGGTCGAGGAGATTGTGTTGACAGGGCGGTACAAGCGACTGGAGTACGCACAAGATGACCCTAGAACTCAAGTCCTCAAGCTGTTCAAGGGAGTGTATGGCGCCGGGGAGGCCACCGCCTACAGCTGGATAGCCCAAGGTTTCCGAACGCTGCAGGACCTCCAGACGAGTGCCGACTTGACGCCCACCCAGCGGATCGGGCTCGAACATTACAATGACTTCCAGCAGAGAATCCCTCGCAAAGAGGTCGAGCAACACGCCGCCGTGGTGGAAAGCGCCCTAACATCTGCAGACCCAAAACTTCAGTTGATCATTGGAGGATCGTACCGACGCGGCAGCAAAGACTCGGGTGATATCGACTGCATTATCACCATGGAAGGGGCGGACATAGTCCGCATCCGCACCTTGATGCTCGATACTGTCATTCCTGCTTTGACGGATCAAGGCTTCTTGAAGGTAGCGCTTGCCACTGGACGCTCTTCAGGGGACGATACTTCGAAATGGCATGGAGCATCAGCACTTCCTGATTGCGATATGTGGCGGCGTATCGATTTCCTATTTGTACCATGGGAAGAGCTTGGAGCAGCATTGATCTACTTCACAGGCAACGACCTGTTCAACCGAAGCATCAGATTTCTCGCCAGGAAAAAGGGGATGCGGCTAAACCAGCATGGCCTGTGCAAGCATGTCATGAGGGGTCCTGGGCGCCAGCGAATCAACGACGGGACATTAGTGGAATCGCACGACGAAAGGAAGATCTTTCAAATATTGGGAGTACCGTACCGCCCACCGGAGGAACGGAACCTATGAGTTGCAGGATTGGAAAGGAAAGGGTTTCAAATGAAAGCAGTTGCGCTTACTGGCAGCACTGTTTGTCCTTGGTAGAGGCAGCCTAGACAGGACCGAGCCCTTCACGATGCCGGAATTTGACGGCCTTCATTACACATCAGCTGGGAGAGGTACAACCGAGGATTCGCATGCTGTGAATGGGCTGTGAACGGTCGGGGCATACTTAGCTAGATTGCCGTACTGTAACAGCCAGGGTGGTGCTTCTGTCGAAGCGCGGAATTGGCAATCTGGTTTGCAACGCCTCTTAGGTGCACTGTTAGCATTGAAGGTTGAGTTCATTCTTGACAGTAGACAACAGTCCTCCGTATCGTGCAAGAAGAGACTCTTCCAGCCTCTTGCCGAGTTATGTCGGATCTTCCTCGGGTTACACAAGGCTGACTCACAGCCTTGTTAACGTCATTGCGGAGTTTTTTGAGGCCCATGTCAATTCGACTTCTCCAACAAACAAAATTCTGCCACATTTCACCGCTTTACAATTAATTGTTAGATACTGTTGTCTCTTGAGGTGTACTTGAGAACAGTTCGCTTGGCCTAGTTCACGCCTGTAAAGGGTGAGCCCGGGCCTCGCGGTTCTGTCGCCCGTGTGCTGAAACCTTACTGCCCGACCTCATCCTGACCTCACAGCTCTTTCGTCCAACCCCGTCGCTCGCTTTCTGCCGGCGCGCGAAGACATCGTCCCTCAGCCAATCTCGTGAGTCGATTGCGACATTCGTGGGACTGTCTGCTAACTACTTGCGGAAACAGGACTGCGTGAAGCATCACATTGCTGCCGCACAGCCTCCTTCACAGGTTCTGGGTCACAAGAACATTGGCGCGACAGCATCTCCAGCGACAATGGGTCGACGACCTAACCCGCTTATGGCGGAGTTCTTTGAGCGCGGTGTCAAGATCAGTGACATGTCCAATCGTTATGAACAGACATGCAAGAGATGCGGTGAACATTTCGCAAGAGGGCGCAGTGAGGCCATGGTCCCTCACCTCACCAAGAAGTGTCCTGCCATCAGCTATGCGGAGCGCGCCAAGATCATCTTCCGCCTCCATGACCTCGTACTGCCAACCCTCAGTCCATACGTTGATCCAGCGCGCAACCCAGAAGGTGATGGCAACGTGGCCCTTGCCGAGAACAACGACCTGTCCCATGGCAATGGTCTGTTGGTGGAACCCCGTGACAGTGATCAGAACCAGGGTAATAGGACTGGAAGAGTTACGGCCCAGAACAGACGGCAGCTCGATAGCTTGGACATACTCGCTGAGGTCTCCAGCCATGTTAGTGGCAACGTAGGAGTCGGCGCTGGCTACACCCCCATGGATCAAGCTGGCAGTGTGCCGCTTGACCCCCAGCTGGAAGGAGACAGCTTCCCGGTTACCACAGCCTCGACCTTTGCAGCCGGCTATTCCTACATAGGCAATGTGTCACCCACCCCCATGAGTGATCTTTCTCTTGTCAGCACAGGAGCCCCTGATCTCTCGACGATAGCTGCTACAGCACATGCGACATTGTTGAATGAGGGCGTGTCGGCAACCGATGTCCTACCGTCCAGCGATATTTCTCATGACCTTCTTGAAGAATCGCAGGACCATGGCTTGTCTTACCAGAACCATGGACACTTCCCATCGACAACCATGCCATTGCCACCGCCGCTTATTGAGCAGATCCACTCAATGCACCCGGGTCACGCATTGGACGAGCATTTTCCTTCTGCACCAGCAATGGTTGCAGTGCCCCGGCCCATGGACAGATCATCAAGCCAACAACTCCGACCAATTGCCATGAACCCAAATGGACAACCCACTCACCAGGTCGAGGGCAACGACCTCCCAGCGCAACATCACAAGCAGAGAGTCCGTGGAAAGTTTGCTCCCGAACGCCGTGACGAAGTGCGCCAGGTACGAAAGCTTGGTGCTTGCTGGCGCTGCCGCATGTTGAGAAAAACATGTTCCCAGGTCACACCTTGCCAAACCTGCGCCTCGGTCGAAAACCCTCGCTTGTGGAACATTTCATGCGTTCGGACTAGGCTTGACGAGGAGTTCCCACTCTACTTCATCATGCCTTACACTGTCCTCACACATCATGACCTTGGGGAACTGAAGAGTCAGGCCAACAACAATGGCTTCAGTGGCCGGCTAGAAGCTTTCCATTTCTTAGACCACAAGATCACCTTCAAAGCTCGTCAATTCACTCATACACCCACTCCCACCGACTGTAGTGATCAACCCTTTCCTGAAGATGAAGTGCTGGTATTGGATCTTGAGACCGATAATGTGCTACCAAAGGTCGAACAGTATCTCAAGGCGATTTGCCCTCAAATCATCGAGAAGGAGCCATCACCCATAATGAAAGGCAGTCTTCGACTTGCCCAGGCGATCAAAGCAGAACAACAGAGCGGCATCCTCGCTGAGAATACCCAGAAGCCTGACAATCTTGTTTCGCAAATTGTTGAATTGTGGGTTGCAACAGTGGTGATGACGGATACTCAGTTGACAGCATTCTTCACCAAGGACAGTGCTCTTGATAATGGACGAAGTGCGATTGACGACACGATGCATCCGGTTTCTCATCGCATATTGACGAATCAGCTTCGAGCAGCGATTGAGAAGCGTGCCAGTGTTGTCTGCAGAAGTGCCTTGCACCACTTTGAGCAGCGGCTTTTGCGAAACAAGGGCAAGCCCTTCGAAACCTTCTTGGTTGCATTTATCATGTTGAACTGTGCGGAACGTATGTGCTGGCTGTACCGAAGCTGGGCTATGGCAGGTAGGGAGTTGCCTCTTGACCAAAACCCGTCATGCTACGCCGATAAGGCCGAGTCGTTTGCGCAAACGATCCAGATGCTACTTAGCATGCGCCAGTTGGAGCCTAAGATCATGGAGGATCCGGAGACCGGAGTCTTGATCGCTCGTAACCGTGATGACAACGATCTCACAAACTGGCTCGCAGTCACAGATCTTCCTAGTGATCTTGCAGCTCACTGTCGACCCGGCCATCTCCACCCGGACGATAGCAGATCTCTGGATGGGACCCTCACTGGACGGCTTCTCCAGTTGTGATTTGCACCCCCGTCCCCCTGAGATCTCAGTGACTATTGAGGTCAACTTGGACTGCAGCCAATTGAAATCGAGGAAGAAGACTCCCAAGCTGTTGAGATGGTTGTGGCGCTAGGAGGTGAAGATTGAATGATGCGGCTCCCCTGGTTGGACTCCGTTGGATGTCATTGGCGTGGACTTGGACGAATTGTATCAACAATGAAGCGAATTGGCGGTGTAGGATGGCATACCTGAAACACGAGCTCTTTGCTCACCTGTCGCACATGGAAGCGATATGTTACGAGAAACAACAAATGTGACCCCAGCCACAGATGGACGGAATTTGTCATGACGCGAGAAACAGCTGCGATACCCCATATGTTGACGAGAAAAAGGCGCAGTCGGTGGTTCGTCCTTTCACGAGATACCCCTGGATTGCTGGAGTTGGATGGCGTTTTATTGCTGGAAAGAGGAACTGAGGAGGTACAGGAATGCTTCACTGGGTGACAGAAGATTGAATAGGCCAAACTTGGACAGTCCGGTAGGAGCTAGGCTGGGCTTGAGCTTGGATGAGTGACTGTGTCCCTGTACCGTAGTCTCTTGCTCAAACACCGCATAGGTTGTCGGTCTTCTCAATGTCATCTCAGTGCCAGTGACTGAAACAATGAATCATCATGGATCCGTGAGACACATGGAACACCTCAGAGCCCCGATTCTGAGTCACTGAGCACAGGATCGTGGAGCTCTCGTTGCACGAGATTTGTCCTTCTTGACTATCAGCTGATTTTTCAACCGTCCCATACCTGCTTGAGGTGTCACGAACCCGATAGCTGGGAATGGGCGGCGACGGTCGGCCAATCGGCCGAGCCAACAGCCACTACGGAATGGGCTTGGGAGGAGCTGTGGTGTGATGCACCATCAACCGAAAGGGCGGATGCAAGATCTCTTACGGAGTACTCGTACACGTTGGACCGGTGACGCGGGCTGAACGAAATACATAGTACAATTGCCAGCAATCCGTTTGGGCCAGCACGGCACAGCACAGTACAGCACAGCACAGTACACACCCACTTCAAAGCTTGCAATTGAGCAATCTTGCATAATCCGATGCACGTCATTAGCACAGCGGCATGGTTAAGGTTGGCACTGCGAGGGCGGCTCGCATCGTCTGTTCCGAGGTGTTACAAGCGGGCCTGGGGCCTGGGGCCAAGGGGCCTACAGTACCCAGTAGGTTAAGAGTGACGGCCGGCGTTCCCACGGCGAAGGAGCAGCCTGGTGCTGGGCCTGCTCTGTCCCCTGCGGTAATGGGTAGCCGTGGCTGCCTTTCTGCCATTATTATCACTTGCGGACGGCCGTTGGTAGATTTTTGAAAGGTCGGTACAGTAGTGTGCGTGTGTGTGTATACGGTAGGTACTAACGTGAAGTGCTGCGTGCGGCGCAGTCCACCGTCAAAAATGAAGAGATCCATCGATGGGGTTCCTCTGACCTTGCCGACGCACAGTCTGTGCCGAGTCCTGCCAGAGAATGGGAATGTGCGGTGTCGCTCGCTGGTGGCAGGTCGCAGGTCGCAGGTCAACCGGGATCAGAGGTTCCCGAGAGCGAAGGACGAAAAGGATTGGAAGACGAGGCACACAATTTACCTTCGTCCTAAGCTCGGTACTCCGTACAGTAGTGCCTAGCCGACACGTTAGCTGGCCACAGCACACCATCACGATCGCAACGACCAGCACCATCAATGATCGGACGTGTTTCGCATTTTCTTATCCCTCACACGCACGCACACGCACGCACGAGTGTGTGCAGGTCCTGGACCGGGCCGAGGGGCGTGAGCTTCAGTCGCTGTTGATCTCTGGCAGGGGGCCGCTTTCGGGGGGGCCAACTGGTGTCAACTTCAGGTCTTCACCCCCATCAAGACCAAACATGGAAAATAGCCCCGGCGCGTTATTGCTACAGACGACATTGCGACACAATCATAATGTGGCACCCTTTTCAGGTGGGATCTTTCATGATATGCTACGAGGATGCTCAGCAATGCCATCGGCCTGTCGAGCCTGAGTGAGGAAGCTCTACACAGTACTGTACGAGGCGCGAGCGAGAGTTTCTGCCCAAGCGCCTTCGCAAGCACATACGAGGCGGGGCTTTGTGCCCTCGTGTTCGCTGACATCGCTCTAGTTGTATACAGTAGTTGGGTCTCGTTCCCCGTCCTTGTAGACCGGAAAAAGCGCGATATCAGGTTCGTCATTTCGTACCCAGGACTGTACGCTGTCGTCATTGCGAAGTCAAGTCTTCCAGATGACCGTGTCCTTCTAGGAGCTAACGATCCGTAAGCACCGAGCAATTAATTACTCGGACACGCGGACAGAAATTCCTGATGGCTCCATCCTCGCTTAAGAGCTATTTCAGGCCCGGGGATCAGCACATTGGCACATGCTTCAACAGGCGTTCAATCAGGCCTGTGATTCGTGGCAGAAATCTATCAGCCACGGGAATGCAGTCTAGTCTACGAGTACGTAGGCAATGTGCCATGTCGCGAGGACGAGCATGGCGAGCGCATGCAACATTGAGTCGGCGATTCCAGACGGAGAGACTCCACGGCCAGATCCACGAACCTACTCGTATGCGGCCGCTATTCCGGGGACGCCCAATCAACAGTGCTGGAGAGCCTAGACTAAGCACAAGCGCCGCAAGGGATTCCTGTCTGGCGTAGAGTATGGAGGGGGCATGCTTTGAAAAAGAACGCTTGAATGCATGACCCATCGAAACAAGACGATGACGAAAAGACGCATCAGGCGGTTGCGAGAAAGCCCGAATACACAGTACCCGTCACATCCCACGAACAGGAATGGTACAAATGCCTGAACGAGCGATGCCCCGCTCACCACTGTGCTGCGGCTTGTGCTCAAAAACGCGATCGATAGATTATCTGGCTACTCCGTACTCCGTGCTGGGTATTCGAACGCCTGCAAGAGCAACCCTGTTGGGACGAGAGCGCAAGGACGCTGATCGGGACAGAGGCGTGGAACGCGTCCCCATCCTGCTACGTAAGTGGATGACGGAAGGGGGGAAAGCGCAAGCCATCATTGGCCAGGCGCTGGTCATGGGGACCGTTCGATGCGATAACCAATTGTATCAGCTGACAGACGGCTCCGGGTGACTCGCCGATGCGAAGGCCGCTAGGTTTGCGCGGGGCGAGATGCGAGCGAAATGCAATCAAGAAATGCAGCCTCGAAGCGTTGCACTGTTTGGGACTCGAGGCTATCGCGAAGTCAAATGGTTTGCCTAGCGGTTGCTCCGAGTGTTCGAGGGCGGCGCCATGAGTGGACGGGAGGCATTTCGCTAGTGGATCGCCATGACCGAAGAGGGGGAACCATGGAAAGACATTTCCGCCACGAGCAGGGATGTCAACGTCTCGTTCGAGCAGATGACCTGTGCAAGACAGATGGAGACTCGAAGCGCGCACCGGCCTTGCAAGCTGACTGGCTGACGAGAAGGCGACGAGCCCGAGACGACAAAGAAACTGACACGCGGAATCGAGCAGACCTCGACGCACATCCTCTGTACCAAGAGCGCAGCTGGAGGCCCGGACTCACGATCAGTTGACGGGCAATTGAGCCTGCAAAGTTGGTGCCTCCTGCTGCACAACCGTCAAAGAGTCGGCCTGGAATCACGGGCGACAAATGCCAGTGAAGGATTGAAGAGAGAGTTCGATGCGACGGCTGGGCTCTCACGGCTGGATTTAAGAGCCGGAGACAGACACGGTACAGCACGAGTTAGTCTACCAGTGCCATGCACCTCCCATGGAACGCGATTGAGTTTGTGGCATCGATTGAGACTGGACAGCGTGGTGCGTGCCACATGACTCCCGTCCCTAAGCCGGTGGACCCCGGAGACGACCCGAAGATGAACACACTTCTCAGCTGGAAAGGCAGACGGGACAGGACAGGCGGTGCTACCTAAAGCAGGAACAAAGATACCTTCTCGGGGTCGCAGCGCCTGGCATGTTTGCCTTCCAGCACCGTCACTTTGGGTATCCTGCTACGTGAGCCCCGCCCTCAGCATGCTGTGACAAATGTGATTGAAAGAGTAGCAGCCTGAAGCCCAGTCAGGCGAGGCGCGCGAAGAGCCGCCGAACAGGCTCCTTCTGGGTACGAGGAAGGAATCTTTGAATCACTCCGCTCTCAATGCGAGCCAAGGCTAGCGAGCACCCCGTACGAGTCAGAGGCAAAAATGAGCGGCGGAGGCTCTTATTCATTAGGCACCTTTAACATGCCTATCGACCCGCCAATGAGAACATCTAGGGGTCGCCATGGGCCTCCAACAGTTACAGTACCCAGTACTGTGGCAGGCCCTGGACACTGCGCAGCACTGAACTCGGTACAACAGTGCGAGTACTGGGTATTCTTCATCTGGTCCCCACACCTGTTCACTGTTCCCTGGTCCCTGTTCTTCGCTACTCCATACGAGGTAGTGTGCTCATGGACGCCTCAGAGCGTCCGACCCTGGCCGCAGATGTGCCGCTTAAACCGTATCTCGCTGTATGCTGCAATATCGCAAGCTGCCGCTGCTGCATGTGCATCTGCCACCTGCTTCTGCTCTTGCAGCACCCCGTCCAGCCGAGGATTGCAACCCGCCTTATCGCGCGACATCAGCCTACAAGTGACGAGGCGCACCAGACATCAACGCGCAAGTGATCGCGGGCTTGTTCGGCAGACATCTGACATGCTTGGAACTGTTGAGTATTCGCACAGAGTCCCTATCAGGCTGCGTGACTCTTTCTTGACAAGTCTCGTCGTCCCCACCACTTCCCGAGGTGGCCGATTCGACACAATAACATTGCTCCGCTGTGATCCTTGTACGAGTTGTGAACCAAGTACTCGTAGTCGCTGACTGCTCTCCACTCCCTCCATCTCGTCTTTTGTGCCGGCCACCTTGTTCATCCAGTGCATCTCTGGCCGCACATCTCCCGCACCCTGCTGCGAGGCTGTACGCCGACCTGCTGGATCCAATCCACGTCTGTAGGGAAT